ACGTATTCCTTCAAAATTGGGATGGTTTGCTGACAAAGAAGACAAATCGCTGAAGTTTGATTCTTTTCAATATAGAAATACGAACGCTGCCATTTCTATACTTAAGATTTAAATAAAATCTGTTTCCAGAGTGTAGTTTATGTTTGTTATTTGACATCTCAAGCTTTCTTATATGGTTGACATCTGAATTACTGCCCTATGTTATCCTAATACCTAATACGTATAATTGAGAGACCGGTGTGCTTAAACTGTAATAATGACATAACAATTGGCAGTGTACATAGATCACAAAAAAGTAGAAACAAAGTCTGTTGAACACTATTTCACTTAAGCTCGACGGGCCATTTTAAATTGTCATGCGGGCCGGATTTGGCCCGCGGGCCGCGGTTTGGGAACCCCTGGTGTAAAGGGACTGAAACCCATGGACAGGAATATATTCACTTAGGTAACACAGACAGTCTTCGAACTCGTAATAGAACTAAAATAAGGAAATCGGAATAAAATTACGCCCTAACTCTACCTGGTACATATACCACGGGAGTACCTATTAAATACAGTAACACAATGTAAACTGCAACAAACGATGTCCTAGCCAAGTTCATGAATCTGGCACAGTTGTTTTCAACTTGGGTTCCGTGGCATCCCAGAGTTCCAACAGTACCGGCCAGGGGTTTCATAAGTTTCTATTCAATTCGGAGAACTATATTTATAAATGCATATTGTTTAAATATAATCAAATTCCTACTAGGTTTGCCACTATTATTAACTAGCTAGCTACACTTTAAGTATATAATTTATATCATTTTGTGTTACCTATTTGTTTGCTTCTATATATATTAATAGTTTATACAAATCAGATATCATACAAGGCAATTAAACAATTGCACGGGGGTCCAGCGGCACCCTAGGGTTCCGCCGGTACAGACCAGGGGGTTCCATGGCACCTTACGTTTTTAATCTAAAAGTCTATATTAATTAATCTATTATTTGCATATAACGAAACATCTATCAAATTTGCTACACTTGAAGATCATTTTATTTGGTCAGTATTTGGTTTTGCCTTAACATATATTCATAGTTTATAATACTGTTCAGACAAATAAAGTATTGCACAGAAATTCATCAAGCCTATGAAAAGTTTCATTTGGCCTCCGCTCTATCAAAGAGCTTAAAAACTACCGATCTTGAACTTTCAACTGGTTTAGTATTGATATCCTACGTGGACTAGCTATAGGACGATAAAAGTTGTGTTGCAACTTTAGTAGACCGCGTTGTGGATAATTATCTCTCGGGAGCAAATATAAAAATTCTTAGCCTACACTCCTAAAATTAAACAGATAAATATTTTGTTGTTCCTATTAAACGTTATCCAGTAGACGGCGCGAATGAGCAGGTCTGTTGAGAGGGTTACTCCGCTGCTCTATCTTGACACCACGTGTAGACTTCCAGTTAACGTTTACGGTTCGCACGACCTTGAAATCCTGTGATTCTTTGCTTTCACAGTTTCACTCCAAATGGAGCTTTGGTCAAGCAGCGTAAATTTTTTAAGAACATATGGACCCAAAATGGCGGATGTGACGTCACACAACCGCTTGGGGTTCACACAATCACGCAAGTACGAGCTTTCAAGCAGGAAAATAAAGTAAGACTTTTAAGATTTTGTTGAAAGCGGGGCCCATTTTTAAATTCTTCGAAATATTTCATTTCAGTACCTAATTAAAGAAATTTCAGAATTAAATAAAAAATTCTTAGCCAGTTGAAACCCTTTTTGCTTTATTATGATAATAGTAAACTTGAAATGTGAATCCATGATGCCAATTAGAAAACACAATTTATAAAATACAGTTGCTTTATTTTAGTTTTATTCACTTCGTTTAAAAAGCTAGGGTGAATTTGTGTAATGTAGATGTAGTAGCATCTGACCCAGGACTGGGCAATTATCTTCGCTATGGGGCCACATTGCAAATTCAAAATGCAGTGGCGGGCCATACTAAGTGAAGTTAATCTATATCACGCGATCTTATCGTATTTTATTACACATTTGAATAAAACAAAGTATAATACAAATGTTACTTTCACTGAGATGAGTGGGTTCTTTGCTGCGCTTTAACGAGTCCATGTAAATCAGGTTCGATGGCAGAGTGGGTAGCGCAGAGTTGTTAAAATAATAAATTTTACAATAGTAAAATCTAGAAATATGCTCGCGGGTCGGATAAAACGTTGCCATGGGCCATATGCGGCCCACAATGTTCCCAGGCCTGATCTACACATCTGGAAAAACAAGAGTGAGGTTGCGAGTCTGGAATACAATCGTGTAAAAATAAACGAATTTCTTTTGTTATCGATTGGAATGTGGCCTTGAAAGCGAGCTTGTGGTATTAATACCACGACGCTGGTCAATAATCAGTCCAAGTTATTCTTGAAAAACGAAGTAGTATGTGTACCAAGTTATGGTGAGAGCATAAATTTATTTCGATTTTCCTCATTTTAGTTCTATTACGAGTTCGGGGACAGGGTCTGTGTTGGGCCGTAAAATCAGTGATGAGCTGGAAAAATCATAACAACCGGAACGCACCTAATTCGCAAAAATGTAATATATTTACAACGCGACGCGGACGTTTACATAAGGTTTTGTCTGATCTAATTTAGAGCCAAAGAACTACAAGGAAATATAAAGAAATTCCCTGAACTATGTTTCCATGGGGTCAAAGGTCTGGGAAACATATATTACACGTTACTAATTATTTGCGTGATGTGATGTGACAAAAAATTAGGAATTATGATATAACAAAACATAAATTAATAATAAGGTTTACCAGAGTAACTTTTTGTACAATAGTTTTATTTCAACAACAGGAACGCAAATGCAATGAAATGTCCAACAACCGGAACGCCGTTCCGGTGAGTTCTGGCTACAGCTCACCACTGCGTAAAATATTCGCGCCACAGACGGATAATATTTGAGTAAGGTAGGAGTTACCAGCAGTTGAACAATCAGTTGAAGGAAATCCTATTGCACATAGCCAAGCCTACAGGCTTAAAACTGGCGAACCTATGACGGTTGCCGATAATCTTGCAATAGAAGGCAGGTTTCTAATGCCTCAACCAATGGGCCACAGACACGTATTCAGGCGAGCCATAAATTGTTACACTAATTGATGAATTATTACTTATCGATCTTAGAATCGGTAAGTATGTTGATAGATATTTGTCTGTTTGTTTGCTTGTTTGTCTGTAAGATACACGCGATATCTCACGAAAGCGAGGTTGAAACTGCTCCAAATTTTGAATGTGCATTCATCATAGTTCGGAACAGGAGCCTATCGATTTTGGATGGATTATGTCGTATAATTAGCGAGTTATTAATTAAGTAATTAGTAGAGTTATTAATCAAGTAATTAGTGGGACACACGGTGTCACTATGGAGTAAGACCACTGTTTTGGGGGATCCCCTAACCTCCGATTGATAAGTCTTCGGTTTCCAACCGAATTCTAGTTCATTACTATTGATTGATAATTTTCGTTTCAATTATTTAAATGGAAGTGCATATATTTGCGAAAAGAACTTTTTGTTTTTCTCTTTCATATAGAAGTAAATGTTTCACAGAATTTTTTTGTGCAACGAAAGAAAAAAGGTTAAGATTCAAAAAAGTTACAGAAGAATCCACAAAAGAATAATATTTGAGTGAGGTAGGAGTTACCCAGCAGTTGAACAATCAGTTTAAGGGAATCCTATTGCACATAGCCAGGCCTACAGGCTTGAAACCTGCGAACCTTTGACGGAAAGAGAAAAGATCTTAGAAATCTTAACCAACAATTTATTTTCCTCAAGACAAAAATAAAAGTGAAGCGCCTATTCGCATAATTTTATTGGGGATTACGTGATTTGGCTCAGAGCTTTGTTTGACTGTGCAAACTTTGTTGACGTATGTTAAGTCTAAATACACTCAAGTGTTTCCTCGTTCTAGATGAATGATAACAAAAGAAATTCGCTCAGTCTTTTACCATTGAATGTTCATGCTTGACATTGAAAGGTGCTTCATCACAATACCGTTGTGTATTTTGAAGTGTTTTACAAATATCCGAAATTATTTTCCAATATGAACATACAATGGTAAAGGCTGAGCGAATTTCTTTTGTTATCATTCATGTTGTTATCATTCAGAACTAACGAGAAAAACACTTGAGTGTATTTAGACTTGACACAACAGAATGGTCAGTCATTAAGCGAAGCACTGTAGTTGCATTTTGCTCTTAGAATTTAATTGCATAGAACATTTTTTTCTTAAAAAAGCGTATGTAAGTAATAGTTAATGTCGTGTCCGGAAAATTCAGCGCAGGAAATTTCGCCGCATAGGAAATTTCGCTGCATGGAAAATCGCCGCAGGAGCATTTGCTATAAAACAGGTATTTGTGAAAAAAAACAGGTCATAGGGTTAGGGTAGGCTTTAAAATAACGAATCTTTTTTTAAATAAAAAATTACCTCAAAAACCTTGTTTTAATACAGCAAAATTTTTTGCGGCGATAATTGATGCGGCGAAATTTCTCGCGGCGTGATTTCCTGCGGCTAATTTTTCGTAGAACCAGTTGATATATGTGCCAGTTGATATAGGTGTTACTGTTACGCCTATCGCCATATAAATGTTATAAATATTGTATTATATTATTATATCGCACAAGCATGAAGATCAAAAAAATGTTTTTCTTTAGTGTGCAGTAAGTAATTCAAATAAAAGATGTAATGTAGAATTCGTTGTGTCTTGTGATAACAATAGAAATTATTTAACTGCCCTTTTGACAAAATTATTCAACTTTGCTATAGAAAAAAAAACATTTGTCAAAAAACAGTTTTGCTACATGTACTTGAAATGTTCATCGGAAAACTCGGCGGTGTTGGTATATTTGTATGGAATCATCGACACAGCAAACATATTTTTACGCAAAATAACAAATTTACTGATTTTTTTTATTACATTGTTTTTCATAAATAGTTAAATTTATTGCATATTAACTTAGTATTTCCCCGACTTGGAATATGGATTTTGGTGCTAATGCCCGACTTTTGTTCTTGCTGGTAATTTCATTATTGATGCTGTTGGAAACTATAGATATGGTTGCATGTCAACGAGGAGGAGAAAGTAAGTAGAGTTAATGCTGAAATTATGCGATTGAAAGATATATCATATTGAATAATCCCCCCACCCACACCTATATGGGGTGAACACCCCCCAACTCCCCCCAAAAAAAGGTACGTCATATAAAGTAATTTCCCTTACGAAATTTCAAGCATCCCATAGTTTTCAAGTTTGGCGCCATACTTTAATTCTCAACGTAAATATAAATGTATTTGAATATCCAGATAGGATAGAAAAACATTTGGAAGCCTTAAACGTTTCAGTAACGCGTCATAAGAAAGGTATAAAAGATCAAACTGGAATCATTCCAAACTTTCGAGTGGTGAATAGTTAGGTTGTTGCCCATGTTCAAATTGTGCCGCTACAGAAGTGTATGCATCAATATGGAGGTAACTAATTTTTTGTGCCCACTTCACATCACGCTGTGAAAAGAGACTAGAAATTATGGGCAGGGGGTATATTCACTTGGTTAACACAGACAGTTCTCAAACTGGTAATAGAACCAAAATAAGAAAAATCGAAATAAAATTATGTCCTATCCCTAACCTGGTACATGTACTACGGAAATACCCAAATAATTGTTAGGCAAAAATGAATTCAGGCTTGCCATCTCACGTATTACTTTTAACGGACAGTATAAAAAAAACGCATAATCTTATTGCTAATTTTGTATTTTTAGTGGGATTCGAAGAACAGTTGGAGATGAAAGAATATTGGGAGAAAGTTTTCGAAACATAATGAGGTGAATGTCAATTTTTTTTGTGTTTGCAACCGGTACTAAATGAACATTTATTTAATTATACCATTTTTTTTTTCAGGAATTTCCCGCGGAATTCTGAACAGACAAGGAATTCTACTATATCCAATGCTATTCATATAATATAAACTAGATCTAACATGTATCCACATCATATCGTATAAAAATAAAACTGAATTGTAATAAATGAGCTTGTGATTTGTATCAATATGGAAAATTCAATACTCTTGAGTCAAGGTATTTGTTGAGATTGCAATTGAATTTAGTTTTGCCCGCCAGTCTAGCTAAGCAACAAAAGTTGTGGCCGTGATCCAAAAACCTTGCCCAGGCCTGAATTCTAACCAGTTACACTTCTGGATTCTGGTATACAATCGTGTAAAAATGAACGATTTTCTTTTGTTATCGATTGGAACGTGGCCTTCAACAAAAAAAACGGGTTTCTGTTATTACTACCACGACGCTGGTCAATAATCAGTCCAAGTTATTCTTGGGGGAACGAAATATTAGTCCATTTTTGGTACTCCCGTAGTATGTGTACCAGGTTATGTGTAGGGCATATTTTTATTTCGATTTTAGTTCTATTACGAGTTCGGAAACGGGGACTGTGTTGAGCCGTGAAATCCACAGAATAATAATATTTGAGTGAGGTAGGAGTTACCCAGCAGTTGAACAATCAGTTTAAGGGAATCCTATTGCACATAGCCAGGCCTACAGGCTTGAAACCTGCGAACCTTTGACGGTTCTTGATAATCTTGCAATAGGAGGCAGGTTTCTAATACCTTAACCAGCGGGCCACAGACACATTTTCTGGCGGGCCACAAATTGTTAGACTTATTGATAAATTATTTATTACTATTGATTGATAATTTTCGTTTCAATTATTTAAGTGGAATTGCATATATTTGCAAATAGAACTTTTTGTTCTCTTGTAGTTGTTCTTTTTCATATGAAAGTGAATAGACCTCAGAATTTTTTTTGCAACGAAAGTGGGCCACGAACCATAGATGGGCATAACGTATTTAGAAATCTTGATCAACATTTTATTTTCTCCAAGACCAAAATAAAAGTGAAGCGCCTATTCGCATATTTTGTTTTTGAGTTTACGTGTTCTAGTTCGACGGTGCATACTTTGTTTTAAGTCTAAATACACTCAAGTGTTTTTCTCGTTAGTTTTAGATGAATGGTGACAAATGAATTTCACTCAGTCTTTTACCATTGAATGTTCATGCTTGACATTGAGAGGTGCTTCACGATACCGTTGTGTATTTTGAAGTGTTTTATTAAGATCAGAAATTATTTTCCACTATGAACATACAATGGTTGACTGAGCGAATTTCTTTTGTTATCATTCATGTTGTTATCATTCCGAACTAACGAGAAAAACACTTGAGTGTACTTAGACTTGACACAATAGAATGGTCAGTCATTGAGCGAAGCACTGTAGTTGCATTTTGCTCTCAGAATTTAAGTGCATAGAACATTTTTTTTCCTATAAAAGCATATGTAAGTAATAGTTGAGATCGTGTCCGGAAAATTCGCCGCAGGAAATTTCGCCGCATTAAAATCGCCGCAAGAGCATTTGCTATAAAACAGGTATTTGTGAAAAAAAAACAGTTTATGGGGTTAAGGTGGGCTTTAAAATAACAAATCTTTTTTAAATAAAAAATTACTTTAAAAAACTGTTTTAATACAGCAAAATTGCTTTTGCGACGATTTTTCATACGGCAAAATTATTTGCGGCTAATTTTCGTAGAACCAGTTGGTATATGTGAGATTCAGAATTAGTAGAGTTCTATCGGTGATCATTATAAATATTACTGTTACACCTATCGCCATATAAATGTTACAATTATTGTATTATAATATTATGTCGTACAAGCATGAAGATGAAAAAAATGTTTTACGGATCACCTGGAGTATGCGCACCAAGATGGCGCACAAACTGAACATAGTATGTATGTACCGGTTACGATTAAGGTTGTGCGACATCTTGGTGCGCATACTTCTCGAGCACCTGTTTTTCTTTGGTGTGCAGTAAATATTTCAAATAAAAGATGTAATGTAGAATTCGTTGTGTCTTGTGATAACAATAAAAAAAATTATTTAACTGCCATTTTGACAGAATTATTCAACTTTGCTATAAAAAAAAATTTGTCGAAAAACAGTTTTGCCACTTGACTTGTACTTGAAGTGTTCAGCGGAAAACTCGGCGGTGCTGGTATGTTTGTATGAAATCATCGACACAGCAAACATCTTTTTACGCAAAATAACAAATTTACTGATTTTTTCATTACATTGTGTTTCATAAATAGTTCAATTTCATCAGATAGCAACTTAGTATTTTCCAGACTTGGAATATGGATTTTGGTGCTAATGCCCGACTTTTGTTCTTGCTGGTAATTTCATTACTGATGCTGTTGCAAGCTATAGATATGGTTGCATGTCAAGGAAGAGGAGGAGGAAAAAGTAAGTAGAGTTAATGCTGAAATTATGCGATTTCAAGATATGTCATATTCAATACCTCCCCCCCCCCAAAAAAAAGTTACGTCATATTGAGTAATTTCCCTTACGTAATTTTATGCACCCTACAATTTTCAGGTTTGACGCCATACTTTAATTCTTAACGTAAATATGAATGTATTTAACATCCAGGTAGAATAGAAAAACAATTGAAAGCCTCAAAAAAGTTTCAGTAACGCGTCAGGAGAAAGGTTTAAAAGATCAAACTGAAATCATTCGAAATTTTCGAGTGGGTGTATAGTTAGGCTGTTGCCCGTGTTCACATTGTGGCGCTACAGAAGTGTATGTATCAATATGAGGGTAACTAATTTTTTTCCCCACTTCACATCAAGTTGTAAAAAGAGAATAAAGCTTATGGGCAGGGGGTATATTCACTTGATTAACACAGACAGTTCCCGAACTGGTAATAGAACTAAAATAGGGAAAATCCGAATAAAATTATGTCTTAACCCTAATCTAGTACATATACTACGGGAATACCCAAATTATTGTTAGGCAGAAATGAAATCAAGCTTGCCAGCTCACGCATTACTTTAAACGTACATTAGGGAGGCGCATAATCTTATTGCTAATTTTGTGTTTTTAGTGGGATTCGAAGAACAGTTGGAGATGAAAGAATATTGGGAGAAAGTTTTCAAAAAATAATGAGATGAATGTAAATTATAAATCGTCGTTTTTTTGCAACCGGTACTAAATGAACATTTATTTAATTATAACATTTTTTTCAGGCATTTTCAGCGAAATTCTGAACATACAAGGAATCCTACTATATCCAATGCTATTCATATACGACACACTATAGATCTAACATATATCAACATCATATCGTATAAAAATAAAGCTTGAAAATAAAACTGAATTGTAATAAATGAGCTTGTGATTTGTATAAATATGGGAAATTCAATACTCTTTAAGTCAGGGGTCACCAACCTTTTCGAAGCCGAGAGCTACTTCTTGGGTACAGATTAAGCTGCGGGCTAACAGTTCAATGTACACTTCTAAAAAACTCGAGTTGCTCGATTAAGCTTCAATTATTGATATAATTACTGGTATTTAGTGAAGTATAGACACTAATAAAGTTTAGGATTCTTCAGGAAATCAAACGCATATCACAACGTTGCAAATAAATTTCTATCAATAACACTTGTATTTCAAAACTGAGTGTTTTCAAATTAATTTTCAACAATCTGCACAAACAAGTCTAGGATAAAATGGACTTAACAGTTGTACTATCAAATGTTGCAGAGTATTATACTCCGACGTGTAACTTGACACTGTAACTCTTGCGAGTCTCGCAGATTTTCATCAGTGAGGCGTGTTCCGTGTTTGTTCCTGGTGGAGTGAGTCGCGGCGCTATGGCCCATCGTGTTAAGCGTTAGGTTCGCAGGTTAGAATCCCATGCGGGGATAGTTATGTACGAAAGGATTGCTGGACTCCTCGCCGCCGTAGGGTGGTTCACGTACCGTAACCGCTGGTCGATTGAGGCTTCCTTCGCCATCAAGTTCATGCTTCCGGAAACAAATAACTAACTAATCCCATTCCCGACATCGAATGGTGACCGGCGAGAAGCCGTGGTTTGTCATATGGTTAAGCCGTCCTATCGGCTATCTTCTCCCCCGGGATAAATATGTAAATCTCCTCCTATCCTGGGTTTATGTCAAAAATGTTGATTCGAAAGGATAGGTTGAAACAAACGATGGTCTCGTAAAATAGGATTGTTGTATGATTTGACTCGCGAGCTTTTTCTGTCCGTACTGTGCTAACCAGTGGGTAGTTAGCGCGGAAGATTACGTGACAAGATGTGAAATATCTCTCCGCTTTGCCGTCGCTAAAATCGCCCCACTAATAAGACACACGCAGGCTGTGTTCATGGTGGTAAAAATATATCCACCTCCCATTCATCGTGGAAATGATGGATTGTTTTTTGGAATCAATAATTGTATACTGCTCCGCTAACCAACGGACAAGAAAAAATGCGGGTTCGTGGAAAGTGATCTCAGTGTGATGTAATAATTGGAAGAGTGTTAATTGACCCGTCACATTACTGAGGTCAAATAAAAATAAGGTTGATGGTTACAATAATTATTATAGTGTCATTTCTAGTTCCCATATAAGTGTGATTTATACTAAAATAGCAGGACAAAATATAATTGATGTAGCTTACTTATAAGAGCCGTTATTAAGCTTAGTTTGGAACAGACCTGCGGGCGACTCATATGGTCTTCGCGGGCGACTTGGTGCCCGCGGGCAACGCGTTGGTGACCCCTGCTTTAAGTCATTCAACAAAATGCGCATTTGTGAGGGTTGTTCCAGTCTGATCAATGGATACTGCCATACCAGGTCAAGATTAAGCGATAATTTCATTCCGATTTTCCTTATATTAGTTTTATTACGAGTTCGGGGGTGTCTATGTTAAGTGAATATAACCCTGCCCATAGGTTTCATTCCATATACACAACTTGATGTAAAGTAGGCAAACAAAATTAGTCACGTCCATATTGGTACACACACTTCTGGAGCGCCGACCAATGCTATATTAGTATATTACGTGAAATATCAGAATGTTTCATAATGGGTTGAGATTAGTTTTGAATGCAAATCATTCGAGCGTCTAACCCAGGGGTGTGCAACCATTATTACAGGAGGGCCAAATTCAAGTTATCAGGTGAAGCATCGGGCCACACCTTCATTTAATATCTATCTAGTAATTTAAGGCACAAGAAAATGTTTTGTATTAGTATTGATCTTACGAAATGTCAGGGGTCCGTGCAAAAATGGTGAGTTAAAACGCATAAATATCCGAACGAAACTGTTACTTTCACACCAACTTTAAACGAATTTAGTGAGAAACATGTTTTTATGACATCAAGTGCTGTAAAGAGACTGAAACCTATGGGCAGGTGGTATATTCACTTGGCTAACACAGGCAGTCCCCTAACTTGAAATAGCACTAAAATAAGAAAAATTGGAATAAAATTATAGCATATTGCAGAAAACATAAATTAAAAATAAAAGAGAAAAAGATCTAGCTCTGAAACAAAATAGGAAGAGAGAAAAGACAATTGATGAAAAGGAGAGTTTAGTGGTACTCGAGATAACCTATACAATGTGCGAAATACTTGTTGGACACGTCAGTGGACATAATGATCGTTTCAATATTATTTTGTTGTTCTTTGACACATTTTTAAAGGGTCGCTTTAATCTTTGATTACTGGCCCAATTGATTTGAAATTTTCAGGAAGTAAAGCTTATATTTTTTGCTGGAAGGCTATTACTTTCATTTTTTGCTATGACGTCACCAAAATTATTGCCACAAGGTGGCGCTACGTATCCATATATTTAAGCATAGCTCTCTTGTTGTTATGAACCATCCAAGATGTAAAGCGCACGCACGACATTTCAAGTTGGAAAATGATGACATGTTCGTTAATTGAGCCTGTGTAAATAATGCATCTCAAATAACTTCTAATTTTCATAATCACTGCACATCGTTGAAATATAAACAATGAAATGAATGCAACTTTGTTCATGCTATGGGGTATTGATTTTGAATCCAGACATGACGAAATGACGCCTGCTTTCAATCATGCACAGAAGTATCACCCTGTATATTGTACATACTCTAAATCTCGGAGCAGGCTCTAGTTTGTCGAAAGAGCGATGACGTCATGAATCCACAACGAAAAATGAACATTTTGACTTGATTTCACGAATAAGAAGGGGAGAAATCTTGTACGGAAGCCAGTTGTCAGTCATCTGTCTTGACGATTTTTACAGGTGTGTGGACTTGAGTTTGCACTACGTGATATTGCTCAATAGAAACATGTATTTCGAAAAAGTCCGATGCTCCGAGTGCGCTTCTCAGTGAGGCATTATGCGAGAACAACTGTTCACAACTGACAATTTATGTCTTCGCAAGGGTCTACTCTAACCATAGAGTCAGTGTGTTATTTTTACGCATTGAACATACAGAATTATGAAAGGTAAAAAAATGCATTTCAGTGTGAGGGAGACGCGATAAACCAGTGACGGTTATCGAGCAGCGTCACCTAGAGTGTGCTGAAACCAAGTATCACTCATTATAAAACTCCGTTTTACACGATTTCAAATACACGTGGCTCTCTACATCTGAGTGACATCTGTTCAAGTCCTTTTTTAAGCGATGATATGAAAATACTCGCCCGGCCCACGGATCGCCTGTTGCAACCCCTGATATAGAGCCATTTAGTATAGGGTTGCCATACAGTCCGGAAAATTCCGGACATGTCCGGAATTTAGGGTTAAATTTTGCGTGGGGAAGAATTAAAAAAATGCTCAAATGTCCGGAATCCGGAATTTTACTGCATCTGCAATCGTACTGTGCAAACTGCTAATACAGAACATTGTTATTTCGTACCGTGCGCATATTTTTTACTACGAGGTCATGAAAATAGTCATGCACTGACCGGACCGAATTTTGCTTTTTCAAATATGGTGACCCTAATTTAGTATGTCCTTGTCAACACTCAGATTTTTGCCCCAACATACTCAGTGTGACCCTTGTCAACACTCAGAATCTTCCCCATCAAGCACAAAATCCGAATCCGGCAGTTCTTGTTTAAAAAGTCGCTCAGGTGGGTAAAAGTGCATAACGATTTTTGCTCTTGCCGCTGCAATAAATCTTTCGCCGCTTTGCCCGGTGTTTTCATCATTACTGCAAGGCTAAGCAATAGTCGTATTCTCTACTCTTGCCTTTTCCGCATGGAAATTTTTTTGTTGTTGCCAGGCTACATGTCTGAAATTGGTTATTTAACCCACCGACAAAATGGCTGAGTGAGTGATCTGACTTCTGAGTGAGTACGCGTAAAAATGGTCTGGGCTAATTGAAATAAAAATCCTACTGTTAACCACTATCCTACGCGTTTCAAGAGTCTTTTCGCGCAATGACAAGAATGTGATCCTCTCAAAGTTCCGTCTGGCCGAAAAAAGATTTCTCAAAAACAAGAATATTACGACTATCACAAAAAATGGTACTTCCGAAGTGTGTGAACCAAGAAGGCGGACACCGGAACGTAGTATGTGTACCTGGTTAGGTCATAATGTCAGGTACAAATACTACGCTACGACTAGTCACTTGGCTAGTCCCCGAACTCGTAATGGAACTAAAATAAGGACAATTGGTATAAAATTATGGCCTAACCCTAACCTGTTACACATACTACGTTCCGGTGTCTGCCATCTTGGTTCACATACTTCGGGAGAACCCCAAAAATTCCATGTGTGTATAAACAATCACACCGTAGCATAGGAAACTTAGCCCGAAAACATCACTTGATAACAAATTCTAGTCATAAAAACGATTTTTTTAACAGTGCAACGTGAAAATTTATGACAAGCGTCGTCGTAGTGACGTGTTTGCGCAAGAATTCATTAAAAAGATATTGAAGTAGAAGAAGAGACCTTTGTTGCGTCATAGTATCATAGCCATGCATGAATGAGCATAAAAATACGAAATGATTCGGCATAGAATACATACGGTGGTCGCACTGTTGAAAAATATCAGTTTTTCGATATGAATTTCATGTTACTGTGACAATTTGTATAGTTAGGATCATTTGATGACAGTTTTAAACATGACAGTATGACGAACAGCGCTATGTCACTAGTCTTCGAAGTTGAGTATCTGACCGCTCTATACCAAGGATAAAATCATATATAAATCTATATGTTGTCGTGTCAACCACCAAACACTGTTAACGAGTGACAAACATATATATATATAGGATGTATGTCCATTAGTCTTACATTTTCTTTAAATTGCAAATGGAATTTATCGATACCATATAATATTTTGGACCTCACAGATGTATTGAATGAAGTAAAAATACTTGAACAATTAATGATTATTTCAGGATTTGATACTGAGAAATCCTGTCTGAAAAGTGTAATTACCCAATGTTACTTTGTTGAATTATACTAAAAATCCAGTTAATAATCTAATTCTTTTCAAAGTACAATTTTCAATATTAATAAACAATACCAATTATCTATCAATTATGATCTATGCAAAAGACTTGACAAATTATGCCCGTTTCAAACTCGGCCAAGGATAAAACATATCTTGAGAGTAAAAACGTGATTCATATGACAAATTGTTTTTCAAACTATAATTTCAAACGTTCGAACCCTTTATGGTCCTAACTTAAATATTTGAAGAGACGGTTGTTTGCATTCATGTCTTCAGTTTGGATCTTTCTATCTCGGAACAATAAAATATTTTTAAGAAAAAGTTTTATTTGAAGTCATACCGGTGGCTGCATTGTCCTGTATTGTATGAAGGACACGCTGTGTTGACGTCGCGTAAAAGCGTAAAGTACGCGCGAATATATAGCAAGTCGTTTGTTACATGGATGCTAATATAGCGTGAGGGCTACCACCATACGTCGCCTACCTAAGTGCAGTCTGAGGTTAAGGTGTGTACAAATTAAATGTTTATCACTAAAGTGGGTACTCCCGTAATATGTGTACCAGGTTAGGACCAGGTCATAATTTTATTCCGATTTTTCTTATTTTAGTTCTATTACGAGTTCGGGGACTGTCTGTGTTATTCAAGTGAATACACCCCGTCCATAGGTTTCAGTCTCTTTACGCAACTTGGTGTAAAGTAGACAAACAAAATTAGTGACCTCTATATTGGTACACACACTTCTGAAGCGCCCTAAGGTGAATGTATAAAATAAGTGATATCCATTAGAGATGGAAAATGCGGCGGTGGCCGAGGTAGAGCTCACGTTATAACGTGGTTAAGATTACGCTTATATATCGAAAGAGCGAAAAAGTTTGCTAGCTTGTGTGAGTTTTGCGAGATCAATTGATTTGAAGCATTGGTGCTCCAGCATAAATAATATTAAGCGGTGTATTTTGTTACAGAGAAATATTACAGACAAATGAGAATTCTCAAAATATTTCGTTTTTACTTCGTTGTCGGTGTAATATACTGTTATGAGAGGTTTGAGAGGCGTTAATTTCAAACGCCATTTATACGTTATAAGTCAGAAATTACTGTATGAATCTGTATCGTAAATATCAGTTATTTATTATAAAGTTTGATGGTGCAGGTGGCTGATATCAGAAAAATACGGCAAAATATTTAGTTTCTACTTTGTCGCATGTGTAATATATTGTTTTGAGAGGCTTAACACGGAAATTTTAAAAGATTAGAACATTGATAAGTCAGAATTCATCGTAAAAATCTGTATCGTAAATATCGGTTAATATGAGTTTAATGGTGCTAATATCAGAAACAAATACGGCATAGGTACGTCTCTCTAAGCGAAGTGTGCCAAGATTGGTTAGCGATTCCACGCTCTGAAAATTTGGTTCTATTTTAGCTTTCTGAATATAAGATTTGTGATAAGATTTATCAAAAGATGGCGTTGGATATCGAAGGTCACGTACATAGTGACGTCACGTATAAGTTGACTGGGGGTAGCGGAAATGACGTATTTGGAGAACTTGATATGTTATTTCTGGATGGAGGAACACAAAAATATTTACAATCGATATTAGACACAGATGACGTCATAGAGAAATTTGTGAACGTCACAAAGAATCTTGAAACGACCAAAACTACTTTGCCAGATGTGAAAAGTTTCAGTCGTAAACCCAGCAGCGAGAACACAAGTATGACGTCGTCAATGGCCAATATGTCGTCACAATCCAACGAATCAGAAAAGTTACATATAGGCCAAGATACTCTAATGGATTTATCATCAGCGAAGGGCGGACATTCGTCAAAAATGACACACCCTATGACGTCAGTCTCAGATATGTCGTCAGCATTGACGTGTGATACGGGAATTCACCATGAATCATCTACGAACAATGCCATTTCCCCACAGCTAGTCTTTACTCCAGTAAACACTATTAAAGATAATATTGAAGCCATGCAATACGAAACAGATCACGAAATAAAACTAACAGACCTTAGCTGGAGTAACCGCATTTCTAACCCGCTCATACCGGAGCAACTCCAAACCCCAAAAGACAATCCACAGTTTGCTGTGCCTACACCAAAACACCACATGATACCAAATGGCCCGCATTCCTATTGCTACATTCTTCCAAATGGGCAAATAAGTCCATATCCAATATTTTCAACGTACAACTTAAACAACCTCCCTCCTCCACCGCCTTACCCTGGACTCAAAATGTCGGAACATGTCGAGAGTGAACAAAAGATGGCGACGATGCAAAACAACTTTACCACATTTACCGCAGAGGTATGTAAAACATTTCAGGTTTTGACATTATGTGCAATATGTAAAACATAATCTTCAGTGAAAACATTTCAGGTTTTGACATTATGTGCAATATGTAAAACATAATCTTCAGTGAAAACACGACGCTGTTAGTGATATCAGTGGTTGGTGCATAAAAATATTTCGGAGTGCGTATAATCGGCTACTTACCCATGGCGACGTCGTAAAGCACTCCATGAGAAGTAATGCAATACATAAATTAGAGGTTTAATTGCGTTTGCAACCTATCGTGTTAAACCAAATTAGATGAAATTACAATGAGATTCATATTTCGACTCGTATTCCGAATGTACCATCGAGACTTATGAAGTCACGAGCACCATGTTTCGCATTCTCGAGCTTTGCTTCGCCTGTTAGTGAGGGTACATTTCTGTGGTCGCCCATGTGTTTGCTAAGAGATCAATCTTCTTTCCCTTTGCTCAGAAGTTCAGTCTCTTTTACTTTTAGGTGGTTTGACGTGACGTAAAATTTCGTTTAAAAATTACTGTGTTTTTCTGACTGTAATTTGTATATCTATCATTCATACGTCATATAATTGCGACGCATCTTTCATCTCCGTGCGTAAAATAAACGTGCTTTACGTGCCGACGCCCTGTTTGTAAACACGCAGATAACAATAGTTTGGAAATCGACCTGAACGCTTCTGAATAGGGTGACAAGGGGGCGCAGAGGGTCAAAGTGCAAATGTAATTGAATGATTCAGCGTAAAATATTTAGTCATATGGCAATCCGCGCTTCTATTCCAATTGTCGGTCCAGGTGGGTATGGAAATGACCAATTTGTCAATTTTAGAGTTTCTGGTTTACACACTTGATGGAGGAAGAAGTTGAACGTTGCAATTTATCCATCCTGGTAATTAACGATATGTAGGGATAGGGATATCACAAAAAAAGTCAGATAATTATGATTAGATAGACGGAAATTTAAGTTTTAAATTTATTCTGGGGGAAGGGAAAAGTATATAAGAAGTCGTAATTATATGACGAACCACCGCTCTATGCCATTGTTAGTCCAGATCTGTATGGAAATAGCCAATTTGCCAGTTTTCGACCAACGGTTACGGGATCTACACTACGAGTGCGCAGTGTTAACAAATTGTCGCTTTGCACTTCTTAGGGCAACCATGGGCTCAACAGATGGTATATCACGCTGAGGGTTAGGAACACATCGTGTACTCAAAATGAACAACTGGTTAATGAGCAAAGTTAGGCAAATTCACTCTGAAGAAACGAAGAATCATCTCTTAGCAAAGTTATGGGCACTTATTCAAACGTAAAAAAAATTAATTCTGGGCAAAGTTACGCGCATTCACTCAGAAGCAGAAGAGACTCGTCTCAGAGCGACGTTATGGACACTCGCTCAGAAGCGGACTCATCTCTGCAAAGTTACGGGCACTGACTCGGAAAAAGTAGACTCATCTATGAGCTAAGATACGGGCACTCACTCAGAAGTTAGGTAAGAAGACGAAGGTAAGAACAAAGAAAAGACTCATCTGTGGGTGAGGTTACGGGTGGTCACGAAGGTGCAACGAGCTATTGGGACTTATAGATTCTCCTCCCTCCCGGAATAAACATAAAAATCCTGTCCATCATAAGGATCGCAGAAATACTTTTACCTTGCCATTAACGAGTTCACTGGCCTTCGTTTTGTTCGTCAGTTTACTTATTAGTTATTTTTATCCACAAACAATGTCGTAAAATTCCGAAGCTCATAAATTTCTCAACGAAAACGATGCTCGTAAAAATACTTCCTCTCGGTCATAATGTAAATACGCACGACATGGCGGTTTTAAAATTCTGTAAAGTATGAGTGCTAGCGCGAATAAAGAGAGGCTCTATATGACATATATTTTGTTTAAGCGCTATAACAACATTAATGACACAAACATACGGTGTCCATGAGTCTTAAAATTTTTAAAATTGCAAAGAAAATTTATCGATGCCACATATGCCCTCACAGATGTATTAAATGAAGTAAAATTACTTGGAACAATTACTGGTTAAAAAACCACAAATTTGGTTAAGATATGAACTGACTTCATAACAAAACTGAAATTGTGAAGTATATTGGCGTCGTTCTCTTCTAGAATTTTAAGCTTACACGAGGCAAATTTTGTGGTGTCATGTACTAATCATTATTCGAATATGATTTTATATATTTATCTTGGATGGAAGAGTCGATAAGACATCATATGAAAAGGCGGCGGTTTAATCAACGATGAAATAGGTTGCAAGACAACTATCGCGTCGATATATTTTGTTATATGTCATGACTTTTTTGTCAATCATTTAATTTTTTTCAATAGGGGAGTGGTGAGAGCGTTAGGTCTTACGATATTATCGTCGAATGTCAAGAGATTTCGAATCTAAATCCCATGCCCAGCACGGTCCACATGGTGTAATAATTTGGTAGAAACCAGGGGCATACTCCACCCTTACCCCTGATGCTACCCACCCACCCTCTTTGCACAATTGTCTGTATGAAGGACCATATTATACTTATTTGATTATTGCATTTTATGCTTATCATAGGGGGTGTATGCTGCACTTTCATTTGTTTTAGGCCAGTATGGTCTTGTGTATACATCCCGTCTTCAATGTTGATATTTACTAACTCCTGTGTTTTTGCTTTTACGAGACGAATAAACATACATACATACACATACCCGCTAGCTGTTACGATCTAACTTGGAAATCTCAGAATCCCCTTTCTGGAAATTCTTGGCTACGACCTTGGCATCCGTTGCGGATTAGATAGAGTTACCATAATTTGTGACCTCAAAGCGAGACGCCTCAAAAATCATGCATTCACCTTCAGTAAGTAGGCTACCGGTAAGCTACACAGCAACAACAGTGTCGAGAACATGCTAATTGGTAATGTTCGTGTATTATTTTGACTTGCGGGACTTTTGGCTGACCGGTCGGGACGCCGGGACAAGACGTTAAAAAGTGGGACAGTCCCACCTAAATCGGGACGTATCGTAAGCCTAGGTTTAGAGAACTTGGGTTCAGAGCAAACTCCTACCACGCAGGGTGCAGTTAATTGGGTTTTCTTACTACAGTATTAGATTTTGCTTATACAAAGCCTTGTTCTCGTTGAAGGTGCGAAAACAATTTATTAAAATAAATAAATTGTAATACACGGCATCCTCAACCATGCATAGTCAAACCACGTCCTGTTCAATCATTCAACAAAAATATTTTTCTTTATTAAATCCAGATTGATTGGACGTTTTATTCTTAAATCCTTCAATAAACTTTCAATAGCATGAAATATAATAACAAGTAGGAACTGGCAACGCCCTTTATCTAAATAAACACTCAATACAATGTCACGCATCCATCTTACGCAAACGGAGAAAAGGTCCGAGACATGCTCTATTGAAAATGAATATATGAAAAGGGTTTAGCATGCTATTAAAAATTTAAGTAAAATAAACTTGCGATTTATGAAATAGTTAGTTGCATCTCAGAGTAGAAAATAGTTACAAATTTGAAAGACACATCGAATTTGTCGAATGTAATGCACAAATAAAATTGGGTATTCCCGTAGTATGTGAACCAAGATGGCGGACACCGGAACGTAGTATGTGTACCAGGTTAGAGTTAGGCCATAATTGTATTTCAATTTTCCTCATTTTAGTTCTATTACGAGTATGGGGACTAGCCAAGTGACTTCCGTAGTATTTGTACCTGAAATTATGGCCTATCTCTAACCTGGTACACATACTACGTTCCGGTTTCCGCTATCTTAGTTCACATACTACGGGAGTACCTAAAATTGTGACGTAATCAAATGAAATGTGACACATTGTTATTAAAACATTTAGAACAGAATGATTCAACCGAATGATTTTGCCCGAAACTTTACTCTAACTTGAAGTTAAGTTACTTTACTGTTTTCTAATTCCGATTTCAATAAACAGACAGAACAAGGATTTTACCCGTTTTTAATTAAACTTGAAAACAGCTCAGTTTCAGCACGCACGGAGTCTTTGTGGGAGCAACCTCAAACCGTTTCTCTTATTTCAGTAATTACGTTGTCGAGGCAAGTTCTTCCCAGTAAGCTTAATACTTCTGTCATTATTCATTATGTTTGTACTTGATTCATCGCCGTCACTTTTGATTTATTTACCAAGCTTTTAGTTCTTCGAGGCGATGTATTGAATAAGCGAAAATATTACTTTGAGTTTGTGGTAATTGTAGAGACTTGCGGGATTTAATATTTTTGATCTCTTGTTCATGGTTTAAATCAAGAATCCTTGTCGTCTGATTAAACAATCTCTCTCCGTATGATTACTATAGCCATCTTACTCTAATTCTGAATGTTCCCCTAACCCAGGGCATATTTTGGACCTCCTGAAGTATGCCCAACAAGGTGGCGCACAACCTGAACTCAGGTTGTGTACCAGATTAGGGTTCAGGTTATGCGACATCTTGGTGCGTATACTTCAGGAGTACCCATATTTTTAACTGTAAAAAGATCGTGATTTAATTCATTTCGTCTTGATAAAGGTTTTCACAAAGTACGTAAATAAGTGAGCTAAAAAAATCTTTGAAAAAATGTTAGGAGCCCTCTGGGCCTTGTGTGTGCAATGTGGAATAAAGTCAAGATTTGGTGCACTCACTTACAAACGCTATGCTTGTGGATGCCTGTTATTAATGAAGTATTTAAGAAAGTGGGTTTTCCAGAGTCTTGCGGCCTGAAAAGCGTTTCAAGCTACGAAAATTTACTATGTGTGATACAGAAGTGCTTTTTTACAATTTAAAAAGGGGGGGAGGGGGTCCTACGTGCAAAACCCCCTGGCTACGCCCCCATTCTGGTCGGTATTGTCTACCCAATATATTGTAGTACCAATTGTGTATATGACAAACTTGTATATGAAATATGGATTATATTTAATAATTGGCGTACGCACTTACGAACGCTATGTCTGTATTATAGCTTCTTTCGTATTTAAGAAAGTTGGGCCGGCATCCGCATCGTAATGGCAGTGTAACATCTCGTTTTTTGGTTGAGATAGCTGACAAAGTTTCCTATTAATCCCAGGGAAAAGAAAGCCGTTAAGACAACTTTATAATATAGAAAACTATACCATTTAGTACATAGTACTTTGCTCCAGTACAGACAACAAATAAACTGTTTTTTCCTGACATTTGAGAATAACTTTGAAAAATCAGAATTCACGAGAGCAAGTTTAGGTATCCAAAATATTACCATTAATTAACGGGAGTCTAATCTAAATCACAATGCAAATTTTTGAAATTTTAATACATCAGAAAATCCCCTTATTGAAATGTTCAACCATGCACGTTGAAATAGAATAAATTGACATTTTAATGGCGCGCTGCTATGTTTTTCATAACCTCTAAGTCGGTAGAAGTTAAATATTGACTTTCTCATTACGGTTCGAGTCTTGGTGGTATTAGTCATTGAAGTTTGGGAGCACGCCGAGGTCATGTGTACACATGGACGATCTTAACGTGGCGGCGCGTTGTAAAAAAAGATGATTCGCCGTTTGCTTACGGTTGTGTACAAAAAAAATCTGGGGTTTTTGACCAAGGAATGACCAGAGATATTGGTTCGGCACTAGGGATAATAACCAACAGGGCCAATGTCATGCTGAAACGATCCTAGTACCGATATTCCTTTAAATATTCCACGTGTGAATAATGAATCCACGTGGTATCGATAAACATCATTCTTGACAAATGCTAATCAATAAAGTCCAATAAAACCTTTCGAGACTTAGTCATTTTGGCAACGGCGGCACAAAACCCGTACTTCAAACCCCATCCCCGCGAATTTTCTTAGCTTGAACGCTCTTAGGCTCTCCCGACTCCTGAAAACTCAAGTTTTCTAATCTTCGGTTGGACCCGCTGGCTGTCACGATCCAACCACAATTGTACTATTATGTCCTAACTTGGCAATCCTGGCTACACCCCCGGCTCTATATCAGTTAGCTTTTTATGAATGAAAAGCGTAAAAAAGTATATATATGAAAACCTTGGAACATTTTCGAAATTTAGTCTGTCATTTTCAGTTTTGAATCGAATTTTTTTTCCAGGTCAATCAGAACTTCGATGAACGGGTTGAACTTCCGCCTCCGCAAGTCCAACGAAAACGACCAACTCGTAGACCAAGAAGAGTTACAATACATAAATGCAGCTTCAACGGATGTGAGAAAACATACACAAAGAGTTCGCACCTGAAAGCCCATGTGAGAACACATACAGGTAAGACGGGTAATTAGTTGACGTGGGTACAAAGGTTATGGCTTAAGAGCATAGGCGTAGCCAGGATGAAGGATCCATGCCCCTCACCCCCTCTCCATACCCTCTAAAAATTTCACTGACTTTTTATTGAAACGAAATTTAGCGACATTTGCAGTGAGGCATAAATTCCTACGCCTTCGAGATAAATGAAAATGCCCGAAAAGCTACAAAAATCAGTTTGCCCCCCCCCCCCCCCCCTCATCCACAATTTTGGGCGGCTGTCTACGCTCTTGCTTCAGAGTTGGGCTTTTTTAGCAGTATCGAAGATTGGGTCTGGGTACATAGTTCACCATTCCTCGGCTTTGTGTACCAGTTGACAAAAATTTTGGTTTGCACTCCGGGTTAAAAACATTTAAACTCTATTTCCGGACTACGGGTTGTAAAAATTTCGAGTGAACTTCAACTCTGAAAAAATCCAATTTTGATCCGAAAACAATGACGCATCCAAGCCTTCTTCAGTAGACCGTTAAGGACGCTTAAGGTTTTTGAGTATTTATGGAAAATATGACTTCTAATATCACCATTGAGAGTCTGCAATTCTGACTCAGAATTTCCACTCTGGATTCTCACTCTGCGGAGTTTGAAAGTATGGCTCCGTTTTTGACCCCGAGAAAACATGCCAATCTCCGACCAAGGCTTTTTTAGTATTTCGGAATTATTACACGGCGCTGCAGTCAGACATTTAACGACCCAGGAGCGGAGCCGCTGAGGTTTATTTTATGCGCTCCCAAAGTATGTGCACCAAGATGGCGCACAACCTGAACCCTGACCTGGTACACAAACTGTGTTCAGGTTGTGTGCCATCTTGGTGCACATACTTCGGGAGCTCCTTATTTTATACACTAACGAGTAACCAATTCGATGCACCCTACGTGAGGGCATATATTTATATCTGAAATCTCTTCGACGACAACATAATTAGTCGTCGGGTCTGCCAGCTATTACTTACAAATTGTGCTACAAATTTATTACTATTCACAACATAACTCTCATTTCCAGGAGAAAAACCGTATCGTTGTAATTGGATGGGCTGTGGATGGAGATTCGCTCGATCAGATGAACTCACCCGACATTACAGGAAACACACTGGACATCGCCCGTTTAAATGTGCCATGTGCGAGAGGGCATTCAGCCGTTCTGACCATCTTGCTCTACATATGAAACGGCACGTGTACTGATTTGTCAGTGACGTCATTATGATGACGTCATAGAACTATTAAAAATTGGAGTTGAAATAATAGAAGAAGGGTATTTGTCATCGAAAAAATAATATGAGAAATGAAATGTGGACAATCTCAGAACTAGGGGTTTCTTTGCGAGCAGTATCATTAATACTTTTATAGCCAATATCAAGTACTTCTCCATTAACTTGGTGTTCAAAAAACTTTTTCGCGATACATGAGTTTCTCGTGAATCCGAAGTCACATGCTTATTTTATACATTAAATCAACGCTAATCACGTTATCACGTTAAGTATAGAATCAATTCTACTCACAAATTGACTAGGCGATGTGGCCAGATGAATACTGTTTTATTTTTAAACATTTTAATATAAATACTTGAGATATCGGATCTTTTATACGAAGCTCCCACCACTAATGCGAAAATGCCTCACCACGTTTTAAAATACCAAATTAGTAATTATCCAGTTCGGTTAGGAATGATTTGGAAAATTTTCAGCATATTCTGTATTCCTAGCCTTCACCCAAGAATAATTACTATTTTTTTGTGCGGTGGCGTTTTTTTTTCTCCGGGGGATTTGTACAGAAAATCCGAGATCTTTTTCAACGAAGCCAAAGAACTACACTTCGCGTTTACATTTGAGAAATGAAACTCGGGCTCTGAGGCAAATACCTATAATTATAAATTTTGTTAGTGTGTTGTCCATTTTTTGTTACAGTTTTTTAAACGTTAATTAAGCTTCTTTTTTACCTTTTTACTATGGAATATACAAGAATATTGATATTGAAGACTTCTATTTTTAAAAGTAATAAGCGCCAAGTTAATCACAGGAAAGTTGAAGAGCAAATCTTAAGCGAAGAGAAAAGATTTGCGGTATCATCATAATCGCGATTGTGGTGTAATACGGTTGGGATCTTTGTGCAAAGCAAGCACCACTGTATAGAGTTCCGGTTATCGACGCGTATTTTTCTTAAGGCAGTCTTATATTTTTTGCGTACCAGGATAAGAATTGTCACTATACTGTCAACTAACGAATTTATGTATATGATCAGTAATCAGTTTATTTGATGCTCCCGAAGTCTTCGTACCAAGATGGCACACAACCTGAACATAGTATGTGTACCAGGTCAGGGTTGTTCAGGTTGTGCGTCATTCTGGTACGAATACGTCCGGAGCGCCGTTCATTTTACACATACCGAAAATACACATTGTACATACAGAATTAAAAAAGATAAAAAAAAAATGCATTTTAGTGTGAAGGTATACTCAATGAACCAGTAATAGTTATCGAGCATATAAGAAATATGTATAACAGCTTTCAATACTCGTAAAGATCTATCCGTCATTACGGTATCCATTTCTCCCAACTAAAATCGTATTCTTTTTGAGTTCAATGGCCTTTCGTTTCAGGCGCACGTTGATCTCAGAATCCACCCAGTATAATCACTGGGTATGGCGGACTAGTGCGAAGTTATTACTAATAATCAACCAGCGGATGGACGAGTATTTAGGTATTACTTATATATTTTGTTATTAACTAACGAACCGCAGATTCGCGCACCAACCTGACAAGATAACCAAAACAACAACACGCTAATCTAATGTACAGGAAGCAGTATATTCATTGGTGCTTTTGCAATCGCGTTTCTGGTGTTCCATAAACGCGGGGTAATAATTACGATGATAAGCGTTGGCTACGCTCTTGCTTTTGCACCACGGAATGATTACTGAACGCGAGTTATCCAATTTGAAGGCAAATGACGATTGTTGGATTCTTCATCGTCACATGGTGGTTTACTGTATTCCCCGGTATGAAAGACCAATTAGCCACACACTGGTTTGTCCTTACCGGTACTGGTAACAGGGTGAGACGCCATAGGTCGTCATGTTGTTAGTTAGTTTTTTCTGATTGGTATTCCGCTATCGCGAGCAGAATATCAGAATCCTATTTCATGAAAATAGAATTTCAGATATTGTGCAAAACGCCGGAAAGGCAGCGCATTTGAACCAACTTGAACCAGTTTTGCCTAAATTGCCACGCTGTCCCTCCTCTCTAAACTGGCCATTATGCAACAATAACTGGCAGAATATATAACTGCCACTTGCATTAAACAAATATACACACTGAACACTTTAAGTCTGATGTTACTGATTGTAAACTATAACTGCGTTCCGAAAAGCAATATCCGTCACTACGCAGTACGCAGGAATCTTCGATCAATCATTTTATTTTGGAGAGTCTCAAAATAAGTATATATAATAACACGCACTTACCGATGAAGTCGACATGGATATCCATCTTTGTAGATCTTGCTGATTAAGCCGGCTTCTCTATGCTCAATACGTGTGGAAAATCCAAACATTTCGGCGGACTGCAGAAACCTGCGACCCAACAAAACCCCAATTTGCTTCACCATCGCCCTAACCGCAAACGATCAGCAGCGCAATGGAGGAGCGTTCGTGTTACGTAATAATACGGCGCTAAATGTCATTGTGACGGAATTCAAATGTAAGATTGCTCTTTCGCCTCGCGGAAAAAAAAACGGTACACAACTTTTTTTTAAATTTAAGCATGAAACATATGCTGTATAGGTTATATGGCAAGAGAGTTCGATCATTCAGATATGGTCATGGACAAGTCAAATCAAAATCAAAAAACATAACCTGATCCTATTCCAGGATCAGTTCGAAATGTACTGGTTCAGGCAATGGCATTCTACCACAGCTTATGGCGACTATGGTGGCCCATCGTTGTCACGCTTAAAATTGAAAAAAAAATTAAAAAAAAAATAAAAAACTTAAAATAAAATTAGAATAAAAAAATAGTTGTGAAAAAACATTAAAAAAAAAATGAAAAAAAAAAATTAAAATAAAATGCAAAAAAAAAAAAAATTAAAAATAAAAACGAAAATAAAATAAGAAAGAAATTATAAAAAAAAAAAAAATAAAAAAAAAACGTAAATAAAAAAAAAATACAAAGGTTGACAACGATGGGCCGGCCACGAGGCGTTGTCACGCGTTTTTATTTTGAGAAAATTTGCTTCGGCTTGGGACCAACGTTGTCATGCATAATCCTACGCGCACAAACTGTGTTTCGTGGGTTTCTAACTCACTACTGATTTTTTTTAGCAATATTCAATAAATTCAAAACGAAAATGTTCTATAAATTCTCCATGCTACAAGTTCAACTAGAAGTAATATATGTATAATAATGATAAGAGAATATAGAATTGAGCAGTGGTTAGCAGTGGTTCTCAATCGGGCTCCCGTAGAGGGCCACAGAGAAGTTGAAGGGGGCCACCATGCCAGGCGCAAAACGGATTTTATGTTTCATTTGAAAAAATCCTGTTTTTCCTAGTTTAATTGCTTGATAAGGGTATTTCACAGGGTGTTTTCACTTTATTGAGCATGAATTGTTTGAACACAATGGGATTAGAAATCTACCAATCAACGTAACACTACTGAATGATAAATGATAAACAAGGGGGTCATAAGTGCTAAACGCCTCTAGAAGGGCCACACTGCTCTAAAGTCTCCATACTTTGGTTTCCCGCAAGAATTTTTGCAAAATTCTTATGTTTTGTGGTGATATTGTGGGAACTAATTTCTGTTTTCCACATGACCTCTAGGTTGATATCGCTATCACAATAGCAGCAGGGAGTACAGCTCGCGCTGAGAGTGAGAAAGCCCGAGGCATGAGGTTACGCTGGAACGTAGTTAATGTCACAATAACAACACAAAGAAGCGCGAATACGTGTTGCATATAATGATAAACATCGTCCCTTGTTTCCACGGAAGCTTTGTACGCAAACATGAACGTGCCATCCATGTTTCTAAGACAAAATAAGCACGCAACTCAAAAAAATAAGCATTTTTCTTGGAAAAAAGCACGATATGGTAACCCTGCCTATAATTGATTCCGTACCTGAACTCATAGTTGTTTTCCTATTAGTTTTGGCCTGAACCGCTTACGCGTCGCGTCGATCAGTATATTGTATATATGTTATTGCTGCAATGCTTGTTTTTGGTGACCGTACATTTGAACACATGTGTATATCCGCGGGTTCAATCTATATGCGGGTGCTAAAACCCATGGGTTAGGGTCAAAATTTCCGTAAAACAAAAAAAAATCTCATAGGTGCCCTTAGTATGCAGGGCAATTGTCGTGGGTTCAAATGTAATGGAACCCTTGTTTTTTTGTTGACGAAACAGTGAGCGTATCTCTCTCTATTTTAGGCGGGTAATGCATCGCTACAAATCTATACGATCAAAGTAGCTCTTGACCCTTTGTAACTTTGCTCAAAGATTAACCTCCTTTGCCGTCTGTTTGAGTATGCGTAACTTTGCTCACGAGTTTCCTTTACTTCACAGTGAGTGCGCGTGATAATGCCTTGAGCAAATTTATAAATTATATGCTATTTGCAGGGATCCTCTTCTTTTCTCAAACTATATTTCGATAAATATCTTAAACCCTCGTTAATTATAAAAAAAAAACTTCAATGTCTGCCTCATTATTCAATTCGTTTAATAATGGACCAGTTATTTCAATGATTTACTTGGCGCAAAGGTGCATTTTTTACCTCCTCAACGATGTACACACTCCAATATAAGTTTGAATATTTTTAATGAATGGTTTTTATGGACCTGCATCAGCATAAAGACACGTTTTGAGTAAAGTAGAAAGAAATAAATAGAAGACAAAAATATCACTGCGATCTCAGACTTTAGCAGAGGTGGACAAAGTAAAAAAGTTGGTAAAATTTACCAAATTTTTGCAGTTAACTAGCATTTTTATTGATGGCTAGCTTTTGCATGCACAATTGTACAAAATGAGGATGGCTAACTCATGACATCACATTTTTGCATTATGATGCCACGTTTGTATTATGACACCACTTTTCGTAAATTTTGACTTATACAACTTTGGCATATTGTACAAAAGTATTATGGTCTGAGATGTGGGACCGTAATTCTCTAACTGCCAGGGGTTGGAATCAACCCAGAGTCACGAATCGATTGTATATCTTCCCACGGTAGCCGATAAGAAAAACTACCAACATGAAGTGAAATTTTCCCTGATTATCCTATACTTTTTGCAAAATCTGGTTTTGAAGTATTATGACAGAGTCTGTGAGGTCAGATATGAGCATATTAACACTTGAGTCTGATTTCTCAAAATCCCAGGAGTGCGAATTCTTCATCTGAGTTGCAAAATTTCCAATGGAATAAAAAAAGTCAAAATTTTCCATAGAAGCTCAAAAAGCATGTTCACTAAGCACCCTATTATTCTATCAAAGAAGTTTTGCATACGACATAGTTTTTGTTATTAAAAATTGATTTCTTGCAGTCTTGAAGACAAAATTTCTGGCTAATCGGGATCCAGAGCCGAAATATTTCTAATCCAAAATAGGGAGTTGGTTGTAAATTTTCTCACAGTTTAATGTCATACTTTTTTTCATAACTTTTTTATAATTATATTGTCTCCCCCCAATCAGGCATATTTAATACTGGTAACTTTTGCATTAAAATAAAATAACATTGATTTGATATGCGAATTCCATACACTGAAACATAACACTAGAATCAAGAATTCGGATACCCATAGTTTATGAGAGACTGATGGAAAAGGACAATTGTGAACTGAGCCTAATCTCACTGCTGCATGGGATTATTAGGGGTCATATATATTCAATCAGTTTATTTTGGAAATGCAGGAGTTAAGATAAACTATGTTTGAATGTCCCTCTATATTTTACAGTTCTCAGAAATTAAATGGAGGCCTTTTGGTTACACAGCAAAACTTCAATTTCTCGAAATGATAATTCAAATTGAAACTAATCTGAATTATTCCTAAATGCAGGGAATCAAACTTCAAACTTTCAATTCGGTTTAGACAACCATTCATTCTATTCATACATTGTCAAGACCAGTTTTAATCTCTTGAGGCACATCCTTCATTAGCAGAAGATATTTGCTCACTAGACAACTTTAAAAAACAATTCGACAAATAGGTGACTAAATAGGTCGGTTGAAGATTTTGAGTTAGAGCTTTCCTTTATAATAAACATGAAATTATTCCGTTAGGCAAGTCAATTTCTCATAAGATACCGATGATTTACTCTGTCAAGTCGAATTGACTATAATAATATTCAGAAACATCAGAATTTACAAATAAACAAGCATTATTCAGAATTGACCATGTTTTTCCTACAGAATGGATCCAATTTAGTATAGCCAAAATAAAATTGGCGCATTTGGTTGGTGAGTTGCATTTTGTGATCATTCAACCATAAAATTTGTGATCATTGGACCTTGACATTCGAGGTCACTCAACCATAACAGGCCGTTCAGCCGTGACATCTGAGGTCATTCAGCCATATCAGGGGGACTCTAGTCCAATTCGACATAAGGCAATATTTGTAAAGGTAGTTTTTCCTCCTCCCCGGGGAGTGGCTCTGATTTCATGTGGTTACGAACACAAAAAGACTCCATCCAGTCATACCATGACCCGTTGTTACCACGACAACCAGTCACACCTGGTTGTTTACAGATACGAGAATGTGTAGGCTCGTACTTTTCGCTAATAGTAATAGAATTGCAAAATGTTTTTTCTAAGTTGTGCTCGGAGTCCGAACTTGTAGAATCAGAGTCAATGTTCTCGACAAGATTCGAAAGCGGAAACATTGATGTCAACTTAATATCACCAGTTTCTTTTCGTCGTGTTTTTCGTTTCCGAAATTCGCGTCGAGTTTCGTAAAAATTAGCTGAGCAATCGCCGGCACAGCTTTTAAATGAAGTACTATTATAATCACCCAATATAGAAACAGTGGGAGAAATTCTTGTAGGTATCTCGTTGCTTTCAACTAACTCTTCAGGAACACTTGGATTCCTAATCTCCTTTTTCTCAATTTTTGTTGAAACTTTTTGGACTTGTTTTATTTTTACTTCAGTTGATTGTCTGTCGCTTGGCGAAATGTTATTTCGATTAATTTCTGTTTTTGTTTTTACGTGTAAATTAAAGTCTTTTCCGTTTTTAAAAATGCTGGATTGTTTTGGTGAGACTTTGATTGATTTTTTCTTGATTTCTCTCTCTGAAGACGACGACCGGTGATCAGAAACGTCGCTGGGAACCTGAAAATGCAAAAAGTATGGGAATGCCGATTCTGAATTCCTTCAGGGTCAAACCATTCGTACTCAGCAAAGCGAAAACATTTTTGAATAACGTCGAGTGTACTGGGAAAAACGGAGAGTTTTCTTGTGAAGGGAAAGTAAAAACGATTTCGCGCCTAGCATTGTGGCCCTCTTGGGAGGCCACAGGGCCCCCGGTTGCGAACCACTGCAGTAAGTTACTGGAGTCCTTTAAATGAGATGACATACTCAACTACTTGTGATTGACTGGATTTGAGATGGCCTGTGACACAACTCAGGTTTCATGAACTGCTTACCTGTTGTAATTGCTTGGTCCTGTGATCATAGGTTAACGTCAATCTCCTTTCCTTGGGGCCTCTTGGTTTATCAGTGGACGGTGAGGTTTCTAACGACGCAGTTTCAACCTTAATAATAAAAAACTGATAATTGAATTGATATTTCCCCAGGCACCAATTTCCTTGTTTATTTCCAAAACCATAGCCAATCAGCAATAACTCAACAATGATGTAACAATTGCAATTTTTTAATCGCTCAGACTGATATTCAAAGATGTAGCGTGGAAAATTTTTGGTAGGGGGGCGACAAGCTAATTGAAAATAAAAATGTTTAATTGCTTTCATAGCAAATTTTGCTTGTTTTCAAAACTTCATTTATTCCATTATTTACATCCCATCCACATATTATCAACATGTTTTTTGAATAAAACATACTTACTATGTGTTATTTGAAACGAGCGCAGGACTTGACAAATTTTAAAAGGGGGGCACGGCTAAAAAAGTTTGAAAACCACTGTTTTGGGTGAAACACATTAAACAAAATATGAAGATTCAATAGAAGAAACAAACCTGCAGCTGTTCTCTCTTCCTTTTGCGATCCGAATTGACAATCGAAGCCTCAGGTGAAATATTTTTTAAATCATTGCAACTTTTCGGCGCCGGAATTGTTTTATTCATTTTATCGGGCGATTTATATTTCGTCGATGAATTTTGCACAGTGACATTCGGTGATGATTTCGACGTTGTCATTTTTGTTTCAGTTTTATTATTATTATAAACATCGTCTTGTCTTGGAAGCCTCTCGGTGGCGCTAGAGATATTTGGAAGGGCCGGGGAAGAAGTTTTGTGAGGGCTTTTGTGAGTCTTTTTTACTTTTGTGCGATTTTTGCGAGATTCTTTTGAAGTTGGGGTCGGAATTCGTAAAGCAGGTTCAGTCTGTGATCGATGGAGTGTGACAGGGTTGCTATTGGTTACAACGTCAACTTCTTCATCTTCTGTCAGGTTATTTGCAGATTGCGCTCCTGGACGAGCCTGAAACAAATCGTAAAATGTTAATGTCAAGAATTAATAAACATTAAAATATCAGTATCGAAAATGGCATCAGTATAAATCCTCGAAAACTGATTACCGTATTTTACCGGACCATAATGTTTAAATAATTTTTTTCTTAAAAATCAATCATGCGCCTTATAAGCCCAATGTATAGATCAAATATGGCTTCAAGCTTTATTGCATATACCGGTACTCAAAACTAGGGATGGGCAAAATCGAATACTTTTTTTCGAATCAAATAATTTGAATATTTTTAACGAATACCGAATAGTTGAAAAGCGAATATTTTTTTTTATATGCGACAAGATTCCAGAACGTCGGAGATCGAAAATCCCTTTGGAAATTAGTAGAAAGATTGAAAAGATCGGCCACCAAGCGTTTTTTTGATGGTTAGTTTCATCATATCCGTGATAGTTTTTGCCATCGCGATCGTTCCGCAGCAACATCCTAAAGTTGGTAATTTATATTCCCACCATTTCTCGTTTTTAATTCCTGCGGGTCGGCAGACATCGGATTTTTATCCAGCAAAAGGCTCGAATGAGCACCGTATGACGTCATTATACAAAAAATTTTGCCCCCCCCCAAATTTGCGGCTAGCTATGCTCTTGCTCGCATGGGGTAATCAGAGGTGCTATGGTGAACCTGTTCGTAACACTTGGCTTAATATACCAACTGCAGAGCTAGATTTGAGCTTTGGCAACTTAAAAAGTTCCAATACATTGGTAATTATACCCACCTTACTAAATGTTAATTTAAGACCATTAGTCCCAACAGACATAAGGGCAGAGTCCTTGGTTTGCTTCTTTCCTGGTTTTTTGACCTCCGAACCTTGGTCTTTAGGGGTCAATGAGCTCGGGATTATTGCATTTGATCCCCGACCCTTAGGAGTCACCATGTTTGATACTTTGACCTCCGAACTTTGAACTTTTGGGGTCGAAGGTCCATCAACAGCATCTTTCTTTCTGTGAGGTTTATTACTTTCAGAATGATCTCTCTTTTTTCGGGGCTTGTTCCCCCCACTTTCTATCGGGGTATTGGGCCGAGATCGTTGTGGGGGCAGTGCAGGAGTGCGAGGAGAGGGGTACGTTGGGATAGTGTTATAATCGTGGGGTTCAGGTGGGGAGGGACTTGAGCCAACACTGTTTGGGGTTTCTGGACGGAGTCTTGGAGGTTGTACCTGCGCAATAAAATAAAAAAATTGACTGTAAAATGTTAGGCTTACTAACTTGCTAAGGGATATTTTTAGCAAAATATATATATGACGATTGATTAAACAAAATTAAAAAAATTAGCTTCGTATGTTAGTAAAGAAAGGTACAACAAAAAACACATGGAAGTCAATGCTGTCATTGCTGGTTGGAAAATATTAGGAATATTATGACCTCATAACCAGAGGCTGTGAAGTCTAATAAAAAAATTGCCACCAGCTCTAAGAATAATGAAAACAACAAATATGTTATTTATTTCTGTTTCTATCGAAATCTTAAACTGGATCCCTCATGTGGAAGCCTGAAATTCTAACTCAACAGAGTTTGAAATTTCAATTCGAGACTTCCTGAATCGAGAAGATGATTGCAAAAGTGTTCCGAGTATTAGACCAGCAAGTTTCATGGGATTCAGTCGCTTTAGGGTTAATCATGATTCAATCTATAGATAAAAGATTAGATAAGAAAAGAGATAACACAAAACGCAAACTCACCACTGGAGGGCATTGTCGAGTTCCCTGTTCGATCATCTGCCTCCATGATTTGACAAGATTTTTTGCTCGTTTAGCGAGAGGACTGTTTCTTGCCGCTTTACGAATATTATTCACGTAAAGTCCAAGACGTGTTGCCTGGAATATGTCAAAAAGTTTTTCCAGAAACTTCATTTATACCTCATAGCTCCTTTCCATTACTGTTAACTGCTTTCAATTTCATGCAATTTTTTGTGTAATTTTACCACCATAATTTTATACAGTTTTAGCTCTTAGCTTTTCAGTAATCACCTATAATTTTGCTAAGGGATGGGTCTACCTTACCAGACGTGAGCAGTGTTCCCTCTAAAGTGTGCGCATGCATACAGCTTTCAGAGGCTGCGCACACGCATAGATTAACTGCACACAGACGTAATTTGATGTAATGTACAATGTTCTCGGTTGGCAGGTTGAGAAAGTTTGTTGTTGGCCCACCCATTACCCGGTTAGAACACCAAAATGCCTGCGCACACATACTACAAAAAATTAGAGGGAACATTGGATGTGAGTAACTTTTTTTGAGCAAATTAAAAAAAAAAAAATGCGAAGGATTTGGTATTCATCATAAGGGAGAGAATTGGATGGTTCTGAAATATTCTTTATTAGTTTATGACACAAATATGATTATGGCATGATTTTGTATTGATGCCAGAGAAAAGAAAAGTTGGTAAAACAGCAAATGAAAGCATATGGCCGGGCCTTTTTCAGAATACCTATAGCTTTTGCAAGATACTGTATATGACAGGTAGGAAGGAGCTTATGTTATTTGTCAAAATTATGCATTTTTAACCCGCTTGGTTAAAAGTACTAATATACACAAGTTTGGGAAAGCACTTTCAGAAATGTACAACACCAAATTCCATTGATATTATTTGAGGTAAATTTTTTCATGCAGCAAGGAGGGGAAAGTACCTCCAAGTCCTCCTTAGTTACCACAGATCTTTCGAGTATACCGATCGCCTCCTCAGCAACTCCCATGTCACGAACCTGTCAATCAAAGAAGAAGGCTTATTGAAGAATCCAAGACATGTCTTGCGGTACAAGGATTATTTGGTATCAAGAAATTTCAGCCAAAAAATTCAGAAAAAAGTTTAAAAATATGACATTATCTAAGGCAGGCAAATTACGACCCACTGGCCAGGCCTGACCCATCGAAGTGTTTCATACAGTCCTCTTCTGTCTGCTGAAATCACGACTAAAGTTTTTACAAATTTAAATTTCATTGAAAATATCATAGAAGAAACATTACGATCATGATTGTACACTGTGCTTCTTATAATTATACAACTGTTAGCTTAGTTGTTGTGAATAAACAATTTTTATTCAAAGTTTTTCATATCGAGTTTTGAGCCTTTGGCCAAACCAAGTCTATTATCTATAACTCAGGAAAGTAATTGCCTCCCCCTGATCTAAAGAAGCAATTAGAATGCATTTTAATGGAGGTTGGATTGAACTTTGACTGGCTATTATTCACTTTAAAACACATGTTACTAGCTTATTCAGACAATGGATATCACTGATCGCGTGAACATCCATTGCTGATGGTACTGTGTAAAGGCCTGTTGTAATTTTTTCATACGTTTCAAGATGTAAAGGTTACAATAAAATTTATTGGTTACAATAAAAAAAGTAATTTTACTTCATATATTAGAACTATAATCCCTTGCATTTAAGGGTTTTAGAGAATTTTATGATACACAGAGATGACCCAAATCATATATCTTCAAATCTGTTCAAATATCTATTCACTTGGACATCCCTTCTCCAATTTATTTCGGCGCTCCGGAAGTGTGTTTACCAATATGGAGGTAATTAATTTTGTTCGCCTACTTTACATCAAGTTGTATGAAGAGGCTGAAACTTATAGGCAGGGCTTATAGACATCACTTTGCTAACACAGACATTCCCCGAACACATAATAGAACTAGAATAAGAAATGCTGAATAAAATTATGGCCTAATCCTAACCTGGTACACACACTACAGGAGTATATTTATTTCAACTTCATTCATTAAAACTATAATCCCTTACATAAGGATTTAGATCATTACATCCTCGCATTACCATAATACCAAAGATTAATAGGGATTTCCTGATTTATAATTGCTTATTTTATTGGAAAACTTTACATCATTGAAAGGGCATATCAATATGTAGATAGTGCTGTCAATGAATGCTTGGTCGCTTTCTTTTCTATGATTTCACATGAACTTGACAAAAAATTCATTGAAGCGTGACCTGGCAGCATGAATCAGCTTACTGGTCTCAAATTAGGTACTTTTTGTTTACGATTAGTAAATATGTTATCTGATATTTGCATTATCGCTAGGAAACATTTTGACAAGTCACAAGTTTCTTTATTACTTATCGATCTCGTTCCCTGGAGATCCCTTCTCCTGTGGTCTCCTGGGGGGGCCGAGGGCCAGAGGTTGGGAACCGCTGGTATAGATTCATCTAAATAGAATGACTACAACTCGACACCAACTAACTGCCAGCGAGACATAACTCAGTGATTGACTAACTTTGGATTAGAATGACCTGTGACTTCAGGTTTGGGAACTTTTACTTAACACTAGTTTTTGTTCATCAATATTTATTTAGCAACAGATAATGAAGTATAAAAATGAATCAAGTATTTGTATCGATACCAAATTAAATAATCTGAAATTTTCAATTCTTAATTTCGGGAATAATTTATATTAGTTTTTAACTGTCATTGAAAAAATTATAATTCTGACAGTATGACTAAAAAATTTAGGGGCTCCCGAAGTATGCGAACCAAGATGGCGGACATCGGAATGTAATATGTGTACTAGGTTAGGGTTAGGCCATAATTTTAGGTATAAATACTACGGGAGGCTCTTGGCTAGTCTTCGAACTGATAATAGGACTAAAATAAGAAAAATTGAAAAAAAATTATCGCCTAACCCTGACCTGTTACCCATGTTACGTTCCGATGTCCGCCATCTTGGTTCGCATACTTCGGGAGCACCAAAATTTATTTATACATTGTTTATTTACAACTTTTCTCTATTTCCCAATAAATACTTATTGGATATAAGTCAACCTCCACTGCTCTAAGCGTTCTTCATTAATGGTGGGCCGTTTTAAAATTTATTCAATACACATATTAAACATTATTTAAGAATAGTAAATTGAACTGAGAGAGTTATATTGCTGTATTCTGGTATTGTTGATTTCATTCATCAAAGAGTTTTATTATTCAATTTCAAGTCTAATAGCAAGCTCATGATAAAATTTAATCAACTAAAACTTTGTGGGCTGGAACTAATCTTCTAATTCTGTAGTTGAAAGTTCCAAAATTATATTGGCCAGATAAACCATTTCACTGTTACTTTGATACAGTAATAACATCCTGAATACAGGAGCAGGCTGATCAAAAAACATACAGCCAGACAGCTGACCAACTATCTACTGCTTAGCTCGGCAGTACAACAGTACGACGGTGTGGCTCAACGGGCTAAGCGTTAGGAATACGCTCGCCACCGCAACTCTAATTAATCTGTGTGGGTTCGCAGGTTCGAATCCCATGCAGGGATGGTTAGGTGCGAGAGGATTGCTGGACTCCTCGCCGTCGTTGGGTGGTTCACGTAACCGCTGGTCGGTTACGGCTTCCTCCACCACCAAGTCCATGCTTCCAAAAACAAACAATACAGTAAAACTAATCCCATACCCGACTTGGAATGGTAACCGGACGAGAGGCCGTGGTTCGCCATATGGATAAGCCGTCGTATCGGCTTTCCTCTCCCCGGGGATAAATATGTAAATCCTATCCTATCCTAACATTAGAAGTGTTGAACATAAGCAAGAAGAATGAACAAAATCCATAGAACTCCATAGACATATTTCAGTAGTCTATTCACTGTCATAAGTTTTTCTTTGAATAAATGTAGCTCTATTGTACTGTCTGTTGACCTGTATGTTTGAACAAAATATTCAGGACACGGTTGGTTATATCCACAGCCCACAGACCAAGCCTTAGAAGCTTCATTTAAGTAAACTACCATTTTCAGACAAGGAAAATCAACATTAGAAAAGCAGAACGGTTTTATTCCGGCTATTCCACAAGTCACAGAGTAAATGAATGTTTAAAAAACTCACAGTGCCATTGTCGTCTATCACTCGCTTTAATCGCTCCTTAATTTCAAGGATTGACGCGGGCATTTCGTATAAATATCCGAAATTTCATCAGTTCATTGCCTGCTTATGTCCTCACTCCTCCGACGACAGACATGTTGTAAGCAAAGTTGCATTATGGGTAACTAAGCTCACTAACTCATTTGCATATCCCACAAGATGTCGCTAGATGATTTTTCATATTTTTATCGTTAGGGGTACGGAAATTTGGGAGTTTCCCAGCTGAAACTCAACAATCGGGCAAACTAGTGGCCTATTTAGGATTACTTAAATACACAAACCGGCTAATTAGTGCGGACAAATCGCGGTTTGAAAGCGCGACTTGCCAGCGCTCGAGCGTTGACACAGTTACTTATATACTCGGCAACCACCGACGACATTTTTTCTTCACACGTCTGGGCTTTTGTGTGCTCACAATGCGACAGCTTTCGCACCGCTTGGCGTTTCGCGAGCGGACGAAATGAGACGGGATGGAAATACGTGTGGCATTAAACGATAAGCGTGCGCTTTAGCTGTGTTGCATGGGCGCTTATTTGTCAATAAATTTAACAATATATGTATAATGGATACGAAAGATGATAAACTATAACAATTAATGAATTACCTTTGTCACACAAATGTAAACTAATGCGTTCGTTTGGTCTCTTGATTACAAACAAATTTTGACGTTAATTTTAAATGTTATTCACTTTTATAGCTACCGGTATATCCTATTCATCAAGAAAGTTTCTGGCTTCAAATATGCGCTGTAAATTTATTATTCCATCAAACAAGGTTTTGTACATCTATCCCTTCTCTGTCTTTGATTATTATGAAGAATATTTCCATTATTTCAAATACCAACCCGATTTATACCTCTGCATCAAATGCGTAGCCAGAAATCTTTGACGGTTTCTGGAATTTGTAATTGCCAAGTCAGACCGCAACAAATAGCCGGTCCAGCCGGAAAACGTTGGGTTTCAAGAGCCTAAGAGAGCGATTTACGCTACGAAAAAGCTCCAAATCCTTAATATTTCATTTATAAATTATTTCGACAGAATTTTCTCCATGTTACCCTTTCTCGCAATGCCATTAATATGTTTTGTCACCATTAACACGATACAGAGGCTACAGTTGAAGCAAGTCATCCATGTGATCAGCCCCATTACCCACCATGATACAAAAACTCAAGCACAAGAATAAATGGCCCCATTTTTTATTTCATTTGTCTAATATATATGTAACAATACGGTCATATTTACTACAGCAATAATATATACAAATCACACACTAATTCAACAACACCAGACATAAACTTACAAATAATGAATTTCACTTCAGGACTGTAGGGTCAAAGTTTAATGGTTTTACTCTCGTCTTGAAATCAGGAGACTTGTATTCCGAAGTCCCCAGATCTAGGAATTATTTTTGAACTACTCAATTCGAAATTTTAACTTTTGTAAATCTGGGGTCAAAAACTTTCAACGTAAGCTAAAAACTTTCAAATGACATAGTTATATTTCTCTTCTCGGTCCAAATTTTGCTGTCTGATTTTGTACGCATAGATTTGGAGTAAAATTTTTCTAAATTTAGAATCCAATTTTGTGAACTATTGGAATTGGGAAGTTGACTTTCTTTCAAGTCTTTTCAATGGAAATCAAATTAGCTTCAAACGAAATCTTTTATAGATCAAAAATGGAAGCCCACAGCCCTGGTTTACAAAGAATGGATAACTTAGTATTTTATCGAACAGTTTTAAAATACAGTTTTCTAGACATCAGAACATGATTGGTCGATTGCCACTGCCACGCCCACTATTTTATGACTCGCACCAAACTTTTGTTGGGGTATAAGCTTAATGTTATACAATAAAGTAATAAAGAATTATATTATACGGCTAATTTCAGCGTTGATTTTGAAATAGCAAAGTATACATACATTCGGCGCATAATATATCCCTATAAATAATTTAATTTTTCCAGATCTCAGGAACAATGAAGATTATGGGAGATTGATATACCACTATGCGCTCTCTAAGTAAAAAAGAGTGCATTCATGTCCACATCCACACATTTCTTAAGGGGGGACCCCCTCTCCAAGAAAAAACTGAACCCATAGTATTTCTAAATTACTCCCATCAAAATATGAAAAAAAAATTTCCCACTTTAACTTCTGTTTGTGTATGATTTTACCCAGTAGTGAGATTCAGCCGGTTCGCACCGGTTCTATAGAACCGTCTCACGGAATTTTATGAGATCAGCGAACCGGTTAGCATTACTGAAAAAACATATAACAGAACCGGCCGAATGACCGGCAGAGTGACTTTTGCGATGGAACCGGCTGACAAAAATTTGAATCCCACCACTGATTTTACTCAAAGTATCAGTAATTTGGTACGCTTCGCACAATATTTGTTTTCTCTGGCATATTTCCCAAATTTTGAAAATGAGTTTTGTTTTTAGTTTTTTTGTGGGGGGTGGGGGGTCACCCTGAATTACAAGCATTTGGAGCTTTTTTCAGCTGTTAATATTTTTTTTAAATATTGTATAAAATGTGCGATCAACATTGATTAGGTTTTTTAAATACATGGAAGATGTGCCATATGCCAGTACAATCACAAAGTAGCACAGGAATAAGATTTTTTTTCATACTTACACCAGTGTTTCTTATACTTTCAATGGAGAAAACATGTAACTCGAACAGCTATAAATTATTAAAGCCAAAAAAATAATAGCAGGCTAAAATATTTTTTCCAGTATCAACGTTTTAAGAGGGTGAAATATGTGTAATTTTTAAAAATACAACCTATTTTATAATGTATTGGTCAGCATTCTTTTCTATCATCTATCAAAAATGAGCTCTTTCAATATCTTAAATTCGAATGTATTCAATACAGAAAATTATTTGTCTTTAGTTATTGTTGTCCAATACATCCCAAAATATCACTGTTATTTTTATAGCAGTGTTCCCTATATGAGTTTATTAAGCTTGAAGGAGTCCAGTGTTCACTTGAAGATTTCTTTAACTTCGTCAAGAATGTTTGAAAGTAGAGAAGAGTCTGTTGACTTGCCATCGACGGATATTCCATTAGGCTGAAAATGAGATATATAGTTATATTGGAGAGAGGAAAGTGATGGAATGATTAAAGACACAACTAGTTAATGCATTGGATAAGGGCTGTGCAACCTGTGGCCGGCAGTAGTGCCAATTTTTAGTGATGAGTTTTTAATTCAATTTTGCACGTACGAGTAATTCCAATCTCTTTCCGTAGCGAAGTCTAATTTATTATCTATGTCCACGACTTTACAATGCATCAACAGCTAGCTAGCTTGTGCGAATTTGTGTTCTCGGGACTACTAGATAGCCTTAAGTTAAATGAAGTTGCAGCCCCAGTTTCACCCAGTAATTTCTATCTGGCCCTCCTGTGAAGGTTGCACATCGATGCATTAAATGGTTCAGGAAGAATAACGAACAATTGGTGTCCCCTGGTAGTAACAAATGCGAAGGGCCCACAAGATCTGTAATGTATGGGGTTGGAACCCCCTTTTGAAATGTTAAAAGAAAGCCAGATTTGCTAGCGGTTACAGTCAAACTTGGCAACCCAAAATTCCAGACACCACAATCCAAAGGGACGGGAAGAATACATAAAAAGATTTGGGTGCTCCCGAAGTATGCGAACCAAGATGGCGGACATCGGAACGTAACATGGGTAACAGATTAGGATTAGGCGATAATTTTTTTCCAATTTTCCTTATTTTAGTCCTATTATCAGTTCGAAGACTAGCCAAGAGCCTCCCGTAGTATTTATACCTAAAATTATGGCCTAACCCTAACCTAGTACACATATTACATTGCGATGTCCGCCATCTTGGTTCGCATACTTCGGGAGCCCCAAGATTTGGAATCACTCCAACACTATTGCCTACTGGACTTAAAAGCTTCTTATACCCACACTGTCGAGGAAACAGATCCAAAGTAGCAATAAAATACGATTCTACTTACCACAGCCTTTATAAGCAGACAAACATGGTGTTGCTGAATTGTAGCAGCGTAAAGAGATGCAGAATCATCAACACGTTCAACCACTGGAAAAGTAGGATATAGTACTTAGATAAGATGCTTCCGCATGCTGTTTTTCCCTTAGTGTGGCATTAGGATATGATTTTCATGGCATCTAAACATATCATGACCTAGTCCAGGGGTCGGCAAACTACAACCCGCGACACTTCACTGAATTATAATAACAAAACAACTGTATTGACGATTATATTCTTTACGAAACAGAATTTGTTTTGAGGCATTAAATTATATTATAATCTAACAAGTATATAATTCACAATCACTCGTTTAATGAACCTATAAATTGATTATAATTAGACAAATGGCAACAGAACGTGACAAAGTTGATGCTGAGTGTAAATGGTTTAAGGGCGCAGAAAATATTCAAATGATCAGTCTTCGCACGCTGCTTGAAATTTAACTGAAATATGTGTGAAAAAAGGTGATTCATCGGTTCGTAACTTTTTAAAAATATGTGCGGCCTGCCAATGACTTGCAACCTTTAATTTTGGCCCGCGAACGACAAGAGTTTGCCGACCCCTGACCTAGACCTATGATAGTCCTACTTCAGGATAGGATGGTAGAATTCGCATATTTATCCCGGGGAAAAGATATTCGCTTCATTCGTATGGCGAACCACGGCCTCTCTTCGGGTAGGATAGGATTTACACATTTATCCTGGGGGAGAGGAAAGCCGATAAGACGGCTTATCCATATGGCGAACCACGGCCTCTCTTCGGGTAGGATTTACATATTTATCCCGGGGGAGAGGAAAGCCGATAATACGGCTTACCCATATGGCGAACCACGACCTCTCTTCGGGTAGGATTTACATATTTATCCCGGGGGAGAGGAAAGCCGATAATACGGCTTACCCATATGGCGAACCACGACCTCTCGTCCGGTTACCATTCCAAGTCGGGTATGGGATTAGTGATATATTGTTTGTTTTCGGAAGCACGGACTTGGTGATGGAGGAAGCCGTAACCGTCCAGCGGTTACGTGAACCACCCAACGACGGCGAGGAGTCCAGCAATCCTCTTGCACATAACCATCCCTGCATGGGATTCGAACCTGCGAACCCACGCAGAGTAATTAGAGGTGCGGTGGCGAGCGTATTCCTAACACTTATACCGTTGAGTCACACCGCCGCGCCGTTAAGGGGATATGTTACGGTATGGGATCGGTTAACCAGTTATTTGTTCCAGATGCATGGACTTGATAGACTTACTACAGGTTAGATATATACTGTGGGGGGGAGTAAGCACAAGAAGCAAGATTAGGGCACAATATTCTTGGCACAACCATATTTAGGCTTCCCGCTGCTTGTCAGCAGGGAACCTATTGTATTCCTGTGTTTTATTATTATTATTATTTATTTATTATTATTATTTTTTCAAATTGGTCCTACAAACTTGAAATTCACCTCAAATGTGCAGAAGTTCTCAGCTAGCAATAAAATGCAAATTTTTTTTTACGCGGGAAGCCTGTTAAAGCTGCACGCAGCTCTAGTTTTATATGATATCGCGGAATGGAAAGTTGATACGCCACAAACTTCCTATTTGCAAGTTGAAAGGACTCATTTTCGAGCAAAGCGGTCACAAAAATTACAACTATTTTGTAACAACGGACCTCCTGAAGTATGCGCACCAAGATGGCGCACAACCTGAACTCAGATTGTGTACCAGGTTAGTGTTCAGGTTATGCGACATCTTGGTGCGCATACTCCAGGAGCACCTATACAGACGTATGGGTATGCCATTACCTGCCAGTAAATAACAATTGAAGCTAGATTTAAAGAAGTTCAAGTCTATATGACCAGAAATTATAAGGCAGTCGCCTCAGACAAGAGAAATTTCCAAAAGTAACTCATTGAATTAAACTGATATGAAAATTTAAAAAAATGTGTTCTAAATATGTGTTTTAATAATAGGAAGCATAAAAACCTGGCATCCCTCACCTGAGAATTTGAGATAGAAACAAATCTTTTGTAATGCATGACTGAATTTAAGGTCAGGAGCATTGACCCGTATCGATGATTTTTCTGAAACTTCTCCAGATGACAGAAGATGGGTGAAACGTTCACTGAAGGAGGAAACAGGGAATATTTTATGGAATATCACTAACTTGGAACTATCTGAGTTATCCGCAGAATAAGCCTCGTTATTACTAACCATCTAGTGTAGAGGTGTGCAACATTTTTTGTCAGTGAGCCATATTATGACCAACTTCAGAAATCTAGCCAGGTCACAATTTAGCTTTTCCTTGCGGGAAAGGCAATAGTACAGAATGCAGCTATTCCTTAGCCTTACAGTAATAAGGCACCGAGCAAAACGGCGAAAGATTTGACGCAGCGCAAGAGAAAAAATTGTATTTTTATCCATAAATTGCCGGATTCAAATTTTTATGCTTGGAGAAAAATCTCGAGACAAAATCCATACTAAATGGCTTGGCTGGCTGGGTAGTGACCTGCGACAACCTGTCCTACACTCCAGATCAAGTGAGTGTAACTGGAAATACTGCAGGCTTTACCTACCCATTGAGATTCGAACCCTTCCTCTTGAAATGTAAAAAAAGTATTTTTCTGTAACATACATAGGAAATATTCAGAGTTCAAAACGCTTTTTAGACCCTCAAAGACTCTTGAAAACTCATGTTTTCCGACCGCCTTTTACGGTCTTACTTGAAAATTAAAAATATCAGAACCGCTTCACCTTTGAAAATTCCGGGGTTTGCCCCTGGTTTGAAGCCTCATTCAAAGTGATGTAAAACAGTTCACTCATTACCTTTTTGGAAGAACCATAGTAAGCAACGTTCATAAAGTTTCTCACCTAGAGTGAAATCTCTAACTGCCAATTTAGACCGTAACAGCTAGCTGGCAGGACGCGTATGTATGATACAGAATTTTTGTCTTACATTTCAAAAAGGGAGGAGGGAGGTTGAGGTCGTGGTCCGACCTTTAACCCCCCTGGCTACGCCCTTGCTCTCACCTATTGCACGGAGCCGTCAGTAGATAAGCGGAACACGGCAGATACAGTTTGAAATCCAATTTATGTTGACTTGAACCTTCTTCGTCTTTAAGAATGTACGTCACGGTTCCACGGAGACGTTGCGGCATGTTTAAACTTACGACGGAAAATAAAAGTTGGGCTTCGTTGCCAGATGAGGGCAGTAGAATGAACGGTATCTTCACCGGGTCGTGTGATGTTGAACCAGGTCCTCGGATGAGTCTGAAAATGTATGTGAATTCAGGATAAAACACACGAGTAAACACATATAAACGGACACACACACACACTGTGTGGTGGAATACCTAAAATTTTTAACTTAGTTAGAAATGATGAAAACTTTCACATTTATTCTTGGGAAGGGGAAAAGCCGATGGCAATCACAACATCTCGTCCTGTTGCCAGTCCATGTCAGATTTTGAAAATAATTTGAGGAACTGGTAATTGTGAATTTGAACCAAACCAATAACCCTGTGAACCATAAAACAGCCCTGCGAGTGACCTTATTCAACTTATTTCGAAGATGACCTTGAGCCAGCCCTGCCTAATGACCTTGAACCAAAAAATAACCCTCGAGATGATCTTGAATCAAATTAAGGTATCCTTGGACCAGATAGAGGTGATATTTGAGTTGATCTTGATTAAAGCGAGCACCCGAACCAAATAGTCCTGACTAATGAATGACCTTGAACAAACTAAAAGTGACCTTGAACCCAGTGACAACCAGTTTTGTGATCCAAACAATCATGCCAAATGACCTTGAATCAATGATTCCCTAAGATGACCCTGAACTAAATAACCCCCACTGTAACCTTGAGTATGACCTTGACCAAAAATACCACCTTGGAGGTGAACGTGAATTCAGTAATAATTTATTTAGTGGTCCAGGGAATCTGGCCTAACAACCTTGAACTTGAACCTCGAACTAACTCATAATAAATAATTGTGACCTTGAAAGTGACTTTGACCAAAAAAAAAAACACCTTGAAGACGCCCTTCAAGTATAAACATACCCACAACAACCCATATTGTGACCAACATAATGTACCACCTGTGACCCTGAATACCAACTCACCTTGTATTCAAGGTATCCAAGACATTAAATTCAATACTTTTCAGCTGTTTGTCGACTTTATTCTGGAACACTAGCGCCACCATGATTTGTTTTTCTTGCATGGATATAACACGGGTCTCATATTTTATTCCGATGTGTTCGTTCTCACCAAGATCAACGAAGCGTGTCATCGCCTAGAAATAAAGATGTTTTTGCCAGTTAAGAAATAAATTTGATCTAACATTGGATAGAATTTTCATATTTTTCAGGGAGAGAAATACCGATAGGACGGCTAAATCATATGGCAAACCACAGTCTCTCGTCTGGGTACCAGTCTGTGTCAGGTGGGAGTAAGATGAGACTAACATGAGAAGCGGAAAGCTGATAAGATGGCTTAATCAAATGGCGAACCACGGCCTTTCATCTGGTTACCATTTCATGTCTGGTATAGGATTAGATAAGTCAATATTTTAGGTGATGAAATACCCAGAAGGGGAAAGGGTGAAAGTTAAAAAAAAATTCATCGTTTATTTCAATTTTCTGCATCTATCATGCTTTCAGTTAGGCATAACCTATTTTAGGACATATACGCTGCATATTTAGAAATATCATTTTAAAATGTAATCCGAACAGGGTGTCCAAAAATTTTCACACAATTTTATAGCAATAATAATAACAATTGCAAGTTTAAATAAATTTTATGGTATGATAAATAAATACTACTGTACTGTATATATCTTGTTAAATCATCAAGTATTTTTGGGGAGTAAGATTAACTTTACGGTATTACCCTTCCCCCACTTGAAAAAATTTACTTACCGGTAATGGTGGGGTGCTTGGTCTCTCTTCAGTCTTTTCCTTTCCAGTTTCAGCCTTTTCAGGAGATTCCTCTCTTTCTTTCCTGTGTTTCTTGTGCTTTGAAGACTTTTCATGCTTTTTCTTCTTCTTATGACGATGCTGTTTAGCTGGGGATTCTTCAGGAGTATCCTGTTTCGGGGAGGGGGCATCCCCATCTCTATGCATAGAAAATTTAAAAAAATTATTACAAATAGCATTCGTCTGTAATATGCATGATAACAGTAAAAATATATTTATACAAGAACAACACTTGAAACTATTATGACATCGTAGGCTATTTCCTTTTTTCAAGTCCCATACCTACACCTCAATTAGGGCGTAGTAAAAGGGCGGGAAATGCGGGCAAATTAGTTTTTAATGAAAATAGCAGATTTTTAAAAGGTGTGGTGTGCAACCTTCGGTTCGCAGGCCAAATACGAGCGACAAGGAAAAATTGTTGCCGAAATGTCTGACGATTTGTATTGAAAAATTAGTTAAATCGCCTCTATCTTTACCACGCACCACTATCAAGTCAATGCTTCCGAAAACAAATAACTGGATAACTAATCCCATACCAGACATGGAATGCTAACCGGGCGAGAGACCGTGGTTCACCATATGATTAAGCCATCCTATCGGCTTTCCTCTCCTCCAGGATAAATATGTCAATCCTCCGAGCCTAAGTTTTGTTAGAGTAAAGCGAATATCATGTGAAATATGGCACATACCCATTTACAGCAGCAGTTGCTCCCGTAGTACCAGAGCCAGGAGACAGCCAGAAGTCCAAATCTTCTTTATCCTGGGAAATGAAGTTTTGAATTAGATTTATTACAACCATATTAAATTCTTGTCCACATTCGTGCAAATGAAACAATAAACGGCGCTGCGAAAGTATGTGCATTAAGATGGCGCACAACCTGATAACACTAACCTGGCACACATACTATGTTCAGGTTGTGCGCCATCTTGATCACATACTTCTGGAGCACCCAATAAACTAACTGGTGAATTAACTAGCTCCTATTTCGTAAACAATTTCATATCGATGGCAAAAGTCATTCGTGTAAAGAATATCATCACTTGACCGTTTGGGTCAGTGGGCGGCTAATTTTTTCAAGTGAGGCCCGAATAGTAAAATGGAAAAGGTTTCAAGGCCCAGCAATAAATTGCACATGTGATATGTTTATTTTACATATTTAATTTGTAATTAAAACTAGTGCGAACGCACAGGTACTTGCTGTTAGCTTGAGCGGTTTAACAATCGGATACGCAAGAATAAAAAGACCAGAATAGTTCCAGAATGCCGATACTGTAGGTGAAATGAATGTAATGGATGATTGTTTGATATATGAACAAAAACTAGTTAGCAAAAAATTTATATGTAATGTTGGATTTATAGAACTTTTATGTGTATTACTGCCCATAATTGAAATTTATTGAAGGCCCGTTGGAAAATGCTCGATACCTTCTTGGTGATGTGTTACAACACCTTCGCTACAAAAATGTAACAGCACCCCTATTATAATCTGAATATGAACAGGTTTAATCCAGTATTGGGCTCGGGTGAATGACTTGTTCTTTTATATATCAAAGACTGGGGTGATGCCAATACTAGGGGAACTTGGATATTGTGTATTGAACTGCAGGTCCTTTCTCTTTAATTACTTTCTACCTCGGATCCGTATGTGGTACTCACCACAAGGATGCTTGAAACGAGATAGTATTAAAGTGATAAGTAAAAATAACATAATCTCTTTTAACGAAATAGTAAGTATATGTGTGAGCTTTCGTTAGATCATGGTCTAACTTATTCAAACAATACAAGATATAACTTAATCAAATAGCGCTATCCAACTATGTAGTAGTATGCTAGTATTCAACTATGAATCCTGCCTCGTCTGGACTCAATGACTGCAATGACTTGAAGTGACTCGGACTAATCATCAATAAACCGCCAATGAGACTTAATTCAGTGATTCGACCAAAATAGACTCTTGGGGGCCCACAAATTTTTACCAAATCCTTGTTTTGACCCTGATTCTTAAGTTGTTGCACACACATAGTCATGTTCCTAACCATTAGATAATAACGAACTTTCAACTGTGGTTACAAATCCAACAAACACAAACCGTTTCTTTTGGGGCATCTTGGTGTCCATTCACTTTATCTTGTGATGTCACAGGAGTAGTGACATCATCACCGTTGCTAGCGGCAACTGTTGGCTCCTCCCCCTCGTCAACCAATAGCAAGCTTTCTTGAGGATGCTCATGCTTCTCATGGTGATGGTGATGACGAGTCTTCTTTTCCTTCTGCGAAAACAACAAATGGGGCTTAGTTCACGTTTAGGACGGAATTTTTCTCCGTATTCCTTGTAGTATTACTGATATTCATTACTTATCGATTTTAATTGGTAAGTATGTTGATAGGTATTTGTCTGTCTGTCTGTTAGATGCACGCGATATCTCACGAAAGCGAGATTGAATCTGCTCCAGATTTTGCATGTGCATTCGTCATATGTCGGACCAGAAGCCTATTGATTTTGGATGAATTATGTCTTAGTGATGGGACACAAGGTGTCACTATTGAGTAAGAGCGCTGTTTCCGGGATCCCCTAACTTTCGATCGATAAGTCTTCGGTCTCTGACCGGTATTCTCGTTAGTTCATTAATGTTTCGAAAATGAAATTAAGGAGGTGACAAATATTTTGTAGTTAGCGATAAAACTGTTGACAGACCATCTGCACTAATAAATATGCTACTTTCCAGATATTTAGATAAAATTATACTTAAGTTAGGCATTTAAAGCGTCGTATCACACCTCAAAATTATGTGAAGGATCTAAAGAAGATGTGGAGTAGGGAAGTCACTGTCAGAACATGACAGTTCAGTTAGAATCCAGTTGAAAATATTTTATGTGAGGATCGCCACACACCTCAATGGCCAGGGGCGTAGCCAGAAATTTTCGAAGGGGGAGGGGGGGTTCTGATTTTTTTGTTGCCAAGTTAGATCGAAACTTCTAGCGGCTCCGATCGAACGCTGGAATACGCGTGTTTTCATTAGTCTTGGGGTCTAAAAAGCATTTTAGGCTGAGGAAAATTGCTATCTATGATAATGAAAAATGATTTTATATTTTTACATTTCAAAGGAGGGGGGGGGGGGTCAACCAGCAAAACCACCCCCCTGGCTAAGCGCCACTGTCAATGGCCATTGAGCGAAAGACCATGGTTTGCTATATTAGTCAGCAATCTTTTCAGCTTTCCTCTCCCCCATAAAAATAGGAAGAAGAATCATTAGACTCCAAACCTTCTTCTTTTCTTTCTTTTTACGTTTCTTCTTTTTCTCTTCTGGCTCTTCATCGCCCTTTTGTGGCGATTCTTTCGCAACTCGATGGGTTGGAGTTGGTAGTTTGTCTTGAGCAGTGAGAGGACTGTATATAAAATAATATAACAGTTATAAAATATATTTGAAGGGGGAAAATTTTTTAGTAAAATTTATGCGCTCCAGAAGTATGTGTCCTAATATGGAGGTAACTAATTTTGTTTTGTCTACTTTACATCAATTTGTGTAAAGGGACTTTTTACTATGGACAGGGGTATATTCACTTGGCTAATACAGACAATTCCCGAGCTTGTAATAGAACTAAAATAAGAAAAATCGGGAAAAAATTACGCCTAACCTGATACACCTACTAAGGGAGTAATGAAATTTAAGCCAGCGTAGTACTTTTCAACCGACAGCTTTTTGATGGAATGACAAAAATCTTGTCCATTTTACTGTCATTTGTATGCATGGCCGTGCCTTCTAGTCAGTTGTTCTACTTAGTTATACTATAAAAACTTAAACTTAGTTATAATCTTGCATCAAAATTTTTTTTTACCTGCCCATAAAAATAGAAAAACAAAAAACCGACACTCAGTCTTTTCAAAAAATAACTAATGCACCCCTGCACTTCAAAAATTAACAAACTAAAGCCTCTCCCCCACAAATTTTTTTTTAAAAAATTACCCCCACTTCCCTTCGAGAAAAAAAACGCATTAATATGACAAGATCCGCTCACATTTCTAAACCAATATTACTCCCCCCTGAAAAATATAATGAAAAAAACTTGTCAAAAGTTTTCTTGCGACCTCTACGACCTTGGAATTGATGAAAAAAATGAATGACATGTTAAAGTCATCTATTCAATAGAATGAAGTAGGACTGCATTTTATATTCAGCGAGAGAAAAGCTTACAAAACAGCCGGAGATGTTGAATGAGAAAAACTTGTCAAAATAAAACATAAAAAGAAAATTTCTCCTCAAACTCACCTTTCTAGATCAATGTCCAATGCTTTATAAATATCCTCCTTCTTTGTGTCATCTTCAGAATCCGTTTGTACAGCTCCCTGGAGATAGAATTCAGTTTAAGAGAATTTTTCATACAAAAGTCTATGCGAGCTTACTCAGAAGCAAAGGAGACTCGTCTTTTAGCAAAGTTATGACCAATGAAATGAAACTGTAAAGAAGTATGATGGTGCATCACACAGACTGACTCAGAAACAAGACCATTCTCTAATCAAAGATACGATCAATTACCTAAATGCAAGCAACTGAATCAATATCGAAATATTGTGTTGCTACATCCTTTTGTCATCAAGTAAATCAGTATTAATGGACACACTTACTAAGAATATTACGTAAATATAAATTCAGTACAATTTATTTTTTTAACACCAATTGGCACCAAAATGTCCATCTAAGGTCTGTCAATACTAAGCAAGCCACTGTCCACAGGTTAGACACCTACAGAACATCAAATAATAATAATAAATATGAAGTAGAATTTTAGCATGGGGGGGGGGAATACCCCCTACATACCTCTGGCATTTCCTCTTGTACAATATCAACAGCATGCACTGGTTCAATATCTTCATCTGGCGAGTCTTCAACAACTTGACGACCTTTCTTGCGACCTTTACGACCTTGGAGTTGATGAAAAAAATGAATGACATGTTAAAGGTGTCTATTCAATAGAATGAAATAGGACTGCATTTTATATTTAGTGAAAGGAAAGCTTATAAGACAGCCGGGGATGTTATATTTATTATTCAAATACATTTGGATTCATTTAGATTCAATGAAGTTAATTTCTAATTTTAGAAATAATTTAGAACATGTAAGAATCTGCCCCATTTGTTGCCAATGATCAACACCATACACTAACTCAGCCTTCAATAGTTATAGAAACAGTCTGAAGATAACAGTTTAAACCAGGTGTGTGGAACCTTAAATACCAGAGGGCCGGATAGGAATAGGGCTGAGCATTTTCGAATACCTTGTGGTTTCAGAATCGAATCGAATAATTTTTTCGAATCGAATCTCGAATACTTGAAAATATATAATTTTAAGCGACTTTATTATAGTAATTGATCCTCTCAACAAATGAATTACTAAAGACAGAGAATAAATCACCCAGATAGATTACTGAGCGTTCACACAGAATAAAAAACACGTTTTATCAATAACTCACTAGTCATATGTTAGAATCTCGTTGAATAAATATGACTCTAAGGAAAAAAAAATTTGGGAATTCACCTCGACCATTAGCGGAAAAATAAAAACAAGATGGCGGCGATTCGAAATTTAGCTCTGAACCGATTCGAATAATTTACTATTCGATTCGATTCGAATATTCGATTCGAAATGCCCAGCCCTAGATAGGAATAACTGGGTGAAACCGCAGGTCACACCTTTATTTAACATAGGCTTTCTAGTAGTTGCAGGCACAAAAATTTTGGTTTTTGATCTTGCGACTGAGGCATTGTAATGTCATTGGCAGAGATAACTAATTGGATTCATGTAAAGGATTCGCATTGCAAAGGGATTGGAATTACTCAAACATACCAAATTAAATTAAAAACTCGTTTCGCAGGAGTACATCATTCAAAATTAGCACTTCTCTGTGAGCCGCACAACTTTTCCTTCAGGCTCAATTTTTTCTTGAAGGCCGCAGGTTGCACACCCCTGGTTTAAACTATTCTGCATTCCAAAAATTTCTACGGTCTGTATTCGAAAATGATATTTTTGAATGTATTCAAAGTTGTAGATTATACAGTTTTGATCATCCCTAGAGATATGATCTTTTTTATTTCTTTCTCACTGTTTCCCACCTTTCTTATCTTTCTTCCTTTCCTTTTCATCCCTTCTTTTCTTGCGTTCTTCTTGTCGTCGACGACGTCTGTCTTGTTCCTGAAGATTAAAAAACAAAAATCAACAAAACAATTTAAAACTTTTAATACAGCAGTAAACACATTGTTGGTTTGATGTTTGATTTCACTCTGAGCAAGGATCTAGCAGTCACAGCTACTTAGGCAGTTTTTTTAATAAAAACACCTCAGAGTACATAAGGCTATTTCTGTGATAAATTGAAAGCCCACATGTAGCAATAAAATGCGGCTGCGAAGAAATATTTACTCCTACTCCGAGCCATTTAAAAATTGACTCTGTTTCCTGATTTAGGGAAACTGTGACAAGACTCCAGTTCCAAACTCTGGGAAAACAAGTTTGACCCCAAGACCTCCGTCACCAGGAAGTCTTTCTCAATCATCTGCTAGGAAAACTTATTCAGCTAAATGCTTACCTAGTTTCTGTCATTTTAATCTCAAAAATTCAAAATTTTTTATTGATATTTTCTCTTGACTTCATATTCAGTTTTTTTTTATCAATCATTTTATTGCCTGTTATGCTGATTATTGAGTCAAAATAAAATTATACTTTTTATACAGTTCTTCAACTTGGAGAATTATTTGTACCTGAAATTATGGCCTAACCCTAACCTGGTACACATACTACGTTCCGGTGTCCGCCATCTTGGTTCACATACTTCAGGAGTACTCAACATTTTATAAATATGTGCGGCCTTTCCGTTAGTTACTGGGCTAATCAGGAGCAAGGTGGTTTGCGTATTTTATTCTTCATGAAACTTACCTGTCTCAAATACTTGTCACTAGATGTCATCCCAGGTACATGTAGCGGAATCGAGATATCGATGTCTGTAACCGGCGGCAAATCACCAGTGTCATCGCCAGGTTCTTGGTAGCCGTTTGCCATCTGATAATAAAGTTGTTTAAAATAAGATTTTTGTGTTGAAGGGAGGGGGAAAACCCACAAGATGGCTTAGTTCCAAAATAATTGGCCTATGCCCCCTCAAAAAATTTTCTCAACGAATGTGGTTCCCAGGTTTTCTATGTAGAAAATAATTTTGATTTTCAACATATTTCCGTCAGTTAAATTATGCGGCATGTTTAACATTTAGGCCAACAATCGAAAAAAAAATAAATGCACAGCAGTAAAAGAAAAAAAAACTGTGACAAAACTCTGAGGAATACCATGTTTTACTTCAGTTATTTCCCCACAAAGCACGAGAGAATTCTAAAATAGGAGATACAATATCTATTAGTTATATATGAGCCAGAAAATAAAATGAAATATTCAAAATTGTTTGATCAATAAAAGAGAATTATTTGAAGAGAGAACATGCTGCGATGGCGAGCCTAACCATCAATTCTCTAACGAGAATATCGGTCGGAGGCCGAAGACTTATCGATCGAAGGTTAGGGGATCCCCCAAAACAGCGCTCTTACTCCATAGTGACACAGTGTGTCCTATCACTAATTAATTAATAACCCGCTAATTATAAGACATAATTTATCGAAAATCAATAGGCTTCTGATCCGAGCTATGATGAATGCACATGCAAAATTTGGAGCAGATTCAACTTCGCTTTCGTGAGATATCGCGTGCATCTGACAGACAGACAAACAAACAGACAAATACCTATCAACATACTTACCGATTAAATTCGATAAGTAATAAAGAGAGGGCCCCTATATTTTTTAATCTATTTTTTTAACAGAAGATAATGCTGTGGAACCACTCGGTGAAATCATTACTGCGTTCACAAAATTATTCCTAATGTTCTAAACATAAATGATCTGGCGAAAATCTCAAATAATAAGCGAAGAAATTTTATATGGAAAATATTGACAATTTTACACAAATCCAGCAAAAAAAGAAGGCACCTTTAAAAAAAAAAAGTAAAAATAACATTATTACTATTATTAGTTTAAAACAAACAAGAAAAAAGACTTTCCCCCCATGCAAAAAATGTCCAAATTAAAATCTTTATAATTACCGGCTGTGAAGAATGTTTGGGCTAAAATAAATTATTTACAATTTATTATCATCAGCAATTTTTCAAAAAAAAAATTTGGATCAATATGTAAAAAAGAGTATCATTTAGATCAGTGGTTTCCAAAGTTGATTGACAGAGAGCCAAAATTAGAAGCGGAAGGATATTCGCGGGCCAAGAGAGGGACCGCAAGAGGGCGGTACCGGTATGTATAATTAAGATACTGACTGGATTGAATTGTTATGAAAATACACGTGCTAGAACTGTGATAATGACGTAACAATTAGCGGTATCTAAAACGCAAAACGAAAAAACATAAAGTGATAAATTATTTCACTCAAGCTCTGTGGGCCATATTAACTCGTTACTAGGGCTGAGAATTTCAGGGTAAACACTTAACCGGTTAAATTGACCGGTTAACGGAATCGTGACGTTTCACGTAATAATTTATCCTTTTAGCTTGTTACGTCACACTGGTGACAAAGCAATTTCGCGTGATCTTATCCCGATATCGCTCAAAATTATTCACGAATGGAGATAGTTTCATAATCGCTCTTCTGCAAGAGATATGCAGCGTGGTTAGGACATGTGAAAGTATTTTAGTAAAACCCGATTCCGTTCTGAAATGTCATTTATGTGACAAATTTTTAGTGTCCGATGTACAAATTCTACTTCGAGATATCACAAAGAAAAACAGCATCAACTACGCACTTGTTGGCTGACATTGAATATATGATTTTGAAATAAAATATATTTCGGCCAATATATATATTTATATATATATATATATATATTTCAAATTTTCATAATCAGCAATCTTGGTATTTAAACTATTTTTTACATTTATTGGGTCCTTCCAAATGCAGTCAGTGATATTCCCTCGAATTAAATTCGGCTTAACATTGCCTACATAATTTGTTACCATCTGGGTGGGATTGATTGAGGGAATGAGGTTTAAACTCAAGTCACGTGCTTGAAATGTGATAATGGATGTAACAATTAGCGGTAAAAACATAAAGTGATTAACTATTTTACTCGAGTTCGGCGGGACATATGAAACCGTTACGCGGGACTAAATTGATTTGGATGGTATGCGGATGCTACTGTTATGTAAGAATCTCGGACTATTCTTGAAAGAATTTTTTCGGTATTCAGGTTAACATGGCCTACATAATTTGTTACAATCTGGGTGAGACTAAAGGAATGAGGTTCAAACTCAAGTCGACGCACATACGCAAGAATCCTTACCTTGGAACTTGAAAGATAGTTAGGATTGCTGGCTTGCTCTTGGATTCTCTGTTCTCTCATCTGTGAAAAAAAATAAAATAAATAAAAATTGAAAGTGAATCCACTATATTTTCTTTTCATGCCTAATCATTTTTAAAGTCAGTAGTTAACCCTACTTACAAAATTAGGCGCTCCCGTAGTATGTGTACCAAGATGGCGCATAACCTGATAACCCTAACCTGGTACACATACTATGTTCAGGTTGTGTGTCATCTTCGTACACATACTACGGCACTTAAACTAATTGAAAAACCAATTTGGCCAGTGGATCCATTTGACAAAGTAATGTTGTTGAGAACCAAGTCTGCAACAAATGTCCCAATCAATTTCGAGTTTTCAGTGAACAAAGAAGGGTACCTCCCGAAGTATGTGAACCAAGATGGCGGACACTGGAACATAGTATGTGTACCAGGTTAGGATTAGGCCATAATTTCATATACAAATACTACGGGAGTCACTTGGCTAGTTCCCGAGATACTAATAGAAATAAAATAAGGAAAATTGGAATAAAATTATGGCCTAACTCCATCCTGGTACAGTGGTACACATACTACTTTTCAGTGTCCGCCATCTTGGTTCACATACTACGGGAGTATCGAAAGAAGTGCCTCCCATGAGGCCATTACTTGGATTGCTTACTTATATTATATTTTTGGATCTCAAGAAGTATGTGCACCGAGATGGCGCACAACCTGAACATAGTATGTGTACCAGGTTGGGGTTCAGGTTGTGCGCCATTTTGGTGCACATACTTCCGGGCACCATATTTCGTTATGGTGTTATTTATGATGCTGTTGAGCGTAGCGAAGATCTTTTATCATCTTTTATCAGAGAACCACTCGTTCCCACATGAAGTCACAGTTTGACAAGCCATTCACTAGACCAGCGGTTCCCAACCATGGGCCCTCGGCCCCCCAAGGGGGCCATGATGCTGGAAGCAAAACTGAATTTACTTTTTACTTTACAAGAAAACTCCCCATTTTCCTAGTTTCATTGCTTGATAAGGTTATTTCACAGGGTGTTTTCGCTTCTTTGTACATGAATTGTTTAAACATAATGAGATTTGGAATCTATCAATCACAATAACATTGGAATGATAAACAAGGGGCCATGAGTTCTAAAAGCTTCCGGAAAGGGGCCACAAGCCATAAAAGATTGAGAACCACTGCGTAGACCAGGGGTTTCCAAGATTTTTTTCAGGACGACCCCAAAGACAAGTGTCCAGTGCGGCCCCAGGTCAATATATATATTTTTAATGAAACTTCTCAAGCTTCTTCCACTGAACTTTTGGAAGGAACTGGAAGTTTGGTCATGTGGTGATATTACTATTAAGCAAAATAAGCTAAAACCAAACAATGATGTCACAATAAGCACCTACATTTTCTATAGCATAAGCATAGAGCAATGCTTATAGGCCTGTTTTACAGTAAGCCATGGTGCAATTGCTAAATTTAACATGGTTTGTCAAATCTTAGATGTTTTGTACATCCATCCTCTACCATAACTCAGCGACACAACCGACCCCATGACCTGTCCGCGACCCTACCTACTTATCACTTCGACCCAATTAGGGGTCGCGACCCCTGATTTGGGAACCCCTGGCGTTGACAATCACGCCCACAAATAGAAGATTCCTATTACTCACTTTTTTTCTCTCTTCTGGAGATAGTTCTTTCATTTTCTCTTTCTTAGTCGAGTAGAAATCATCGACATTGTCATTCAATTTGTAGTTGAAGGTCGTTGGAACATCGTCTTCAGATGACGACGGAGGGTCGTTGATCCAGGCGTCAAGGTCAAGCCTTTAGGAGAAGGAAAAATATAAATAAGTCGAAAGTTCTTGTTTAAGAAACTAGCTACATCCGTCCCACCGAAGTGTTTCATTCGGCTCACTTTTGTATACTGAAATTACGACTATAGTTTTTATGAATATAGGTTTCTGTAGAAAATATCGATGAAAAACATGTCATAATGGCCCCGATTGTGCATTGTGCTTCTTATTATTATATAAATGTTAGCCTAGCTTTTGTAGTGTAAATGGACTGTTTTTTATTCATAATTTTTCATCATGAGTTTTAGCCTCCGGTTCCCTAACAAAGTTTGTAAATCATATCCTTAATGAAATGAGAGAATGAATAAATAAATAAAGCCAACGAAAATTTCCAAATCTTACCCTTCCGGAACTGGAACCTTCTTCTGAGCCTTCGGTGCCACAGGGTTCAACTCCCCTTTGAATAAATCGTTGAAATCTCCTGCGACCTTTGATCCCTTCCCTTGAGCTTTGGAAGCGTATTTCATCATGCTTAAAATGCAGGAGGCCTTAAAAGAGAAGTTATGTTGATTAGGATGGTTAACCGTTATACTCTATATTGAAAAAAAAAATTTAATTTCAGAACTACATAAATAATCCAATATTTAGAATTTGGAATGGTAAACCAATAAACCAGAATCGGTTAATGGTTATATCGTTCAACAAAATTGATTTTGTTACACAGTACCAATTTATGTTTAGTTTGTTTGTTGGCCATTATTGTTTTATTGATAAATTTTTTATCTTACTCTCTCCTGTACTTCCAAATCGCCGCTTTGCACAAACGCTGGTAATTTTCCCATCACTAGTTTCAAAAGTTCTTCTACCTTTTCATGGTCTTCATTTTCCTCAGCCTGTGAGTTGAATAGAATTATCATGGAGGGAGAGAAAAGCTGATAAGACGGCTTAATCATATGGCAAACCACGACCTCACGTCCAGTTACCAGTGCATGTCGGAAATGGGATTAGTTAGTCAGTTATTTGTTTCGGATGCATGGACTTGATGATGGAGGAAGCCGTGCAAAAGCCAAGTCACACAATATACTAAGTGAAGGTCATTCAAAGATTACGCAAATAGCGTTGTTTTCATGCGTAATGGATAGATTGGGATTTACATATTTATCCTGAGTGAAGAGGAAAGCCAATAAGGTGACTAGATCATTTGGTGGCCTCTCGTCCGGTTACCAGTCAATGCGGAGTATGGGATTAGTTAGCCAGTTATTCGTTTTCAGATCCTTGGACTTGATGGTGGAGGAAGCGATGCCGATAACCGTCCAGAGGTTGTGTGAACCATGCTACCATCTCTTGAACATAATTATCCCATGAAAAGCTAACCAGTGTGGACAAACCTGATGCGTAGTGTGTCGTAGGGTCATTCTAAGTAATATCAATTTGTTGGGAAATATCATTATCTTCCGCATTTAGACATAAATTGATCAGAAATTGACATTGAGAGAGAAGTACAATTGGCTATTTCGTGCATTCAGCCGAGGTATGATCGTCAATGCCCATGAAACCAAACTAATGTGCTCATTAAATGTAAATTTGCTTATAGTACAAATCTTTTCCAAATGATAATTTAATGTGAAAACTGGTAACCTATTCCCATATTCAACCTGAATCATTGTTCGACATAAAATCTGCCATCTTATCTCATGTAAAATACAGAAAAATTTAGTGACTTACTTGAGTAACAGCAGAAGCAAACAACTTCATCGAGTTCTGGATGTAAATTGCTTGGATATGAGCTGGTAGGCTGACCACACGATGGCTCAACATCGCATTCAGGAGGGAAGACGGGCTTTCGATGAATCTGTGAAGATGAGGTGAAATTTTTTATATAGGATTTGCTCAAAGCAGGCTCACATGATTTTACCAGGAAGTTACAGGCGACCATAGAAAAGCTGTGTAAATTTATCGCAGTGTGTTGCAAGACAATGTAAAGCACGGTCATATACACCCTCACCTCTGAGCAATAATAACTAAGAAGCGATCTTTAAACCAGGGGTTCCCAAACCAGGGGCCGCGACCCAAAATTGGGTCGGAGTGATAAGTAGGTACGGTCGCAGTCAGGTCATGGGGTCGCTGAGGTATGGTAGAGGATGGATGTACAATTCATCCAAGATTTGACAAACCATGTTAAATTTAGCAGTTTGTATCATGGCTTAATGTGAAACAGGCCCATAGGCATCGCTCTATGCTTATTCTATAGAAAATGTAGGTGTTTATTGTGACATCACTGTTGGATTTTAGCTTATTTTACTTAATACCATCACATGACCAAACTCAAAAGTCCAGTAAAAGAAGCTCTAAAGTTCCATGAAAAATATATTCATTGACCTGGGGTCGCACTGGACACTTGAAAGTTGTCTTTGGGGTCGTCCTGAAAAAAGCTTGGGAACCCCTGCTTTTAACCCTTTTAAGTTTTAGACAATTGGTTGCTCAAGTTAATCACTGAGTTAAGTCTCACTGGCTATTTGTTGAGTATGTGTCCGAGTAAATGCATTCGGATGAATCAAGCCAGTATTACAGTAAAATGATCTAAGAACCGTTATCACACCATATACTCGGAACGCCAGTAGGGTCATGCCCCTTCACCTGTGACCCTGGGACAATGCTCAGTCACAACTAGAAATTTTTGAAACACTTTTTAATCATTTGTCATTCTTCAGATCGTTTCCATTGTGACCTGGACCTACTTTGCCTCTAGCTTGCACTCAAAAAACTTGCAGGCTACCGCCCCCAAATATATAAGATACCAAATAACTCACTGTGCGAATTCTCCACATACGTAAGCAGCAGCATAGAGCACTTCTTGCATACCGTTGCGCTGGAGCTGAGAAGCAATGACATGAGAATTCTCCAGAAGGACAGCCTGAAAAAATAAAGATTTTTGCTATAACTTCCTTGATCATTTCCCCAATAATGACCAATCAACAATGAATAAAAGGTGATGTAACCATTGGAATTTAACCATCAGTTCATACACTCAGGATAAAATTGTTATATTTATCCAAGTCAGGAAAAAAGCCAATAAAACAGAACCTAATATTTTTTGAATAAAACTTTTCTAAATGATTCCTAAAATCTAGAATTAGAATGAATTTTCTATCGAGTAAAATATCCTATTCAATTCAGAGTGTAGTACTTGATTTAATTCACCATTCTGGTAATACCACCCCTAATACTGACCATTTGTTAGCTGTATATGGTCTAATAGTTCTTGGAGAAGTGGCCATGCATGTCTTATGACATATTTCCAAATAACATTATTCTCAATTCAATTGGGTAAGTTATTGCCTATTTCATGAATTTGAAAATGCGGAAAAGGTCAGGAAAGTTTTCGCCAGAAATTGAAGGAAGTTTTTAGTAGAGAATAAAGGAAGAGATCAGTCATACAGTGAAAATCCCTAGAATGATAACTTCCAAATAAAAATATTCTAAATCATTCCTAAAATTAAGAATTCATAATCTCAACAATCCTTGCCAGACCCTAATACTAACCATTTGTTTAGCTGCAAATGGTCGAATTGTTTTCACACGGATTGCGACATCCAAAATTTGAGATGAAATCAAGGACCCATGACGAGTTGCTCCCTCAGTTCTGGTGAGTTCAACAAGAACAGTAACGTACCTGGAAAGGAGAAAACAGAAAATTTGACACCCACAACACTTCATCACGCCCTTCACTTCAAACTAGGCTTCGTACAAAATGATATGTCAATGCAGTGGTTTCCAACGCTTTCGTTGTTTCATTGATATTTTCAACGGGAATATATATCCATAAAAACTACGGTACTCCAGAAGTATGTGAAACAAGATGGCGAACACGGAGTGTAGTATGTGTACCAGGTTAGGGTTAGGTCACAATTTTATTCCAATTTTCCTTATTTTAGTTCTATTACGAGTCCGTGGTATTTGTACCTGAAATTATGGCCTAACCCTAACCTGGTACACATACTACGTTCCGATGTCTGCCATCTTGGTTCACATACTTCGGGAGTACCAAAACCATGGCCCACATGCCGTCATTTGCCCACCCCTGCTCCTTTAACCCCTATACCAATTACTCACCATTCAAAGTTAGTAATATACTGATAGTTCTGTTGACTGCAGATCTCAATTATTTTCGTCAGCAATTCATCTCTATATTGACTTCCTTCTGCTTTGTTTACATGAACCATCAGTTTTTTGACAATTTCCATCAAATTTTTCTTGGAAACCTGAAAAATTGGTTTTCGTTGTTGTAAATTTTTCAAAATGGTTTAATCAAATTTGAAAGCAAATTTTTTTATAATTTTTATATATATTTATAATTTTTTTGGAATTAGACTGTTATTGCAGCGATTGAACTCTGAACATAGTGACTCCTATTTTAAAGCGAAACACCACAAACTCACCATTCCAAACAATAAATCCAGCGCTCTCAATCTGATAGATTCATCCTTGTCATCCAAGCATTGCAGAATAAGATCTTTATGTGATTGGACGGCTTTAGGATGAGATTTTAGAATCCGAGACATTGCTAATAGCCCAAGGTACTTCACTGAAAAAGATTTGAAGTATGAGAATGATATTTTTGCGATTCGTACAAGCACCTATTGAAAGATAAAAGAACTACAAAACGTCCACTTTGATAAAGGGCAGGCAGGCCATTGTCACAGTTTAGATTTTGTACTGTGTGTTAATCGAACAGAAGATTACTAAGGTTCCGGATTTGTTGTTTTATTGTAAACAACTCTGTAACTCAACAGACTTAATACAGAAAAACAGTAAATACAGAAAAATACAGCCGACATCCAGCCTTTCCCAGTGAAAAAGCTTCTAATTTTACTGAAACAATGAAATTTAGAATGATATAACAGAGGATACTTTGGGGCTTTTGCTTCGAGCCAGCCTTCAAACAAGAAGCCACTTTTAGAATCTGAGATATTGCTAATGAGCCCCAAGTACTCGTACAAAATAAAGGTTAAAGTAATTTAATTCGAGAGTCTTAAGAACTGACAAGGACAAACTACAACCCGCGGACAAAATCCGGCCCATTGGGTAAATCGATCTGGCCCGCCTGATGCTGCCACAACCACAACTAAAACCAAATATTGATGTTTCAGTTAAAAAATAGCTCAAAGAATTTGTTGAGATTGCGATTAAATTTAATTTCGGCACGAGGCTTATTGATTTCCACTTTTGCTTTTGTAACACTGTAAATATTGTTCATTAAATGTTACTTTTCGCATCACTCTTGTCCACCACTGCTTCAGAGCCTCGTTAAATTTATTAATTTACACCTAAATTAGCAAGAGGCTGTGGAAGAACACGGCCAACCATCGCCCGTAGATAAAAACGATTCAAGGCCGGCCCTTTAAAAACAGGAAAATACAAACAACTCACAATTCTGATCTGCATCTTCAATGAGAATTCTAAGCTTCTGAACGCAGAGCTGAAATGAGAGAATAATTCGATTAAGCATTGCTTTATGAAGACATTTTCATCAATTTATGGTCAACCATTTGTGACACTATGTGTGTTTGTTTATTAATCAGTTATCAGTAGTTTATTTTTCCACCATGCTGAAAAAAGCATGACATACAAATAACAATAAATTATATGGAAAGAGAAATTGCATTTCAGGGTGAAGGGATATGCAAAAACCAATACTGGTTGACAAGCAGCTGCCTTGAAAAAAACATAAAAAGGAGAAAAAATCTAACTATACGTAATATCAACAAAGAACACTACATATGTCTATGCGACCAAGTAGTCGCAAAACCCAATAAAATTGAAACAAGAATATCGGTCGGAGACCGAAGACCTATCGATCGAAAGTTAGGGGATCCCCCAATACAGAAACTGCGGCTTAGATTTCTTCGCTCTTACTCCACAGTGACACCACATGTCCCCTTACTAATTATTTAATACCTCGCTAATTTACGACATAATTCATCCAAAATCAATAGGCTTCTGATCTGAGATATGATGAATGCACATGCAAAATTTGGAGCAGATTCAACCTCGCTTTCGTGAGATATCGCGTGCATCTAACAGACAAACACCTATCATCTGACATATTTCTATGACAAAACAACACCAAATTTTGTTTTGTTCGATTTTTTGTTTACCCTCTCCCAAAGGCAACGCGGGTCATAGATAACGAAGGCCTGGGTTTAGACCACCCTGCTCTAGTCTATGTATCTGAAGCAGAGAACTTGCTAACTCATCCCGTACCCAACATGGTCTTGTATACGGTGCGGTTCGACAGAATCCTATCTTATCTTTGGCCAGGGATGGAGAACTTTTTTTAGTAAATGAGTGAAAATATGTTCATATTAGCGGAAAAAAGACTGGGTTAAAGATATTCAACCTTAGCTTGCAGAACGTCTTGTTACATTTTTTCGCTCTCATCTTTTTTTTTGCTATAAACGCGCATTAAAATATCACCAACTGCCATAAATGGTAGCTTAGTTTGCTAACACTTATAAAATTCAGAGATACAGCCCCATGATGGAATAAACTTTTCTTATTCTTTGGCGCCATGTATGTACGTGGCTAAATTTAAAAATTTCCAAATACCATAAATGGTGGCTTGGTTTTTGCTCGCTTTTATGCTGTTCAAAACCAATCTCTGCGCCCAAACACAGGATGCCAAAATAAACAAGCCTCTTATTTCTGGGTGTGCACCTCTAAGCTCGGTCTTAACAAACTCCTAAATAAACAGTTTTGGGTGATAACATCTCGCATGCCATATGGCATCAAAAACACCTTTCTTTAAGATTTAATAAGTGTGAACAAAGAAAGCTAGCATTTGTGGTAATTGCGAATAACCAATGGTAGCATAGACCAAAGAGAGGGGAGAATCTTGTATCATTTACTCTTTTCCAGCCGCTTCCCTGAGGCGATTTTGCATGGGTATTTTTGAAATATTTTTTTTCGTCAACCATCAAGCCCTAAAGCTTCACTCATGGCTTCTTATGAGCGTGTGCTATAGTTCTATTCAGCGATATATCTTCAAAACACCCTCTAATAATATTTTTTCTATACAACAAAATTCCGAAAATTTCTAATAAACGACCTTCAACTTGAGAGATTTTGTGTCTAGTAGAGGGTTAATAATTATTTATAATTAATTAATTTTTATTCCAACGTTTTCTTGTGTTATTTTCCTACAGAACAATACCACAACCACTATCATAGCGTGAACGGTTACTCTGAAATTCACAATTGAATTTACACAATTTTCAAGTTTAACGCTTCAATCGACAATTTTGATGATGTCACAGCTCTATAATTACTGCACAGAGCCCCCCCAATGCAAAAACGTCACTTTTTCGATGGAAATGCGCAGAGAAAGACGTAAAAAATCTGATGAGCGCCGTTACGCTTGAAAATTACCATTACCTTTACAGGGTTTTTTCACGTTCAAAAAATCTGGAAACCTCTACTAAGTATGGTGCAGTCAGAATCATATTTTTCAAAACATCACAGAGCCAGGGATGGTATGTATGACTGAAAATAATAAGTCATCATAAGGGATGATGTCCGAGTCACATCAGCGATTTTACATGTCTGACTGGCGATTTTGAAATCGGCACTATTTATATGGGTACTCCCGAAGTATGCGCACCAAGATGTCGCATAACCTGAACCCTAACCTGGTACACAAGAAGGGTTCTAAAACAATCAAATTTATCTTTGCTAAAACAAACTTTCATTACACACAGCTTACGAAAATACAGTGTTAGTGTGTGGCAAGACTCTTGGATTGAATAGAATAGTCATCTTAAATCTTGCTACGGCATCCTTGGGCACTCCAGAAGTGTGTGTACCCATATGGAGGTAACTAATTTTGTTCCTCTACTTTACATCAAGTTGAGTGAAAGGACTGAAACCTATGGGCAGAGGGTATATTCACTTGGCTAACACAGACAATGCCCGAACTCGTAATAGAAAATAGGAAAAATCGGAATAAAATTATGGCCTAACCCTAACCTGGTACACATACTACGGGAGTATCCATCCTTGCATTGTACACATACGGATAACACAGGAGTTCGCAAACTTTTGGTGTTATGGAGCCCATGAAGAGGATGACTTTTATTTACAGTGTCACACAATCATTTTTTTTTTAAATCAACACAAAAAAACACATTGTCACTTACTGATTAATGTTCCAGAATAAATTTAAAAAAATACTTTATTTAATGACTCGGATGTATTTAATGCTTTTTAGACAGTTACAAAATTAGTCAAGTCAGTATTTTAATGAGTACCGGTATAAAAATAGCTCACAGAGTATGGAGCACTTTGGGAACCTGTGCACTAACACATGCATAATTGTAATAAGTGATCTGACTTTGGTCAGACAAAACGTTACGGAAATATAATTGTACTCAAAACTCTTAATCTTAAACTACTTGATATCTTGGTTTGAATTCCATATTTCAGGAATGAACCATCTAAAACAGGGGTGTGCAACATTTTTGTCAGTGGGTCATATTATGACCATCTTCAGACATCTAGCCAGGCCAAACATAATAATTAGTTTTTCCATGTTTACGACAAATCAAAGATTTAAAGGGCTCGGCGGCTTTCTGAATACCCTTCGTGGGATCGCAGGTTTGAATCCCATGCGGGGATGATCATGTGCGAGAGGATCGCTGGACTCCTCGCCGCCGTAGGGTGGTTCACGTACCCACTGGTCGGTTACGGTTTCCTTCACCATCAAGTCCATGCTTCCGAAAACAAATACCTGGCTAACTAATCCCATACCCGACCTGAAATGGATCAATAACCAGACGAGAGGCCGTGGTTCGCCATATGATTAAGCCGTCTTATCGGCTTTCCTCTCCCCCAGGATAAATATGTAAATCCTATCCTATCCTTACAGACAACCAGATTGCCGTGAGAAGGGCAAGAAAGAGAATGCGGATATCGCTTAGCCTTTCAGTGATAAAGACACCAAGGAAAACGACGAATGATTTAACGCAGCGACAATAGCAAAAATCATTATGTACATAAAGTCTGGGTGCGCATAACACAATCCAAGGATCCTTAAAAGAATTGAACGAATAACGCAAACAGTTTTATGAATAGTGAGAGTGCAATAAAGAGTTTTAATTCAGATATCAAAAAAAAAATTACCTACTGATTACTTATTAAAAAGCTGCCAATGCTTGCTATTAATAGAAAGTGTGCTTTTATAAAAGCAAACAATTAAAAATTTAGAATCACTACTTCTACTGAGCCATTCCGCATAATAGAGTAGGTGAGGTTTGCTGTTTTGTAGAGAGTTATCACAGTATTACGAAACTATCGTTTTTACGAGTTAAATTTATGTTTGAGTCTGTCTGTCTTTCTTAAACGTAGGGACAAATTCAAACTTTGTGACGCACGTTAGTCCTAAAAATGAGGATGAATCGAAAAAACAGGAGTCTTTCGTTTTTAACATTAAATTTATGTTGTGTCTGTCTGTCTCAAAAACAGAGACAAATTCATCATTTTCGTATAACACATATGTCCTAAAAATGATGATAAATCGTAAAACAGGAATCTTTCGTTTATTTAACATTAAATATATGTTGTATTAGTCCCTCTTTTAAAAACAATACAAAATGAGGACATAGGGGAAAATCGGGACGAATCCTAAAAACGGGCAACTAGCACATTCACAGTTGGCTGAGCATGACCTGTGATGTCATCAGTCACAGATGACTGATCATGACCAACCAGCCATGAAGGTGAAGTAGTCAAGTACTTAGCTTATACCTGTTCGTGTGTATTGGGACTATGGTTATGTTTTTGGGCATTTCCTAATTATACGTTTATACTGAGTTAACAATACAAAGTGTGCATATTTTCAAGCATGTGGCTACAGTATATTACTTTTATTGGAATCACTATCCCTACTAAGCCATACAGCGTAGTAAAACTAACAAGGTTACGAAAATGTGCATGAGATACCTGTCCGCCTTTGCTACTGATCTTATGTGCAAATATGAATAAAAATAAAGTAAAATTTCCTTCTCAATAAGATAATTTGCTCAAAGCAAAGTTACGGGCACACGCCCAGAAGTGAAGGAGACTCGTTTCTGAGCAAAGTTATGGGCACTCAATTGGAGGCTAAGGAGACACTTCTCTGAGCAAAGTTACGGGCACTCACTCAGAAGTGAAGGAGACTCATCTCTGAGCAAAGTTACGGGCACTCACTCAGAAGTGAAGGAGACTCATCTCTGAGCAAAGTTACGGGCACTCACTCAGAAGTGAAGGAGACTCATCTCTGAGCAAAGTTACGGGCACTCACTCAGAAGTGAAGGAGACTCATCTCTGAGCAAAGTTACGGGCACTCACTCAGAAGTGAAGGAGACTCATCTCTGAGCAAAGTTACGGGCACTCACACAGAAGTGAAGGAGACTCATCTCTGAGCAAAGTTACGGGCACTCACTCAGAAGTGAAGGAGACTCATCTCTGAGCAAAGTTATGGGAACCTCTCAGAAGTAAAGGAGAGTCATGGGTAAGCAAGGCCGCTTTGCTTAGAGCAAATTGTCTTTGAACAATTATATTCAAATTAAAATAAAAGGTTTAGTTTGAGATCTGCATTAGTGATATTATAAAAAAGCAATGCTTACTGACCTGTATCGATGAACTGTGATCTGTCATTCCTGAAGTAAATGATATAAGTACTTCATGTAAGCGTGAAATGCAAGAGTTCAAAATGAGCGAAAGATTGGTGAAAAAAAGTTTCCACAAGTATAGCAAAAAGGTAAGTCGCACTGAGGCGCACTGTCAATAGATTGCTTAGTTTAGGTTTCATACATGAGCCACACCGGGCTATGGACTTTTCCCCGACCTTTGACCCCCGGAAAATTCTTCCTATACTTTACCATTGCAAAATTTTCGGGGCTATTTTAAGAGTGCTTTTGCGAGTTTGCGCCTGTAAATGGGGTATGTGTTTCAAACCATCATTATGATTCATCGCATACAACAATCTGTTTTTTTAAAAGTAACGGTAGAGAATTTCAGCCTAGTCTATCACAGCTACTTCTACACTAATTTTTTATTACTGCAATTAAATTAAACCTCCTAGAAAGACAGATTATTGAATCATTATCATTGAATTATCTGATTTATATTTAAGTTTCCAAAACACAACTGAAAACTAACGAATAGAGTTCAAACACGCGAAAACGAGGTGATGTTTACGACCACGCTTGAAAATCTATCTGAGTGAGAAAAGTGTCTGAGCGGATGCGAAAAGGGAGCATTGTCACCTTTTGCATCTTGCTGATTGGCCAATGTCACCTAGTAAACAAGGAAGTCGATGCTCGGGGAAAGGTTCATAAGATGCAACAGTTTTTAAAGCAATACTGGCACTGACTTAGAGTGTGGGCACAGAAGCACTACTTGATCCATACATTAGGCCTAATATCGATTTTTTAGAAAAAAAGGATTTAAAGTGCATCTTATAGTCCATAATATACGGTAATCACGTAGAAAATTCATGTTTTTAATATTATATGAGAAAATATCTAGCAATATCAAATTTCATAGTCCAAACATGAGTTTAAATGAGAAACAAGCTTCCTTCTTACCTTGTATTACAGTATTTATGCATTCATACAGCAGAGACATTGCAGAAGTACTGAAAAAAGAAGATTTGAATTGAAAAGAACAATCAGAGCAAAAAGTGCTGAGAAATGAGTTTGAATTAGAAAGGACGGACAGATGAATTTATTAAAAGAACCCTCGGCCTATCTTTAAAAAAGTAAGCAATGGCCTTCAAAAAGCGTTATTATTTTACGTATTCCGCAGTTAAACTTAAAACTGCAGTTTTTATTATTATGTCATAGACCTCCCTTGCATTTTTTCTGGAATAATCTCGAATTATCTGATACATTGCAGCTTTTCTTTTAGATATTATATTCAGAGTAAATTAACTGATTTATGGAATCCTGTCACTGTAATGCTTCATAATATGTTGGCTTCTAGTATTAAACATGGCGAATCATGTACCAGGTTTCAACTCGTTGAAAACATACCTAGGTATTTTAATTTAAAGCATGTGACTACGGGACTGTTGGGAGTTTCGGGACGAGGGCCACGGATTAGAGCAGGGCTTTCCAAACTACTAAGATCAGACCCCTTCCAATATTTTCAAATTTTCCGCGGCCCCTGTTAAGTCGGCATTGTTATGCAAGTGTGACACTTCTCTGATTACATGTACTCTCTAGAATTCGTGAAATTTATGTTTTGCACTAGTTTTAATAATTTTAATTTCATGTGTTTTGAATCAAACATCTGAAAAAAGTACATAAGATATAGTACTTTGTGTGAAAAATGGTGTAGGCTACGCTTTGCCCCTACCCCTAAATTCATTGAGCGTCCCCCTGCAGGGTCGCGGCCCCAATTCGGAAAGCCCTGGATAAAAGAGCTTAAGAATCACTAACCTTAACTTTCATCTGACAAAAGTCACATTAGAAACATATCACTGAATCACACAAGTTTGGCCAAGCACACAAACCAGGGGGTTCGGCAACCTTTTGTCACTCGTGGGCCAAGATCAAGGGTTGCAAGTCATTTGCGGGTCGCACATATTTTTAGAAAATTGAAAACCGATTGGATGATACTTTTTACAATAAAAATCAAGCAGTGATACATCTCTCGAATAGAATATAAATTAATTTCCTTATGGTGTTGCATCTCAAAAAATTCCATTTAAATATTTTCTGCGCCATTGAACCCTTTGCACTTGGCATCAACTTTTCTGCGTTTTGTTGCCATTTGTCTAATTATAATTAAATTATAGGCTCGATAAATAATTAGTAATTGTGAATTATATTCTTGTTAGGTTATAATATAATTTAGTCTACACATGTCTCACATTAAATTCTGTTACGTAAAGAATATAATCGTCAAAACAGCTGCTTTGTTACTATAATTCAGTGAAGCCTCGCGGGTCGGATTATATTACTCCGCGGGCCATAGGTTGCCGACCCCTGGCATAAACCCTTACCTGTGAATAAGATTTGTCAATGGTTCAATCAGCTTCTTCCCAAGTCGAGGTTCCAGTGGTGTCAATGCTCCAAACTGAATAAAAAAGAAAAACAATAATGATATAAGGCAGTGGTCCCCAACCTTTTATGACACATGGCCCACTTTTCATCATTCCAGTGGTATTTAGCCTGTCACGTTATTTTGATTGGTGGATTCCAAATCCCATTATTTTCAAACAATTCCTGCTCAACAAAGCGAAAACACTTTATGAAATAACCTTAATTAGAAAGAACCCCTCCAACTACTCAATGGCCCCATTCGTGGCCCCCAAATGGGAACCGCTGTTTGTTAGTGATTTAGAACAAACCATGTATATCTCACATAAAAGTTGAAGAAAACTCATCAAGACAATACAATCAGGATATAGGTATATATAAGGGCCCGGAAGTGACACAATGTGCTAAGCGTTAGGAGTTCGCTTGCCACCGCACCTCTGATTCCCTGCGTGCAGTGCTGGGATTCAGCCGGTTCTATAGAACAGTCTCACGAAAATTTTTGAGATCAGCGAACCAGTTAGCATTGCTGAAAAAAAAACCACGTTTTTAAGAAAGCCAGCTGAAAAATATGACTTTTGTGATGGAACACGCTGACAAATAATTTGAATCCCACCACTGCCTGCGTGAGTTCGCAGGTGCGAATTCATTATGTGTGAGAGGATTGCTTGACTCCATGTCGTCGTAGGGTGGTTCACGTATCTGTTGGCCGGTTACGACTTTCTCTACTTGTGGGGCTAACTAATCCCATAACAGACTAGTTAGCGGACGACATTGGACAAACTCTATATGAAAATCCTGACAAAATTTTTTTTATAAAAATGCCAATTTTCAACATTTTAATGAGCCCCTTGGTAGAATAAAACACATTAAAATTACGGTGCTCCCGAAGTATGCGAACCAAGATGGCGGACATCGGAACGTAACATGGTTAACAGGTTAGGGTTAGGCGATAATTTTTTTTCAATTTTCCATATTTTAGTCCTATTATCAGTTCGAAGACTAGCCAAGAGCCTCCCGTAGTATTTATACCTAAAATTATGGCCTAACCCTAACCTAGTACACATATTACATTCCGATGTCCGCCATCTTGGTTCGCATACTTCGGGAGCCCCAAAATTACATTTCAAAATTCTGCCAACTCACCAGTTTTATTATTTTGATAAGAACCCAATTATTTGTTGATGTTGTCATCAGTTTGAAGAAAATCGGAGCGAGAGAGAGATAATTTTTCGGGTTCTTTCGAGCAAGTTCGCAGATTACGTTCACAGCAGCAGATTGGACACCTAGGAATAAAAATATTTAAAAAAAATATTGTACAGCTGGGAATAAATAATTTTTAATGAATTAATTTTTTCTTACTAAGTAAGTAAATGATTAGAGTTGGAGATCACAAATTCGAGTCATGTTCTTAAACATGTGAAAACCATGAAAAACAATCAAAAATCTTGCAAAAAAGCTGTAAAAACTGCTTACTCCTATATATCTAGAATTTCCAAATTCTCAATTAATAATTGATGGAAATTGACATCAAAAACCAGGACGGCTAGATAAAGAGAGTCAATCTTGACTAGTTATCCAATCAGAGCCAATGTGTTCGAGTATATTGTGCCCATCTCAGACGTGTAACTAGTTGAAATAACTTTGTTCAATATTTTCTACATTTTGATGATATAAATATGAATTGTCTGCATTTTAAAATCATTCAAAATTGGAGTCATTTTGAAAGACCAGGGTTCAATATCTAAATATTAGAAAAATAACACACAGCATGAATTCTATATTTATCTAATAGCAAAAAATGAATTCCAAATTTTCATCGAAAACTTAAAAACGTTCAAAGGGGCTCATATGACAAAGTTTTTGGGAAAAGTATGTGTATCAATATTGAAGTAACCAATTTTGTTCGCCTACTTTACATCAAGTTGTGTAAAAGGACTGAAGCCTATGGGCAGGGGGTATATTCACTTGTCTGAAACAGTCCCCGAACTCCTAATAGGACTAAAAAAAGGAAAATCGGAATAAAATTATGGCCTAACCCTAACCTAACATACATTACAGGAGTATTAGTTTTTGTAGTCTAAATTCGGTTTTCTCACAGTTTGGAAATATGTTACAGAATAATTCACATAATGGGAACATTCATTCATAATATCAAAAGGTAGATACTTCATTTTGATTTAAATTTAAAACATAAAATCAATAAAATTTGTGATGATTATTGATCAGTAATGTTTTCAAAATCAATATTTAACTGGAACAGTAAATGAAGAAATTTAAAATATTCAATACAAGGATGATCGAAACCAAATAATTCACTATTCAGGATATACATAAAGTCATAAAGTCCTTTTACAATTTCAATCTTGTTATGAACTCAGTTCTCAATATATCTTAACCAGGTTTGTTTGATTTAAACAGTGTTTTTTAATTCAATTTATACACTTTATATTCCTGCCATTAGCTGCACCAAGCACATCAAATTTCTTCTCTTAATTCAATTTATGACACAGGGTGTAATAAATTGAATAGACAATGCCGAACCAGAAACGTTCTGATAATTCAAAAATATAATAGTTTCTCATCTATCAGTGATTGACTGCTTGAACAGAGACTTATTCAGAGTAAAGCACAAACGAGAATATCGGTCATAGACCGAAGACTTATCGATCAAAAGTTAGGGGATCCAATAAAACAGCGCTCTTACTCTATAGTGACACCTTGTGTCCCATCACTAATTAATTAATAACTCTCTAATTATATGACATAATTCATCCAAAATCAGTAGACTTTTGGTTTGAGATATGATAAATGCACATGCAAAATCTGGAGCAGATTCAATCTCGCTTTCGTGAGATGCCGCGTGCATCTAACAGACAGACAGACAAATACCTATCAACATACTTACCGATTAAAATCGATAAGTAATAAATAAAAACTAAAAACCAGGGTGTGTTGCAGTTAAAACATATCGGATTAACGTCTTATGTCCCTCCGCTTATAATCCAAACGCAGGGTTACTCAACTGGCGGACCGCAGTCCGAATCCGGACGGGTATTCGATTCGAACGGCGCCTAATTCTTTATTTTGAATCATTAGCCTCACTTTTGAAGTTTCTATTTATAAAATCACTTTAATAGATTTAAATATATATGTGAAGAACTATAACTCCATAATAAACAATTTTGATTAGCTAATAATCATTAGTCAGCCGAGAAAGGATGCCGAAATATAATTTCTGGAAAGAACGGACCCAAATATTTTTGAAGTTTTGTGTGCGGGTCTTCGGTAAAAAGAGTTGAGTAGCCCTGACCTAGGGTGTATAACATTGAGTAGACTGAACCTGAAAGATTGTGATACTTTGAAACTAAGCCCTTCAATAAGCAGTCTTGTTCTGATGAAAAACAAATAAAAAACATACACACCTTGGTCAGGGTGTGATGAATTGGATAGGGAATGCTGAACTAAAAAGAGCTCATTCAAAAATATCATAGCTTCTCACCTATCAGTGATTGATTACTTGTTCAGTGTAAAAAACAAATGAATACAATCTTAAACTAGCAGATTACACATCTTGGATTCAATTCTTATGCCGTTTCCCTCCTCAACCTGAGTGTAATAAATTGAGTAGGCAATGCTGAATCAGTATGATTTCCATCCTTTAAAAATAATCTGACCCCTAACTCAGGGATGGGCAACTTCTCTAGTCGGCGGGCCAGATGTGAGAAAATGAAGTCTTCGGTGGGCCGGAGTATTACAAAAAATACTTCGGTATCCAATCTTTATTAAATGCTCGTCACTCTCTGTCAACTTTACGTTTCTTGGGATATTCAATGGTTAATGAAACTTAATATAAAATGTAATTTCTAAAATATTTAGAATCTAATTATAAATACAACTGATAACAGTAGTGGGGAATGTTTACAACGCTCTCTGCTTTGACCTTATATTGTTTGTTTAACAAGTGTGCTAACGCAATTGTTTGTTCACTAGAAAATTGTTTATTTCAACAGCTCGCACTGACAGTGCGGTGAGAGTAGAGCGATCGGCGACTTTCAGAAATGATGCGTCGGACCATATTACAGAGTGTTGGATACAGTCAACGGATCGTTCAAAATTCCGTCGCGGGCCGTATCTTGCCCACCCCTGCCCTAACTCAACAGTGATTGCTTATACTGAGACTTTTTCAGGGTAAAAAGTAAAAAAAAAAAAATTACACCAACCTTGATCAGGGTCCTCCAGCTTTTCTTTCAATCTTGGAAACGCAGGTCGAAGAGCGTCAGGATAAGCAAGGAATATTTTATATGAAATAAGGACGGCTCGTTTGCGAATGTAGGGACGAGTGGATGACATCTGAAGAATAAAGATTTTTTATTAATTATTGAATCGGGGGGTTTTCAATCTTTTTTGTGGAGGCATTTCAGAGGCATAAGAATAGAGGTCCCTGTGTAATAGTATGAATTGTATAAAGTATAACTACATATATCTACATAAGGTGTCCAAAAAGTATCGCCTGAGTTTATAGTAAAACAGTTAAAAATTTCTTTGTCTTTGTTTATTGATAGTTCTTATTGTGCTCGTAGTTCTCACTTATCAATTTATCATACTATAAAATTTATTCGAACTTACAATTGTTATTATGATCGATATTTTTAATTGTTATTACTGAAAAATCGAACAAAATTTGTATATATATAAGCAAATCTAATACTGGCAAAACAAAATGATCTTTAATAAAGTGTAGCAAGTTAATGATATAAGTAAATTAGCAAACCTAATAAAGGTATTTGGTTGTATTTAAACAATATATATATATAATAATTTAGACTCTAAGATTTGAGCGGATACTTGCGGAATTTCTGTGCTGCACTGACATAACCAGGGTAGAAAACTACTGAATTAAGTTTGGCTCATGTGCAAAATAATATCTGTCCAAATTCTGGTAATTGAGTAACTACGGGCCTCTGCCTGCATATTAGTGTATGATTGAGACACTATAACATTGCCTGTACAACTTTGATCAGAAAAGTCTTCAAAAAACTCACCAAAGCCAGAATATCGTTGACTAAATCTCTTGCTAAATCCGGAGTAATGAAGCATGACAGTCCGCTGAGAGCGACTCCTGTATCGTACATTGTCTGCGATCCGAGATCTTTTCGAATCATATTCGTTGTCAACATGAGAACGTCGGTTTCAGAGTGGAATGATTGAGATGCAGCGAAATATCCGATTCTCTGAAACAGAAAAGAATGATTAATTCTGTGAGGCATTTTCGCAGTCTAACTTCGAGTGGGGCTTTGTGCGATCAGGTATCCAGTCATCCTATGGTTGTGTGTGTGGGTGCGTGTGAGCGTGTGTGGAATATTTCAATTATTTTAGGTGAGTGAACATGTACCGCTTCTTCTTGGCAAAACCTTCCATTTTATATACATTCAGTACGTTTTAAACCTTATCTAAGGTTTTGTTTTCTCTCCTGATTTCTTATACTTATATTTATCTGTATTAGTTGTCATAATGAAATGAATGCTTGACAAGACAGAGTACTAATATTTGTAAGGGCTGAACAAAGCCTTCTGTAAGCAACTACTCAAATATGAGGTGCTACAACTTTATCGGAAGGGCAGCGATCTTTCATGTTCAACTTTGGGTACCTCTGTAGTGTATGCGTACCAGGTAGTCCCTGCCCATAGGCTTCAGTCCCTTTACAAAACTTGATGTAAAGTAGGCGAACAAAATTACCTCTATATTGGTACACATACTCCTAGAGTGCCCAACATTGTCTATGTAATTCAATTAGGTGTTTTCCTAATACAGCTGTTTACTAGTAGGGATGCGACGAATCCAAAAAGGTTCGGCTCGGCCGAATCCCGAGTATTTGCGCTGGACTCGTGTCCGAGTCCCGAGTCCAATACTTTTACATAGCTCAGAAATAAATACCTAAAGTAATGCTGTTGTTCGCGTATATTGGCCGTAAATTAAACATTCTGTATGATAAGACTATGTAATTAAAAACGTTGCACATAAACACTATTGCTTTCGAGACAATCATTCGCTGAGCGGCTATTTTAAATTAGTATAAATAGGTCCTATTCCCCGTCGAAGGAATAAATACTTTGTTACATAACTCTGATCTACCGCCGCGTCGACTGCTGAAGACACCGCGCTCGTGTCCTGTCACGATAAATATGGGCCATAACCCACAAGTTTGGAACAAATTTTTTATGGGAAATTTTTACTTATATGTTATCTTTTTTAGTCGGCGCTGATACAGACGCCCATCTCCGTGATAATTGAGATATTAATAAAGAATTGCCAACTGTGGAAGCATCGAATAAATGTATCTTATAAATATATCGTAACAAAATAGCTAGCTATTCTTCGTTTGAAAACCATCAATAGCGATTGTCGAATCCGCGGAAAATAAGAATGTGTAATTGTTGATTATAATTCAATAAGAGAGACGCAAAAGACGAAATGTGTTATATGCTAAGTTACGGCTGTCTGTTCAAACTCATGGTCATGACGCAAGCATTTTCATTAATACAAATAACGGCGCTTTGAAAAGCAAAAATTGAATTTATTAACATTACTGTAATTTAGAAGTGAGAGTCGCGGGTAAGATTTAAGCCACGATAGGTATTGTTCGCTTAAAATAGGGACTGTAATTTACAAACTGTGATATGGAAGATCAAATTCAGAAGATGAGGCCAGAATAAAATTAATATGTTTATGAATTCACTAATCAATAGCTGTCTTTAATATCTTCGCCTATTTGTACTCACACTTCTGCCTGAAATATAAAAACGAAACTTCGATGTCCGGCGTTGCGTGAGAGCTGATAGTGAAAAAAGGTGCTTCAAAAATATAGTTTACCAACAATAATTAGGATGTCGGTCGCGGTGACAAAAAAACAATTCGCGATTGTGATAAAATTACGGATAAAAAATAAAGACGCCGCTTTGTTATCGAGTCTCCAGTCTTCTAGTAATTTTCTACTATCGGTAAATAAAAAGAAATAGTCGAATTATTTGATCAGGGAAAATCGATTTTGCCCGTCACTAATCGCGGTGTATGTAAATACTTATTGAATGAAAATAAAAAGTCGGCCCGATTAACATCCAATTACCACGAGTAATAGTTTCCAAATTTATGGACATTTAATCGATGCGACTTGCGAGATTATTTTTGTACATATATACGAGTGTAAGGCCACTGACATCTGCGAGTTGTACTTTCTCTCAAAAGTACCGTAATTTTCACTATTTTATCGTTTTATTTCTAACATTTCTCACATTTGTTTCTCTCCGAAAATGGCGAGATCATTTATGGAACGATAAAAGGCGAACAGTGCGACATGGTTACCGCTGATTACGGATTAATCACTGTTCGAGGATTATCAAGTATATTATGCTTGAAATAGGACGTGGTAAACATTCACTAAATGACGTCTGGCAATGGAAGGCAAGCTACACGCAACACTGGAATTTATTCAGCTGACTTTCGCTGACATTTTTTTGCTCTTACGGCGTCGTGAATTTGTAGTTTTGGCGCCTAGTTTCAATTTTATATAGAGAAAATAGGCTGGACAGTCTCGTGGCAAAACAGAACGAAAAAGTTGAATTACTCGTCGAATCCGCCACCAGTCTGCGCTTGACTATCGCGTGACGTATGATATCTCGGACTCGGGTAAAATCATCAAAGACTCGGGCCGAATCCGAGTATCAAATTACGAGAGATTCGGCCACGAATCCGAGCACGAGTCCGAATCTTGTCGCATCCCTATTTACTAGGTAAAAGAGACTGTCATGGGATATAAACAGTTTTACGTCAGTATCTAAATAATTCAGACATGATTGGCAACTTCTATGACAGGATAGCCAGAACCAAACAGTTTATTATTTCAACTACATTCTGTAATAATGATTTATTCTAAGCCGAATAATTTTTAATATAAAACAGTCAATTTCCATTTAATGAGATTGAATACGATAATGTCGGAGAGAATTGAGATGATTAATGATTTAATTGGCTTTCTCTTTTATAAAGTTTTCAGAAATTAAAAGTGTGAAAACTGTGAGACATGAATTGCTCAAAATGAATCTGAAATGAAAATATTCCTAAAATTTTTACACTGAATGATAGAATCTGCATTTACTTATGAATATCTACATTTTCCTACCCAAAATAAATTTGTGAATTAAATGCAACCCTCGTACCAACCTTGAATGTGAACTTTGGTGAACTCATGACTTCAATGATATTGAAAGCTGCCCAACTGATGTCATACCCAAGCATTTGAAGCTGGAAAGAATAAGATAAAGTTAGGAATAGAGATGGATATATCGTCCCATACACCGTTTGAATTTCCTACCCCATACAGGGATAATATGCTTCCATATAAGCAGTTCTTTAGATATAGGGATGGATGTATGATCCTAATTACCATTTGAATTTCTGTATAGGGCTATACAGAGCTGCTATTGGGCTGACATAAACAGAAGGTTGATAATATGATCCCAACCACCATTCAAATTGCCTCCCCCATAAAGGTTGCTTGACTGCCATATAGACAGCAGGTAGGAATTAGGATGAATATGCGGCCCTACTCGCCATTTAAATGGCTTCCTCCATAGCAGGCTGCCTGACTGCCATATAGACAGCAGATTAGAAATAGGGATGGATATGTGGACCCCATCGCTATTCGAATGGTCTCCTCTATACAGGGCTATTGTGTTGTAATATAGACAGTAGATTATGGAGTATATTATGACCCTAATTGCTTGAATTTGAATGGCCTCAACTATATAGGGCTATTGAGCTTCCATATAGACAGTAGGTTAGAAATGGAGGTGGATATAATATATCGGGCCATATTATGGTCTCATAGATCAGGGATACTCAACTATGTTCACCGAAGATCCGCATACGAAAATTCAAAAGTATTTGGGTCCGCACTTTCCAGAATTTATATATCGGCATCCTTAAACGCACACTTCCTCGACCGGCTAATGATTATTAGCTGATCAAAATTGCTTATTATGGTGTTATAGTTATTTTCATATATATTCAAAACTATAAAAGTCATTTTATAAAAGGAAACTTCAAAAGTGGGGCTAATGATTTAAAATAAAGAATTAGGTGCGGTCCGAATCAAATACTCGAAAAGTCCGATTTCGGACCGCGGTCCGCCAGTTGAGTAGCCCTGTCATAGATCATTTGAATGACCACCCCTGCAATAGACTATTAGGTTGATATATAGACAGTAGGTTAGGAATAGCGATGGATGTATGGCCCTAATCGTCATTTGAATGGCCCTCTCTGTGGAGGGCTATTGGGCCGTCATACATACAGCAGGTTAGGAATAGGGATAGATATTAGGCTGTGGCATAACAGCTGGTTTGGTTTTTAGGGCAGTTATACAAGATGTAATGCGATGTATTATGTGAAGAATTGCCTTCATAAACTCATAACTTTGCTCAGATGTGAGTTTCCTTTACTTCTGAGTGAGGACAATCATACTTTGAGGTAATATTTTTTTTAAAAAATAATGTAATAGCCAGCAACTCACATATATAAGCTTGTTGACAGCATTTGCCTTGATTGCCGCATTGTCTTGCTTCAGTTCACTTTTGATTTCTTCAACACAACCAGCGATGTAGCGAGACTGAATTAGAAAAAAGTATGTTCACACTTTGGATGGGTCACAATTAGGCTTAAGTCACTCTATTCGAGATCAACTTTAGTCAAGATTTATCAAACACATACTCTGAGTTGGTCATCAAAATGAAATGGCTCGGAGTTGACAAACTGCCACTGAGAATTAACTCAGTAATTGACTCGCCTCTAGTTGGAATCAAGTCACCTGAATAGAATGACTCGTAGACTAACCCTCAGTCCAGTCTGGGATTCATGACCTTTTTCCACGAGAAATCGGGTGCAATCAGTGACTGCAGCATTCCAAATGTCTGCATCCGCGTGCAAACTTACTAAAACTGCGTGAAAACCTAGATTCTTAGCATGCAACTAACAGAATGGCCATATTGGAAAAACTTTGAATAAACAAGTGTGATAGGCTATTATTTTAATGGGGTGCTTTGACGCAGAGTTCCATCTAGCAAATGACGAAGGCGATCCGATTGCATATGCCAAAGGTTAATTAATCGAACAATTATGTTCAGGAAACAAAAAAGCCTCGCATTTCAAGAGAGGCCCATTTAGCTGTTAATCGGTGTGGGTTATGGCGTGTTCTTGATGCCGAAAGGTCAATTTGTAATATTAGAACTCATCAGCACTGTTTATTGGTGGCTGTTTCATTCAACCACCCTTCAGACTGTCATATATAATGGTGAACAATCCCAAATTTTCCGGCGTGTAAAATGAATTTCGCTCGCATGCATTTTGAGGGAGCACTAGCAAACTCAGGTGTGCACCTGCCATGGCTACAGGAGTGGTGACTCCTCTACGGCCCATGGGCCGGGGCCACATGGGCCGTGACCCATAGCTTGATGGGCCGCGGCCCCATCAGGAAAAATTCAATTATCTCAACAAAATTTTCAATTTTTACCAAATTGTCAATATTCTAACCAAAAAAACATACTCCTGTAGTATGTGTACCAGGTTAGGGTTAGGACAAAAAAAAATTCAGATTTTTTACATTATAGTTCTATTAGGAGTTCGGGTACTGTCTGTGTTAGCCGAGTGAATAGTTTCTTTACACAACTTGATAGGCCGCGGCCCATATCCTGATGGGCCGAGGCCCAATTCGATGGGCCGTGGCCCCGGCCCATGGGCCGCAGAGGAGTCACCACTCCCACTCTGCCATGGCATCCAGTCTGGTCCTCAGTAAGACTCAAATGTGATGAACTTAACTACAAATACTAGGATTACCTTTGACTTCTCTCCGCTTGTGACTCTGGGTTTCAGTGCATATAAATTCACCAACAATAAATTTTAAGGGGGGGGGGGAGTAGTTAATAATAAATGCTACTAGTTTAATTAACCACACAGTCATATTTGATTATAGGTCCATAATTTTTTTTCTAAATTCAAGATATCTTGAATAAATAAAATGATAGATGAAAGAATAAAACTTTTTCATCAGTGGATCGAAATCTTTTCAATTCGGCCTCGCCTACCCAATTTTATAATAAGTGAATGATATTGAGTTTTAAAAATTGAAATTTTTTTCCTGTCCATAACAGCAAGTCTCTGTACATAATTATGTGCGAATTTTTTTCTGTTATGGCACTGTCTACCCAATTTATCACATAGGAAATGCTCATTTGACTTTCAGCAATTTTCCCCTGGCTGAGAATTGCATTGCAATGACACAAAAAAAAAATTCAGAACACAAACAAACAAGCCACAAACCTCCGACTCCTTATGATTCCGAATTCCTCTGACGAGATCCTGCATATTCTTATCAAACATACGATCCAAACTTCCCTTCACTTTTTTCAGTGTAAGAGCCATCTTGCTGTTTCGTTCAGCTTAAACTCCAACTGATAAATCCCAACCAATTTTAATGGTGTTTTTTGCTGATTTAAAGACTAATTTATTTAGATTTTATTTTCAAATTTTACCATTGTAATTCCTGTAAACACTGATTAAATACAGACATTGGAAATATGGAGTTGAGTGATCCAAACTTCCATAAATTTTCCTCTTCCCTTCCTGTCTTCGCTTATAAAATATTAGACTATAACAGTATAATGTTAACAACTGGTTCCACAATCGGGGCTCCCGAAGTATGCGAACCAAGATGGTGGACATCGGAATGTAATATGTGTATTTGGTTAGGGTTAGGCCATAATTTTAGGTATAAATACTACGGGAGGCTCTTGGCTAGTCTTCGAACTGATAATAGGCCTAAAATAAGGAAAATTGGAAAAAAATTATCGCCTAACCCTAACCTGTTACATTCGGATGTCCGCCATCTTGGTTCGCATACTTCGGGAGCGCCCCACAATCATTACATTAATTGTTATATATTCGTGGAAAAATTCATCATCAACATCTGAATTTTACTACCAAAACAGTCAGACAGTAGAGTTATATTATTAACATTTAAATTTGTTTCTTTTTCTTGTTTGCTTTTTTGTTTTTAGAGTATAAGTATAAGTATAAGTTTATTTCGACTCCATAATCAGCATAACAATACATTTGACAGATAAAAACAAATAAATAAAAACAAATAAATAAAAACTGATTATGAAATCAGGGGAGCAAACAAAACCTTAGATAAGGTTTATAACGTACAAAATATAAGATGGAAGGTTTTGCCAAGAGGAAGTGGTACGTGTTTACTCACCTAAAATTATTAAGTTATTTCACACACGCTCACATGCACCCACCAGCCACACACACACACAACCACTGAGAAGTTATTTAAGTAAGAATAAAACGCGATAAATTTAGGGTATACTATACAGTAAACAAAAAAAAAATAAATAAATAAATACTGAAATACTAGAAAAGAAAATTATCTGCCACACCATATTGATATTTTTGTAATGGTTGCCATTGCCAAATTGATCGATCTTCTAATCGTTAATTAAGATATAAAACAGTAAAAGGAAGATTCTATTGAAAACATATTGCCAAGCTGATTATAGTTGGAGTCAAATTATAGTTGGAGGTAAGTTACGTCGTACTGTAGCACTCATACCGGTACTGTCGCTTTAAAATAAAATATCCGTCTATTAATCTACTTGTTACCAATACGGTACCGGTACATTGGCCGATTCGGCGTTATCTTCAGTTGTTAGCATTTCAGCATTTGCTGTGAAGTCTAAGATATCGAAAAGTCACATGAGCGCTTATCGGCACCGGTAGTTACATTTCCGCAGCGTTAAGTATCCTTGTGAGTACTTACTTATCATGTATTGAAACAAAGAAAATATCTTTTACAAATCAACGCATGAAAATGTTTAAAATCACAAAAAAAAATCGACGAAAATCAAGAAAAAATCGACGGCGGATTGCGAACCTTTCCGCTTCATCAAGTTTCCGATTCGCCGTGGCAGAAAGGTCGTGAACTTTTATCAATAGTTTTTTGGGTATTGATCAGAGTCTAGTTTTCAAATTGACTCATGAAACTTGTAAATAGAAGGCAACAGTTCATTCCAAAAAATATATTTTATTCGTTCGCAAACATTAAAACAATACAATTTATAAAAATGAAATAAAGATTTAAAATGTTGAAGTCATCAAAGTCAATTACCACTCAAAGACAAATGCATAAATAAATAGTTGAACAGGTTTATATAATAGGATGATTAGAAAGAAACTTTCCGTATAAGATAAATTGCATCGCGTAGCACAATAAGGGTATATTTTCCAAAGATTGACCTCCAATCTATTGACGTTTATTACTTGCCAAAAAAGGTTAAATATCGATCGAAATTTAACGTCAAAAATTATGATTGCCGTTATGATCGTCTAGCTCAGTGTTTTTTAATCGGAGTTCGATCAAACCTCTGAGTTTCGGTGAAGCCGTTACAGGGTGGTTCGACAATATCCCCTGAAATATTGATATATTATGAAGTTATATTTATATTATCAAACATATTATTTAAAAAAATAACTATAGTTAGATAAGATGAGTTTATTTTGACTTCATAATCAACAAAAAAGGCGATAAAACGGTTGATAAAAACAAATAAATAAAAACTGATTATGTAATCAGGAAAGTAAACAAAACCTTAGATAAGGTTTAAAACGTACAGAATATAAGATGGAAGGTATTGCCAAAAAGAAGGGGTACGTGTTCACTCACCTAAAACTATTGAATCACATCGTACACACTCGCACACACACAACCATAGGGCATTAATAAAATTAGAAATAAGAGAGGAGCTTTAATCAATCAATCATTTATTTCATTATTCTGACAAAAAAGCAAAACAGCACAAAAAGTAGACGAACAAACAAAATGCAGAGATACCTGGAAGGCGAGCACAACTTAAAATAAAATTAAAAAACATCAAAGTACGCGCCCGCCCACCAAAAAAAAATTCCAACAATACAAAAAAACACGATTCAGAATCATGCAATGCTTTTTAATGGATCTATGGGATCTTTGGATAAATTATATTATATAGCAACAAAAAATAAACACGTAAAGAAGAAATTAGAATAAAAGATAGGAAATATAATAAAAATAAGAATTGCTTGCCACACCATTTTAATAATTTTATAAAAATTCCCAAACAAGCTTGAACAGTATTTAATATAAGGACAAAAAAAAAATGATTTCGCCAAGCTGATTATAATTGGAGTCAAATGCCAAATTGCCGACCAAAATTGCCAAAGTTGAGTGCATGAAGAGGTGGGATAAATCTTTTCATTTACCAAGGACACACCAAAATATTGCCAAATTGTAGTCCAGATTTCATCAATTATTAAATACTACTGGTAACAGTTAAAAAGTATAATATAATTGGAATAGGGGTTCACTGATATCGAACTTTCACGTATAAACAACTCATGGAATATGTTAATTATGTGTTGTTTCGCGCAGATATAAGTGTTAGTGAAATTTCCAATGTCTGTTATAGTTGACATGGACATACTACGACCCGTGGGACAAATCCGGCTTTTTGAGTGATTCAATATGGCCTGCATGATGCTGTTACAAACAAACTAAAATCAGAATTTTGATGTTCTAGCTAAAAATAGCTCTAGGAATTTGTTGAGATTTCGAATAAATTTAGTTTTGGCACGAGGCTTGTTTCCCACTTTTTCTTTTGTAACACTGCCAATAAAATTCTGTTCATGATATGTAACTTTTTACATCACACTTACGCGGCCCGCCAGTCAAGATGGGCAACATTTTTGACCCCTGGTTCAAAAGCCTTGCCCACCCTTGCTGTTATAGTTGAGAAGAATCTTTGAAGGCTGATACCCAAATGAATGGAGCCATCAACGTTTTCAAACCTTTCAGCTTCGGGAGTTGCAATTTTATTAAGATTTTTTCGACCCGTACGACTTGTACAGCAAAAGCGTCTTCTCACAAATACAAGTCAACGCCATTGTGGCCTAACAAGGATTTTTTCGACACAGCGTAATGATATCTAAGATTGCGCCACAATGGTCGTGGTGGTACCAAGTTACAAGACGACTGAAACATTGCATTATCTCCCGAGCTGCCTTTTTAGATGTTTTATGGCAAGATCTAGATAGGATAGGATTTACATATTTATCCAAGGGGAAAGGAAAGCCCATATGACGGCTTAATCATATGGCAAACCACGGCCTTTCGTCCGGTTACCGTTCCAAGTCGGGGATGGGATTATTTAGTCAGTTTTGGCAAGCATACCTTGATGGTAGAGTAAATTGGCCAGCAGTTCATCAACTCCGAATGATCTTCGATATCTGCTATGATGTTTACAATTTGGTATCTTGAGTCAGAGTCAAAAGTTTCCGTTCAGTTATGGATCGAAGTTTTATTTTTAATTCGGAGAGTCAGAGATGACCGTGCTCTGAAGTTCAAACTAATTCCAAAAAGATTCCCAAATCGTTTTAATGGCGCTAGATGTCGCTACAGATCCAGTGCAAAACCATTTTTCGAAACTTATTTTAGATGTATCTGAATATTGCAGGATACAGGCCGATAGGTTTTCTATATTCAATTCTATATTCAATGGATATAAATTGGAATATATATGACACAAAACTCCGGTAATGGTATGGTTTTATATTTTAATTGTTACATATATTATTGAACTTGTGGGCAATGTGTTTTGAAATTATGAAATTGTTTTAATTGGGTGCAAATTATACTAATTCGACAATAAAATTAATATACGAAAATTCCGTTTGGCATTGGAATTTATTTGGCAAAAAAAAAAAAAAAAAATAGGTTTTTTGGAAAAGATCAATACTTGTGTAATAAAATATGTGGATACGAATGATCAATATTATGGAATTTTTTATCTGTATGTAATCATCTATGTTATTATTTTATATTTAATATCAAAAAAAAAATATGTGGCTACTTTAAATATACTGATATAGGTAATTCGACTTGTTTTGTTGTCTACCAAGTCCTACAAGAGTGGTGACTCTTCTACGGCCCATGGGACGGGGCCACGGCCACCAACGTTACTCTAGCCCACAATTTCCCAGCCCACAATTACTTGGAGATCAGAGGGTTAATCATGCATATATTTACAGCGATTAAAGGACTCTAAGCAAGGCAAACCTACTGAATTTAGTTATGGGACTAATAACGTGTTCTTTTACATTAAAATCAGTACCCACAATCGAATGTGCCGACCGCTAAACTGCAATGTCGGCTGGCATAATCAGAATTGTGGGCTAGCGTAACCGAAATTGTGGGCTAGCGTAACCGAAATTGTGGGCTAGCGTAACCGAAATTGTGGGCTGGAGTAACCTTGCTCTACAACAAAATGCCACTGTGTCCACATGTATTAATTATATCCCTGATAACTTCTTATCTTTATCTAGTTAATCTGAAGCAAAGTTATGAACGATACTTCGCGTTACTCTAAAACTGGAAACTGAAATTGTGGGCTAGAATCATTTTTTGCAGCAACAGAAGACTTACAAATTATCCGAAAACACTAGATGTCAGTAAATAACCAAGGGCAATATTACCTATATTAAAAATTGTACATTGCAATTAAGTAAATAAATTAAATTACACAAACGAGTGCAACCTTGAATTCGTATTCAACCCAACGGTAATAATGTGGGATTGTGGAGTTGTTGAAGTAATCCTTTTCTACTTCTGAAATAATTTATTTTCGTTCAATATTCAATAATATAAATAGTTTTTTTAAAGCAATTGCCACGCATGGGTATATAACAGTTCAGTAGAGTATAAAAATACCTTTCAGAAAATAATAAAATAAACTTGACCTCTTTGAGGAGTTAATATGCAAACTAGCTTTGAAATAATCCTCTTCTGCGTCTGAAATAATTTAATTTCGGTCGATATTCAGTATTAGTTATTACTACTTTCTCAAGACTTGCCACGCATAAGTTTATTATAGTTGGATAGAGTATACAAATACCTTTCAGAAAATAATAAAATAAACCTGACCTCTTTGGGCAGTTAATATGGAAATTAGCTTTGAAATAATTCTCTTCTACGTCCAAAATAATTTTATTTCGGTCGATATTCAGTATTAGTTATTACTACTTTCTCAAGACTTGCCACGCATAAGTTTATCATAGTTAGATAGAGCATAAAAATACCTTTCAGTAAAGAATGAAATAAACTTGACTCCTTTGGGGAGTTAATATGCAAATTAGCTATGAAATAATCCTCATCTACTTCTGAAATTATTTATTTTCGGTCAATATTCAGTATTAGTTATTACTACTTTCTCAAGACTTGCCACGCATAAGTTTATTATAGTTGGATAGAGTATACAAATACCTTTCAGAAAATAATAAAATAAACTTGACCTCTTTGGGGAGTTAATATGCAAATTAGCTATTAAATTATCCTCTTCTACGTGTGAAATAATTTATTTTCAGTCGATATTCAGTATTAGTTATTACTACTTTCTCAAGACTTGCCACGCATAAGTTTATTATAGTTGGATAGAGTATAAAAATACCTTTCAGAAAATTATAAAATAAACTTGACCTCGTTGGGGAGTTAATATGCAAATTAGCTTTGAAATAATCCTATGCTACGTATAAACTGATTGTTTGATCGTTATTCAGTATTAGTTATTACTACTTTCTCAAGATTTTCCACGCATAATTTTATCATAGTTGGATAGAGCATAAAAATACCTTTCAGAAAATAATAAAATAAACTTGACCTCTTTGGGGAGGTAAAATGCAAATTAGCTATAAAATTATCCTCTTCTACGTCTGAAATAATTTTATTTCGGTCGATATTCAGTATTAGTTATTCCTACTTTTTCAAGACTTGCCACGCATAAGTTTATTATAGTTAGATAGAATATATAAATACCTTTCAGAAAAGGATAAAATACACTTGACCTCTTTGGGGAGTCAATATGCAAATTAGCTATAAAATTATCCTCTTCTACGTCTGAAATAATTTTATTTCGGTCGATATTCAGTATTAGTTATTACTACTTTCCCAAGACTTGCCACGCATGAATTTATTATAGTTGGATAGAATATAAAAATACTTTTCAGAAAATAATAAAATAAACTTAACCTCTTTGGGGAGTTAATATGCAAATTAGCTATGAAATTATCCTCTTTTACGTGTGAAATAAATTATTTTCTGTCGATATTCAGTATTAGTTATTACTATTTTCTCAAGACTTGCCACGCATAAGTTTATTATAATTGGATAGAGTACAAAAATACCTTTCAGAAAATAATAAAATAAACTTGACTTCTTTGGGGAGTTAATATGCAAATTAGCTATGAAATAATCCTATTCTACGTGTGAAATAATTTATTTTCGGTCGATATTCAGTATTATTTATTACTACTACTTTCCCAAGACTTGCCACGCATAAGCTTATTATAGTTGGATAGAGATTAAAAATAACTTTCAGAAAATGATAAAATAAACGTAACCTCTTTGGGGAATTAATATGCAAATTAGCTATGGATTTATCCTCTTCTACGTGTGAAATAAATTATTTTCGGTCGATATTCAGTATTAGTTATTACTACTTTCTCAAGACTTGCTACGCATAAGTTTATAATAGTTGGATATAGTATAAACATACCTTTCAGAAAATGATAAAATAACTTTGACCTCGTTGAGGAGTTAATATGTAAATTAGCTTTGAAATAATCCTATGCTACGTATAAACTGATTTTTTGATCATTATTCAGTATTAGGTATTACTACTTTCTCAAGATTTGCTAGGCATAAGTTTATCATAGTTGGATAGAATATAAAAATACCTTTCAGAAAATGATAAAATAAACTTGACCTCTTTGGGGGTGTCAATATTCAAATTAGCTATGAAATAATCCTCTTATACGTCCGAAATGATTTGATTTCGATCAATTTGTAGTGATATGTATTACTATTTTCTAAAAAAACTTGTCACGCCTATTATTAGTACGGGGGTAAGAACGCCCAGACATTTTCCCCTATACAATCCATATTTGTGTTTTACTGTCACGTAGTTGAGACCGACGGTCTCGGAATCACTATGTTAACGCTGAGTTCCTATACAACTTCCAGGGAAAGCTACTCTGGCATTCCATGGTCATTCATACTGAGACTTAACATATGTGAAAATTGTATTTTTATTACGTAAAATAATATTGAAATGAATAAAAAAACTCAGAATGAAATTGAAAATTTGTTTCAAATTGTTTTTTAAAACACCTTGGTTTCATCCTTTTCTATTATTTTTGTCACTGCACGGTCCAATTTTTTCATATATATTTTAAGTCCAACATCGGAGAGGTGAAGGCGGTCGCTCCAGTATTCGCCAGAGCTGCCGACGTCGAGGTCCAATAGCGGTACTATAGCATCCGACGCTATCGTCCCAAGAACAACGTTGGCCAGGTGAACAAGATAATGACGTCCGGTCTGGGGCAAGATTTTTGCCAACAAAATCTGGGGAAAAAATCAAATATTAGCAGATGATTAACAAAAAAAAACGATTTTAAAGTGTATCTTTTTTGTGAATTGAAAAAAGCATCATATTGTAATTTGCCTACATACGACCAATACGACCGAAACTGCTGATACTGGGTGAAATACATTTTTCTGGCTTCTAATTACTATTTTCTGATTAGTTACGCCCGGAAACTGAAGGAAAAAAACGTAAATTTTTTAAATACCGGTTCAACCATCGTGGTTGGAAATTCACAATAAAAATATCCTTTTTTGAAAAATGTTAAGAGTCAGTTAGTATTAATTCCTCCAATATTTTTTACATAGAATACACGACACACATATCTGAAATATCAAAAATACTAAAGAGCACCAGGTTATGTTATACATTGAAAGTTTTACGATGTTTTATATCGCCAAACCCCGATTTCGAAAATTTAAATTATGTTTGCTCAATGTTGCTTCCTTGTCAAATCTAACTCGCTTCGCAGTCAAGAAACCGATGGCTGGATGGCGACGTCTTTCGCCGGGAGGTGATTTTTTGTGACTGAGGTTTTAGAATTTAAATGAAAGTAATGATTCACCACTCATTACATAAGAGCAATTCAGGCATTTAGTCTATTATCATCTCGATTTTATTTTCGTAAAGCCAAAATCAACGCAACTGTCGTTCCATTTTCGTATTTTGCGCATTAGGAATTTACAAATACGTTTTTGCCTTGCGTTATAATATGATAGCGAAGGTTATATCGAAGACGCAGTTTAGCGAACCTGCACAGGATAGACGGCCAACCGGCGAACTATTTTGATTGGTAGATTTCAAATTTCATTATGATTAAACAATTCGCGCACAAAAAAGTGATAGATACGGTGATCCCAAATAATCTATTCATGCAATAAAACTGCGATGAACGCTTGAGCACTGAATTTTATTTTATAAGGAAAGTATGCAATCGAAGTCGCTTTATGATCAATTATTAGCCTTGTACCGTTACCCCCCATGAACTGCTTCGTGCCCGCGAGTGAGAACCACTGTCCTAGGGCTTATAATCGTTTAAATCCGACACTGCTCATATGACTAAACTTGCATTCGAGCTTCTAAATATGTCGTTAACCTCACCTTGAAATCCGGATAAGCTTTCCTGCACTTTTCTAGGAAGTTCACTGCAACTCTGTGAGAGTTCCTTAAAAACGATCCTGAAGGCCCATTGTAGTTGGCGACGTCATTCGTCCCCAGCGCAACTACCAGGTAGTCAATGCTGGGGAATGGCGTAGACCTCAATTCTCTTCCTCCAGCCAACATATCCGCACCCGGCAAGCAGTTGGCAGAAAATGCGAACTGACAAGAGCGTGAGGGAAAGATTACCTGCAATACAAGTTTGAGCGTGTATTATTATCAAAAATGGTTTCATGATAACTGCGGAATTAAGAAATCGAAAATTTGCTTTTGTCGAACATTCTAAATGCAGCATATAAGTTTACTGCTATAGAATATTGTTGTTCCGTTAAATAAATAAATGATTCTTTATGAAAAGATAGATTTATAAAAGTGACCAGCATAAGTGTCCAGTCGTAATTAAATAGTCTTGATATTAAAAATATTTCAAGCTTCGTAATAATATGACGAGTTATTTCGTTCCGTTCATGCAGATATCGATATTTATGGTAAATAAACGTATTAATGCTGTTAAATCTTACCTATTTCGTAACAATTACCATACATTAATGTTCCAATTTACCAAAATCGCTTGAATCAATGGTTACCTAATCATGGAAAGTTATATAGCAATCGTTCGCTTGCGGCCCGATTTAAATTATTATAGAAGCACTTCGAATGTATAACTTTGTATGTGAGAGTTTCTGTCACAAAATTCAATAATGTTGTTAGACCTCGTCACCCCCTTCTTCCATATTACATTGATTACTTATCGATCGTGATCAGTGAGTATGTTGATAGGTATATTTGTCTGTCTGTATGTCTGTTTGTTAGACACTTTCGTATGTTACGCGATATCTCACGAACGCGAGGTTGAATCTGCTCCAAATTGCGCATGTGCATTCATCATATCTCGGACCAGTGACCTATAAATTTTGGATGATTTATGTCGTATAATTAGCGAGTTATTAATAATTTAGTGATATGCCACATGGTGTCACTATAGATAAAGAATCGAAACCGCACTTTCGATCGATAAGTGTTTGGTCTCCGACAGATATTCGAGTTTTATAGTTAGATAGTTATAACAACATACCCGGGGATGCACTAGATTTCTTGCATTGCTGTCCGAAAACAGCAGCAGTCTTTTTCTTCCATCGGGCTTAGCTCTCAAGTACGCAGTTTGCTTTCCAGATGCCCCCCTCGCATATTGAATTGGCCTGGTACGATAACCTCTCATCGTGATACAACCCTTGGAAGTTCTTGATATATTTTTTACCGCAGTAAACTCCAAAAATTCGTATTTGTATAGTATTTGAGACGCAACACTGTAGCATGAAACGTGGAAATGGAACGAATTGCAATGTGAATTTGCATTTATTCGACGGGGACCAGTCGGTTAAATCCTTTGATCACCGCGCTCTCGTCTTGGAGACGCAGACTCTCGTTTTGTAACTGTCCCAGTCAACTGAATTGCACAATCTGCATTTCGTGCAATAATGCCTAATCGACAACCAAAGGTTAAATTAGGTGACTGTACATTTGAACCCATACATTTGCACCCGTATATCACCCGCGGGTTCAATCAATATGCGGGTGGTTAAACCCATGAGTTAGGGTCAGGCCATAATTTCTGGTACAAATGCCACCGGAGTCATTTCGCTAGTCTGAAATTCGCAATAGTACCAAAATAATAAAAATTAGGATTAAATTATGGTCTATGACCCATATGTGAAATAATCGTTGAATCCTTAGATTCGTCGATGCTTTTGTGCGTTAGGCTCCATTGACTGCACCTGATGATATCTGAATAATCAACCACAAATGTTAAATTTATTATACTCATCAATGATATAAAACGAGATTATCGGTCGGAGACCGAACACTTATCGATCGAAAGCGCGGTTTCGATTCTGACTCCATAGCGACACCATATGTCATATCACTAATTAATTAATAACTCGCTGATTATACCACATAAATCATCCAAAATCTATAGATCAATCATCCAAGATATGAATGCAGATGCAAAATTTGGAGCAGATTCAACCTCGCGTTCGTGAGATATCGCGTAACATACGAAAGTGTCTAACAAACAGACATACAGACAGACAAATATACGTATCAACATATTCACCGATCAAGAACGATAAGTAATCAATGTAATATGGAAGAAGGGGGTGACGAGGTCTAACAACATTATTGAATTTTGTGACAGAAACTCTCACATAATAACTAATACTGAATATCGACCGAAATAAAATTATTTCAGACGTAGAAGAGGATTATTTCAAAGCTAATTTGCATAATAACTCCCCAAAGAGGTTAAGTTTATTTTATCATTTTCTGAAAGGTATTTTTATGCTCTATACAACTATGATAAACTTATGCGTGGCAAGTCTTGAGAAAATAGTAATAACTAATACTGAATATCGACCGAAAATAAATTATTTCATGCATAGAAGAGTATAATTTCATAGCTAATTTGGATATTAACTCCTCAAAGAGGTCAAGTTTATTTTATTATTTTCTGAAAGGTATTTTTATGCTCTATCCAACTATGATAAACTTATGCGTGGCAAATCTTGAGAAAGTAGTAATAACTAATACTGAATATTGACCGAAAATAAATTATTTTACATGTAGAAGAGGATAATTTCATAGCTAATTTGCATATTAACTCCCCAAAGAGGTCAAGTTTATTTTATCATTTTCTGAAAGGTATTTTTATACTTTATCCAACTATAATAAACTTATGCGTGGCAAGTCTTGAGAAAATAGTAATAACTAATACTGAATATCGACCGAAAATAAATTATTTCACACATAGAAGAGTATAATTTCATAGCTAATTTGGATATTAACTCCTCAAAGAGGTCGAGTTTATTTTATTATTTTCTGAAAGGTATTTTTATGCTCTATCCAACTATGATAAGCTTATGCGTGGCAAATCTTGAGAAAGTAGAAATATCTAATACTGAATATTGACAGAAAATAAATTATTTTACACGTAGAAGAGGATAATTTCATAGCTAATTTGCATATTGACTCCCCAAAGAGGTCAAGTGTATTTTATCATTTTCTGAAAGGTATGTTTATACTATATCCAACTATGATAAATTTATGCGTGGCAAGTCTTGAAAAAGTAGTAATAACTAATACTGAATATCGACCGAAAATAATTTATTTCACACGTAGAAGAGGATAATTTCATAGCTAATTTGCATATTAACTGCCCAAAGAGGTAACGTTTATTTCATCATTTTCTGAAAGGTATTTTTATATTCTATTTAACTATGATAAACTTATGCGTGGCAAATCTTGAGAAAGTAGTAATAACTCATACTGAATGAAGATCAAAAAATCAGTTTATACGTAGCATAGGATTATTTCAAAGCTAATTTGCATATTAACTCCCCAACGAGGTCAAGTTTATTTTATCATTTTCTGAAAGATATTTTATACTCTATCCAACTATGATAAACTTATGCGTGGCAAGTCTTGAGAAAGTAGTAATAACTAATACTGAATATCGACCGAAAATAATTTATTTCAAGCGTAGAAGAGGATAATTTCATAGCTAATTTGCATATTAACTCCCCAAAGAGGTTACGTTTATTTTATCATTTTCTGAAAGGTATTTTTATGCTCTATACAACTATGATAAACTTATGCGTGGCAAGTCTTTTGAAAGTAGTAACAACTAATTCTGAATATCGACCGAAAATAAATAATTTCAGAAGTAGAAGAGGATTATTTCATAGCTAATTTGCATATTAACTCCCCAAAGAGGTCAAGTTTATTTCATTATTTCCTGAAAGGTATTTTTATGCTCTATCTAACTATGATAAACTTATGCGTGGCAAGTCTTGAGAAAGTAGTAATAACTAATACTGAATATCGACCGAAATAAAATTATTTCGGACATAAAAGAGAATTATTTCATAGCTAATTTCCATATTAACTCCCCAAAGAGGTCAAGTTTATTTTATCATTTTCTGAAAGGTATTTTTATACTCTATCCAACTATAATAAACTTATGCGTGGCAAGTCTTGAGAAGGTAGTTTATTTCAGACGCAGAAGAGGATTATTTCAAAGCTAATTTGCATATTAACTCCTCAAAGAGAACAAGTTTGTTTTATCATTTTCTGAAAGATATTTTTATACTTTACTCAACTGTTATATACCCATGCGTGGCAATTGCTCCAAAATATCTATTTCTATTATTGAATATTGACCGAAAATAAATTATTTCAGAAGTAGAAAAGGATTACTTCAACAATTCCACAATCCCTTATTTTTACCTTTGTGTTGAATTCGAATTCAAGGTTGCACTCGTTGTGTAATTTATTTATTCACTTAATTGCAATGTACAATTTTAAATATAGGTAATATTGTCAATTTCCATCGAAAATCCAAGTTCTTGCCCGTGGTTATTTACTGACATCTAGTGTTTTCGGATAATTTGTAGGTCTTCTGTTGCTGCAAAAAATTACTCTAGCCCACAATTTCAATTTCCAGTTTTAGAGGCTCTAGTTCAGTTCAAGTATTTCTGTAACGCGAAGTATCGTTCAAAACTTTGCTTCAGATTAACTAAAAAGAGGTAAGAAGTTATCAGGGATATAATTATTACACGTGGACACAGTGGCATTTTGTTGTAGAGCAAGGTTACTCCAGCCCACAATTCCGGTTCCGGCATGATTGATCTCTGATCTCCAAGTAATTGTGGGCTGGGAAATTGTGGGCTAGAGTAACTTTGGTCTACAATCTAACCCAAACCCTACGACTAAAAAAAAGCACCAAACAGTAAACCAGACAAACACAACACCAGGGGTCGGCAAACTGCAAGCCAAATGCGCCCGCGAGCTAATTTGTTGCGGCCCTCGAACGACCCGACATTCAATACATGAAACAAAAATTGATCCTAAATTTATTATTGTCTTTACACGGATTTATGTGGTGACAAATGCTGTACGGCGCTTTTTATGTAACAAGTAGCGTCAGTTGTATGTCGTTCAAGTTAATTTTGATTTTTGAAATTTAAAAATGTCTGGGAAACGGAGCGATGGGGTCGAACATTCCAAAGTGCTTAAACAGAAAAATATTTTTCTTTCTTGCGCATTTCAAAACGGGTTTGCTCGATATGCCCAGCATCGCAGTTGTTAAGGGTTTCAATGTTAAAAACTCGTTACGAAACGAGTCGTCGAAAATTCGACCTCGAGAACCGGGACTGCGCTACAGCTCATATGTGCGACAGTGCAATACGTGAAATGTGCACGTTCGGAAGAACATATGGCCTTGAGCAGCTTTATCTAAAATGCATTACACCTACATTAAATTTTGTACTCGCTTGTCAGATCATTATTTGGACGACAAGTTGCCATAAAAACATCATTTTTCACATTGATAATGAGTAAATAAAAACAATGTATTGTTGGATAATAGGCTATATTAAAAAAATGCCACATACATCTCATTGGGACAGGCTCTCAGCACACCGATAGAAGGGGAGCAATGCGAATGTGCCATATTTCAGTAATTTGAAGTTTAATTAATGTAGCTATTGTTGAAGGCGGAAATAAAGCGGCCCGCGCGCTACCGGAAATGTGTATATTTGTCCCGCAAATACATGGAGTTTGCCGACCACTGCACAACACTATTGAGAAGCATGTCTGACTTCATAAACAACTGCCATGTCAGTATGTCGCAATAAGAAAGCCCGTAGAAGAATCTCTCTCATCAGTCCGAATAATATCTCCCCAACAGAATTATACAGGCATTGTTAACTTTCCCGAAATTTTATTAATGTGAGGCCTGGTTTTCAATATTGATAACTACAAAAACGAAATATCGAAGTAGGCTAGATGTAAGAAACACGGGGTCTCATGTACTTTCTTACATGGATAACTTCTAGTGGGCGTGGCGATATCCCATTATGACCATATTTCTGTACCAATAGCTCATGTATCGTGCTACAATCTGAAATAGAGCGTTATGCGATACAACTCTAACCAAGGCTTTAGACAAGCAGAAAATACATGTTATTTTACGCAATGGTTGAAGTTGGGTACCACACACATAGAGACTTGTTATTTTATGTCCAGCTCCAGCAATAGCTCATGTATTGTGCTACGATCTATTAATAGGGTGGTATACGATACCGCTCTAAGCATGGCTTTAGACAAACAGAAAGAACATTTAATTCACGCAATGATTGAGGTTGGTTACCGCAGACATAAAGACTTGGTATTTAATATCCAGAGACTGATCATGTATTGTGCCACACTTTATTAATAGGACGTGGAACGCTTTCACGCTATGCAAGGCTTTAAGACAAGCAGAAACCGACATATTAATTTGCCTTAGCGCAATGGATGTAGTTTCTTATCTCAATAACTTAATACTTATCTTAGCGTAACAATTTTTGCATATAATATTCCTGACCTTCACCTGACTTCATCATCCAAAAATTACGTCAATGCGACTTCACAATAACGAAATAGAGCTTGCCTAATAATAGCGACCATAATGCAATCGTGATAAATACGCCTGTGTGTCCGCTATGGGTTAAGTTTCGTACCTCAATAACTTCTAGTTGACTTAGCGTAACACTTTTTGCATATAATATTCATGACCCTCACCTGACTTCATCATCTGAACATTACGTCAATGCGACATCACAATAACGAAATAACGCTTGCCCAATAATAGTGAAGATTACTAGTAATGCCACCAATGGATGTAGTTTCTTACCTCAATAATTTATACTTATCTTAGCGTAACAATTTTTGCATGTAATATTCCTGACCCTCACCTGCCTTTAGCATCCAAAAATTACGTCAATGCGACTTCACAATAACGAAATAGAGCTTGCCCAATAATGACAACGGTAACCCGTAATGTCACCTGCGAGTTTGTTAACAAACTGAATAACGCCAGTAACCTCTCTATCACAATTGCCAGAAGACTTTTTTATTTTAATGTCCAGCGATAAACCATGTACTGTGTCATCATCGTGGGCTATTTATCAGGCACCGCTAAGTAAGCCGGCGCACAACGTCGATAACATAACATAAAAAAAAACAATATCCGCCGAAAATATGGGCCATTTGTTGCCTGGTTAATTGCAGCGACAATTTTAAGGAAAATTCCCCAATTTACACCCCCCTTCTTAGGTAATTCTGACAGAGCCCTTGAACGTATTTCAATCTAATCCAATTACGGTTTCAGGGTGAGGGCTAGGAATGCAGATTGCGGCGGAAATTCAAATTATCAAATCAATTGGCGAGGGCTTTGTACAAAAGATCTGTACTTCGCATGCTTTCGGTTACAGAAATTAAAAACGAAACAATCCTATCATCGACTAACCGAGTTTGAAATGTAGGCAATTTTTCAAGATTTTCCATTGTTTCAATCATTGAGCGGAACTTATGAACATTCTTTCTGATTTCCCGTGTGTCATGCGCCAAAGTATTTATTACATTTTCACAAAGTAAGTCTAACCTTCCTCCATTAATCCCTATGCGTTTGCCGATAAGACAGCATAACTAGACTACGACAATCGTTGTTTTGATCCATTGCTCACCCAACAAAACAAGATGTATTACTAGCGCTCCCGATTTCCATGTACAATCCCCAAAGTTTTATACTTAAGCCAAACATACACTGAATCGCCTGAATGCTTCGCGGGCCACACGAAACTCCTTGTCGGGTCGCGGGTTCGTCACCTATGGTCTATGTCAGGGCTCGGAAACCCCTGGCACGCGTGCCAATTGTGGCACGCGAGAGGATTTCTCATGGCACGCCAAGCGATTTGAGCCATATTCAGATATATATTTTCGTAGTGCGGAAAACATTCTACAATTAAACAAAAAAATAACAAATCGACAAATTCATTTAAAAAACATGCAATATTTAACTGCAATCGACGATAGGCCGAAATCTGTAGCCAAAATCGGTGTGGGTAAGCGTGTGCAGTCGATTATCCCCCTTCTTTCAAATTTTTGGAAAACTGAAAAAGTCGCAAATAACGCGTGCGATTGCTTTTTGCTAAAATTCCTGATTGTTTTTATCAGCGTGACGTGTTACTTAGGCCGTAAACACTTTTAGTTGGTGCTTATTCTCCCTGAATCACAACAATTATTTCACGACAACGATAATAATTGCTTTATTTTTGCCCAGAATTGAAATTCACTGAGAGTTGTTATACAATCAATCGAAACTAAATACAATTAGGCATGTTTATATCATATTTTTACATCAAAAGATTGAAGAAGAACGAGAAGACGTAACCGCGAGTTACGTTGGACACAAAATTATATCAATATAGAAGAAAGTTTTAGATTCTCGTAGCTGTCATGAAATGAATATTTTACTGGAAAGAAAAGTTGTTATACGCTGAAAAACTCTGAACTGCGCGCCTGGCTGATTTTCATCATTTCATCGTGAGCTACATGTAGCCCTTACAAAAACGATGAAGTAAAGGCGCTCCGTAGTATGCGCACCAAAATGGCGGACACCGGAACGTAGGATGTGTACCAGGTTTGGGTTTCTGCTTATTGGACACGTAGTGGACATAACGATCGTTTCAATATTATGTTGTTGTTGTTCTTGTTCTTGTTATCCTTGTTGTTGTTGTTCTTTGACACGTTTTTAAAAAGTCGCTTTTCTCTTCGAATACTGGACCAATTGCTTTGAAATTTTCAGTGGTTGAAGATAAAATTTTTCTCCAGAAGGCTATTACTTTTTTTTTCGCTATGACGTCATCAAAATTATTGCCATTGGGTGGCGCTACGTGTCCATATATTTGAGCATAGCTCTCTTGTAATTAATGTCATTTTTTAGTTCCGCCTCTTTGCCATATTTCGAGGCTATATTGTTGTCAGATTTTATCAAAGCTGTTATTGCTTCTTTGAACAGTTACAAAATTAGTCAGTATTTTGAAAAGTAATCGAATAGCTCGCGGAGCCCCTGGATGTTCTCTCGCGGAGCCCTGGGGCTCCGTACGGAGCACTTTGAGAACCTATGCTCTAGTCTAGCCCACAATTTCAGTTTCGAGTTTTGGAGGCTTTTGTTTAGTTCAGGTATTATTGTATCGCAAAGTTTCTTTTACAACTTTGCTTCAGAATGAATAAAAAAGGGTAAAAAGTTAACGTGGAAATAAGTAGGGCATTTAGAAACAGTTGAATTTTGTTGTAGAGCAGGGTTACTCTAGCCCACTATTTTGATTACCCTAGCCCACAATTTCGGTTATGCCAACCGACATTTCTGTTTAGCGGTCGGCACATTTGATTGTGGGGATTGGTTTTGATGTAAAAGAACATGTTATTAGTCCCGTAACTAAATTCATTAGGGGAACCTTGCTTAAAATACCGTAATCGCTGTATATATATATATATATTGATTATATATATATATATATATGATTAACCCTCTGATCACCATGTAATTGTGGGCTGGCAAATTGTGGGCTAGAGTAACCTCGGTGCCACGGCCCATCTAATTTGGCCACATAGCTTGATGGGCCACGGCCCCATCGGGAAAAATTCAATTATCTTACTGAAATTTTCAATTTTTACAAAATTGCCAATATTCGAACCGAAAAAAATCGCGAGATGCCACCAAATTTTTTTCTTACGATAAGCCTTTATATTTAAATTAAGCAAAATACCAAGCAACAGAAAAGAATACTCCTGTAGTATGTGTACCAGGTTAGGATTAGGACAAAATTTTTTTTACATTATAGTTCTATTATGAGTTCGGGGACTGACTGTGTTAGCCAAGTGAATAATCCCTTTACACAACTTGATGGACCGCGGCCCATAGCCTGATAGAAGAAACCCATTTTACAGATGATCAGACACCCCTCCTTTGTGAGACGTATGGACATTGTTGTCTCTCAATATTGGTTATAATACAGCATAATGGAGTTGCGCAAAATACTACAAAAAGCGCAATCTAGTAATGTCTTTATTGAATTCCTTGGGAAAAAATTATCCGATTTACCGAAGGAAAATAAATTGTACAGTAGCTTTCGAGAGTTTTTAGCAAAAAACGGCAATTTTGGTCATATGACGGCCGCGATTAATTTTGATTATTATTGAGACAAGCATGGCGCGATATGAAGCATCTGACGTGGTCCCAGACGCCCCTCGTTTGTGAGACACATAGAGTGTTTGTTTTATAGAGCCAAATGGAGGGAAATTCTTGGAATTTGGATAGTGTGCTGTACTGAATTAGGTATTTTACCCATGTAAGCGCCTTTTCAAACATTAACTGTCAGATTAGGATTTTAGGCTTGATGGGAAAAATATCTCAGTGTTGAAAAGGGCCACACTAAATGGCTTGGTAGGCAGTGTTGTGGGATGCCTCTGCTGTAAATAAAATACAGAATAATCACCAATTTATATTTTCACAGAACATCACTGTAATTTAATTCTAAATTAAAATAAATCAGGATGTTTGCATCCCCTGGTTTCCATGGTTACTCTGTAAAATTTTCACCTTTTTTCCCAAACAAGCTGGCTTGTGTTGCTTGCCAGCAATATGGAATATCTGGGGGGTCATGCTTGTTTATTTTGGAGACATTACCTGACCCCCAAAAACCGTTGGCACTTTCTGCAGCTCACAAATGGAACGATGGATTATTTGACGTATCTTGGAGTGAAAAGAATGATCATGTTTGCGTTACTGCCTCCGGTGACGGATCCATACAAATTTGGGATATCTTGAAGCCAGCTGGTGGACCAGATCGCATTTTACGAGGTCATCAAAAAGAAGTTTACTGTGTTGACTGGAGTCCAAATAACCGCGGTGATGATTTAATACTATCCGGTTCATGGGATCAAACTGCAAAGGTCTGGGACCCGAATCGTGTTGAAGCTGCCCCTCTATCGACCTTTAGTGGCCATTATGGGATTGTATACAATGCTGTATGGTCGCCACATATTCCTGGCTGTTTTGCTTCATGTTCTGGAGATGGGACGCTTCGAGTTTGGGACACCAGAAAAACCTACATGCCCCAGAATATAATCCCCGCCCATGGTGCTGAAGTCCTCTCTTGTGATTGGTCGAAATATGACCAAAATATCCTCGTCACTGGCTCAGTTGATTGTTCATTAAAAATTTGGGATCTGCGGAATTCAAGATTACCAATTCGTCAACTTTTCGGGCATGGTTATGCAGTTCGGAGAGTGAAATTCTCACCACACGAGGCATCGATTCTCGCATCATGCTCGTATGATTTCACTGTGCGTGTTTGGAACACCGCGGCCCCCGAAACAACAAGTCCAATACTAGAAGTGATCGACCACCACTCTGAGTTTGTATATGGACTCGATTTTAACAACCATATACCAGGAATGATTGCAGATTGTTCATGGGACACTAAAACTATGATCTACAAGCCCAAATCGTTGATCAAAATTTGAGGGACTATTTAGAGGGACGTTTAATCATGCCTTTTGCCGCTGATATCTAATAATATGTAAAGAGTTACTTTTATATTCTCTCCCGTCCCACAAATATCCTTCCGTTTCCAATTTTGGCTCCCGGTCAATCAACTTTGGGATCCCCTGTACTAATATACAGGCATTGCTTTTTGCACATATGCGAGGATTGTTTTTGCTTGTTGCCAAACAGATTGCGTACTGTTTTTTTTTTAATTCTTTGTTCCTTATTTTCATTTCGTTCTGGTTTTCTGTTATTTTGCTCATGTTATTTTCCTAATTTTCGTTATAATTGAATTTAATTCAGAATCACTATGCAATATTTAATTTATTAGGTGTGTTATGTTTACTCTTACAATAAGTCCTTGTGTGAGCGGGTCTCTCAGACAAGGACAATCATCTTCAGTGCTGTATTGCCATACCAAGATGTTGTGAAAATTGTGATAGAAGTGTTATTAATAGTCATTTGTGACACCCCCAAAATAGACTTCAACATCATTCATTATTCACGGAATTTTTCAAGAAAATTGACTGTCTGATTCAAGAGTTTTGGAATTTCCCCTAAAAATAGGTACCGCATTCTATGTAATGTTTTCTCATTTTAGTAATGTTTGCATAACAGATATACCGTTAGTACTTTGTGTGAAATTGGTGTACTCTTTGCGACCCCTAAAATCCGTTGCGCGCCCCCCATGCGAAGCCCTGGACTAGATTATGAAATCATAATTTATTACTATTTCAATTTTCTTCTGTTTCATTTCTAAAGCTAAGCCAAGTTGCGAGTCATGTATAAATTTCCCCTTATTCCAGATCCCTGCCTGAGGAGATAACCAAGTGTTCTTCAGAATCTACCATATTATGTAATATTTCAAAAAAATTCACTGTTTTGTCATTTTATTACTGTTTAATTTTTCTTTATTTTTTATGGTAAAAGCCATTAATTTATGTTTTCTGTGCAGAAAATTAGTGCAGTCTAATTAAAATAAAAGTAGCCTTAAGAGGATTGCCTTGTAAAAATGTCACTGGCTTCTTTATGGAGATATGGAATTCAAACTGGAAAATTTCCTCGGAAATATGGCGTGGTCTCTATAATCTGTCGTTCGGAAAGTCAACAACGAATATGCCCGCAAACAAAACGAAGCACTAACTATTCATACATGCTTGAAAACAACAATTCTACAAATTCCCAAAACAATTTTGTAACTTTTTGTCGGAAATTTGCCACAGAGAATAAATATGATATTCATAATCCATATTCAGAAGAAACTCCGTCTGAAAACGAACAAAAGACTGAAATTGTGCAACGGAAACCTGCAGGATATTTCAGTTCATTATTTCAAGTTTGGAGAACACCAGCTCCTGCGTTTCTGACTGGAATAGCAGGTAGTTTTTGATGTATGGTTTACTCAGAATTTAAGCTTTTCATGTTTATCCCCGGGGGAGAGGAAAGCTGATAATTTAGATTAATCATGTGACGAATCACGGTCTCTTGTCCAGTTACCAGTCCAAAGTGGGTATGGGGTCGAGAGTCTGAACCCCCCTCCCTATTGGGTTTGAGGGTCGAAACCCCCCGAAAATGTAAAAAAAAAAAATTTCCTGTGCCATGCATAGCAATTTTTTACTAGGTGTTAAAGTCTAACACAGTGATTAGAAATTTCTGACGCCCCTCATTTAAAAAATCCTGGCTATGCCACAGCGTATCATTATTGGACACGTAGGGGACATAACGATCGTTTAGGTATTTTTTTTTGTTCTTCTTATATGCTTGTACCTTGACTTGTTATTAAAAATCGCTTTTCCTTTCGAATATTGGACCAATTGCTTTGAAATTTTCAGTGGTTGAAGTTGGAATTTTTCTCCAGACTATTATTTTTATTTATTTCTAAATTTTGTATGAATTCTATGAAATTTGATATTTCGTTCAAAATTTCGTATTATTTTTTATACATGGGAACACAGATTTCTGTTCGCATGATGACTGGCTGTATGTTTTGATTCTGCAAAATTCTTGCTACTGGAAATCTAAAACTTTTTTGGGAGTACGGGTAGCTTCAAAGGTACCTGTAAGGACTGATTCGCTCTGCTCTACGTGTCCATATATTTGAGCATCGTTCTCTTGTTTTTGATTTAGTTTGATGTTATACTATTCTGATATTTCATTCAAGTTTTTGCTATATTTTTATTTTCCACAGGAATATAGTTTTTATTTCTTCAAGCGTGGTGGCTGTTTTCTATTTATCGGTAGATATGGTACGAGACTCTGTTCTGGACTTTGTGTCCATAAATTTGAGCATTTTCTCTTGTTTTTCAGGTTTAGTCCCATTTGTTGCCGCACCATCGTATCTTTATTTCATCGCGTCATCTTTCCATCCTTTCCTGATCTCAGCACAACTAGCTTATGGGGCAATTATTCTATCATTTATTGGAGGAATTCGTTGGGGATTCATAATCCCATATAGACATGGTAAGTTTCTTTTCAAATTTTCCAGTTGTGCATCTCCTGCTGGTGCAATTTCAGAATCTCAATTCCAGAGTAAAATTCGGAATAAAATAATGGCCTAAGCCCTAACATGGTACACACATTACGGGTGTACCCTTTGAACTACCTTTTTTATGTTCTTTTGAGCTTACGAAACTTGTCCTCGTGAAAACGTTTTAGCCATCATAAGTGGTTGGCTCGAAGCCATTGTCTTTTATTAATGTACTTTCTTGGAAAAAAATCTATAAATCACTTCAGTAATGTTATATTAACTGGTGCTCCAGAAGTATGTGTACCAATATAGAGGTAATTTTGTTCTAGGTCTGCCCTTTCCTCTTCTGAGACTGAATATAAAATCCTATTTTATCAGGTTCTACACACATGGTAACATGGAGAGGCATATCTTGGAGTTGTGTTCCTGCTTTGATGGCGTGGGGAGGAATATTATTGCCTGATCTTACAGGAGGCTTGTTGATGGTAGGTGATGACTGTTTAACCATTTTATCACGGATATGAAGTGAAGTCTGAAAAAATTTACAATCATCCTCGAGGCAGGAGAGGGTTTTGCGATCGATGACCAACCCACTTTTGAAATGTGATGTTGTACCATACATAACGATCTTTCATAGCTTGGAATGCTTTGTAGACAAACCCTCAAGGTTCTCGAGAAATCAACATTTTCCGGCATGACCACTAGCGATTACGGCACTTGGCAACTAGAGTTATTAATTTTTGGTGTCATTTGTGTTAATCATACGCCAGATAAGGGAATAGCTAAACAGTTTTAGATCATCCTAGATGTATTTACTGTGATGGTTCGTGCCGTGGCTGACTTGTGGTTGCACTGTGACTGTTAAGATTTTGGCAATCCTCACACATATCTATCCTCTGCATGATTCATGTCTGCAGACCTGCGGTTAGTCACTCGCAACCCCTTATCTGGCATTGTAAATAATTGACTTGGTTGATGGGAACCTGTTGGTATAGGAAGCTATACTGACCACCTGTTACATTAATCATTCCCAGTAGTTTCAAATTTTCAAACCAACACAGAGTAATCAGTGATGGAATGTCAAGTGGATAAGATAGGATTTACATATTTATCCCGGGGGAGAGGAAATGCGATAAGACGGCTTAATCATGTAACGAACCACTGCTTTTCGTCCGGTTACCTGTCCATGCCAGATATGTAATTAGTTAGACAGGTATTTTATTTTCAGATGCATAAACTTTATGTTCATTTCTACCACTATCATTCCTGGCTAAATTATTGCACTTTTCAACAAAATATTCGTTTATTTTTCCAGGTCAGTGTTGGGTTACTTGTCTCATTATACAATGATTTGCGGCTGTTTGGGGACTACCCAAAATGGATGTTAGGTCTTCGATGTTTGTTGACAACTGTTGCTGTGGTAACACTAATCGCATCAGTGATTTTGGTGGAAGAAAACAGAGTGAAAAACACGTTTGGCAGGAGAACTCCTAATAAAATACTTGATAAAGATATTTAGGAAAATTTATGTTTTTTTTTTTCATAGTCTATTAACTGTTACATTTTTATTTTGTTCGTTATGGAGAGAATTTCCAAATCTGAAACTATTTCTCAAAAATAGTTGTCAGACTAAAAGTGGAAAGATCGCTGATTGAAGAGTTCATAAGTTACAACAGATGATCTAATGAGAGTTATTTATAAGATTTTATACCAATTTGCTCAAAGCAAGGCTCCCAACTAAAAGTGGAAAGAGTACTAATATCAGATGTGCTAACATAGTACACATGGTTGACACTAGTCCCAAATAACCATATGACCAACGATGACTCTCTTCTGATTGGAGTAAGGTGTAAGACGATTTGAAAAAATAAATGAAATTTCAATATAAATTAGAACTGTAAATGGATGGTAAATATATTGTTATTTTTTTCTAATAAGCATGTTTTTTGGATGAATTTGTTTGTGAACTTTATAAAATGCATGGAATTTAAATATATACTTAATTTGAAATGATTCAAAAATGTTGTTTTTGTTTTCGAGTGACTTGATAAGGGATACATCTATTAAGTAACGTTAACGTAAGTTCGTTTGATATGATTGGAGCCTAGACATATGCGGACTGGGTGACCGCACATTTGAACCCATGTGTATGTCTGCGGGTTCAATCTATGTGTGGGTGCCAAAACCCATGGGTTAGGGTTAGTATTCATTCAAATATCCATAAAACAAAATTTCCATAGGTGCAAGAGTCGTGGGTTGAAATGGAACCGGGGACTGGCTATACCAAGGTGAAAAGCCTTACTGTACGGTACTTCAACGTTTTAGAGTTGTTACAGTTTGTAAGTCATTCATCAGAAAATTTGTGTTCAAAAACAGCTGTTTCTTTGGAAGTGGGGAAGCCCCGAGTTCAGAAGTCGGGATAAGGTTGAAAATACTGCGCAGCAGCCTTACTGGTAGTGGACTGGAAAGAACAGCTTCTTCCACCATCAGGTCCATGCTTCCGAAAACAAATAACTGGCTAACTAACCCCATACCCGACATGAACTGGTAAAATAAAGAGAGGTCGTGATTCGCTACCGGTATAGGATTAAGTCGGCTTATGGTGCGGCGGTGTGGCTCAACGGGCTAAGCGTTAGGAATACGCTCGCCACCGCACCTCTAACTACTCTGAGTGGGTTCGCAGGTTCGAATCCCATGCAGGGATGGTTATGTGCGAGAGGATTGCTGGACTCCTCGCCGTCGTTGGGTGGTTCACGTAACCGCTGGTCGGTTACGGCTTCCTCCACCACCAATTTCATGCTTCCGAAAACAAACAATACAGTAAATCTAATCCCATACCCGACTTGGAATGGTAACCGGACAAGAGGCCGTGGTTCGCCATATGGATAAGCCGTCTTATCGGCTTTCCTCTCCCCCGGGATAAATATGTAAATCCTATCGACTCGACTTTCCGCTCCCCTGGGATAAATATTTAAATCCTATCCTAAATTAAATTTTCCCCATGTCGTCCGCCGCATGTCGCCAGTGAGTTTCTGTTGTTTCGATATTTTCTCCCTTAATTAAGCGTTTTTAGTCTGAAGCGAACCTTCCGTCCATCTGTTTTTGTTGACAATTCGTTTTTCAATCAGCAGCTTGCCAAAATATTGGAAGATTCCACGTACTGATGTACTATCCCAGTATTGCGTTATTGACCTGAACCAATACTGGTATTAGTTTTCTGATATGTCTTCATGATTCTAATTACAGATTTAAGATAAGTTAGGGCAGGCTGGCAGGGCAGTGATATTACATTATTATGTCAGTATGTCACCCTCCAACTTGTGCCGGTTCCCAGAAACATATGATAAAGGGATTCCAGGAAAACATGCTGAGGTACTGCTGTACTGACGAAGCAATAACAAACTTGCTGGCAGATATTTTTTATCGAGCGGTAGGGTGAACTATACGGTAACTACTTTTAAATTCTGAAATCTGGAAATTGGAAATAATCTTACTTAGCTTAATTGTATTTTCATATCCACCACAGGGTTAAGAAGTTCAGTTAGACTGACTGGCGTATAGCTTACTGTTATTCCTACATTGACTCTGTACCTAACATTCCCATCAACCAGTCTGGATTTCATGGCCTTTTTGAACGAGAAATCGGGCGTGCAATCAGAAATTCCCGCGTGCAAATAAGAATTCCTGGCGTGCAATTATAGCTCACGACGTGCAAAACAACTGCACTCGCGTGCAACTGACTTTGACATCAGATACCTCTCAATACATCCGCGTAAAATTACCGGTATCGGATAAAAAATACGTCGAATCAGAGAAAAAATGGACGTTTGACCTTTGACCCCAAACATTATTTCTACAGTTTGTCGCTAATTTTGAGAGTGTTTGTGCGACTTTGGATACCGGTACTGTTCAGTACATCCGCCTAAAATTATTGGATAAAAAATACGTTGAACCAGAGCAAAATGGACATACTTTGTCATTAATTTTGGTAGTGTTTTTACGTAGAATTAATGGATAAAAAATACCGTACGTCAAATTAGAGCAAAATGGACGTTTGACCTTTGACCCCAAACATTATTTTTATACTTTGTCACTAATTTTGGGAGTGTTTGAGCAACTTTAGATACCGGTACTGTTCAGTACATTCGTGTAAAATTATTGTATGAAAAATACGCTGAATCAGAGCCGTACTTGGCCATTGGTGCGGAGGCGATCTTTTCGTCCATAACTATTCTCACGGGATTCCTATTTCCTATCATTCAACACGATATGGACCTTTCCCCGAGCATCGACTTCCTTGTTTAATTCGTGACATTGGCCAATCAGCAAGATGCAAAAAAGGACGTAACAATGAGAGGAATTTTTCGCGGGTCAAAGGTTGGGGAAAGGTCCATGGTCTTTTTGCTTCGCAATATTTCGATCAGACCAAATCTTGCAGGCTGGTATTTGTCGACAATTGTGGAGTTATAATATTTTGGCATCTTTATATTACTGGATTATTGATTTTAAAACCATTTGAACCGATTTACATTGGTGAGCAGTTGCAAATTTTCGGCGTGCAAAATTGATTTCGCTCGCGTGCATTTTTGCGGAGCGCTAGCGCCCTCGGGCGTGCACCTGCCATGGAATCCAGTCTGGCCCATCAACTTGTCAGTACAGGGGTCTGGTGTAGTTTCGTACCTAACGTACTTCTAGTGGGCGGAGCAAAACAATTTTTTCACGTGTCAATCCTAACCCCCACCTGACTGCGCCATCCAAAAATTATGTCATAGAGCTTGTCAAAGTATAACTACGATCGCCTGAAATAGCATCTGCGCCAACGATGAAGAACTAACTAACGACAGCGATCTCTCGGATCGTTGCGACAAGAAAATGCCCACTAGAAGTACGTTAGGTACGAAACTACACAAGACCCTCAGTACAGTACCTCATAAATTCAGATTTAAGTTTTTTTATCAGATTTGATTATGATACTTGTACCAGTTTTGGTTTTCCTTGCCTCTATTCACCTACAGGAGCGGTGACTCTTCTACGGGCCGGGGGTACGGCCCATCTAATTTGGCCCTTTGGGCCGTGGCCCATCAAGCTATGGGCCGTGGCCCCATTAGGAAAAATTCAATTACCTCACCAAAGTTTTCAATTTTTACAAAATTGTCCATATTCGAACCGAAAAAAAATCCTGAGATGCCACCAAATTTTTTTCTTGCGATAAGCCTTTATATTAAAATAAAGCAAAATACCAAGCAACAGAAAAGGATACGGTACTCCTGTAGTATGTGTACCAGGTTAGGGTTAGGACAAAAACTTTGTTCAGATTTTTCACATTATAGTTCTATTATGAGTTCCGAGACTGACTGTGTTAGCCAAGTCACAAGTGAATTGTCCCTTTACACAACTTGATGGGCCGCGGTCCCGGTCCATGGGCCATAAAGGAGTCACCACTTCCACTCCTATTTCCCATGAAATGTTCATTTCCCCTTATTTTATGATAACTACCGGTATATAGGAAATAGGGAATTTCTACCAGAGTTACCCCAGCCCACACTCACTCTGCAGTCAATGGGTTAATCAACTATTATACTCACCCTATAAATGTTATTCCTGATCATTACATTATATTTCATTGCATGATTTAACTGTTTCGTTCTTGTTCTTTCTACAGGGGTGGTGACTTCACTACGACCCATGGGCCGGGGCCACGGCCCATCTAATTGGGCCACACGGGCCGTGGCCCATCAAGCTATGGGCTATGGGTTAGGGTTAGGACAAAATTTTGTTCAGATTTTTTACATTATAGTTCTATTATGAGTTTGGGGACTGTCTGTGTTAGCCAAGTGAATAGTTCCTTTACACAACTTGATGGGCCGCGGCCCATAGCCTGATGGGCCTAGGCCCAATTTGATGGGCCGTGGCCCCGGCCCATGGGCCGAAGAGGAGTCACCACTTCCACTCTGTTCTTTAGACTGTATTATACTTGGATTGCTCAAGTTAGTTCTTCATGTCAATTGATTTAAATAATTCCATAAAAAGTTGGATGCTCTGATAATATATGGACAATAACTGATACATCCCATGCAAATGCAACACCAAGCACGGCCCAGGTACACCGAGTGTGACCTAACAAAAAAGAACAAGGACTGGCGTCACACGAGTGTGAGCTGGTGTTTTGGCAATGTTATACAGTGAGTTAAGGCATCCAAACGTCCACAAAACTACTGAATTACATCACAAAATTCACAATATGAGTGTGGACCGAGGGAACTCTGGTAGAATTTACGAGGTGTGGCTAAAAAGAAACGAGACTGACGTCACAGATTGCGCAACACGATTAACCATTGGTAATCAACACTTTTACAGTGTGGTGTAATATGTGTTCTTTGTTCAACAGTTTTTTTGACACAATATCGCAATTATTTTTGCTCTTTAGGAGCCATAGGTGAATGTGATTAATTGCTTGTTGAAAAAAAAATTGCCGTGCGAGATCTGATTGAGTTTTTTGGCGATAGGGGGTTCAATTGCAGAATGACGATTGAGCAATGAATTAACATTAAATTTTGTGTCAAACTTGGAAAAACGGCGACTGCGACTTTGAAGAAATTGTGTGATGTTTATGGAGATTCTTCCATGTCCAGAACAAGAGTTTTTGAATGGCACAAGCGATTTGTGGGATGCAGGGAGGATGTGGAGGATGATTCGAAGTCAGGAAGGCCTTGCACTTCCACAACTGATACCAACATCGAAAAGGTATCAGTTGTGAGTTCAGTTGTGAAAGGCAGTTGATTCGCAGCGACCGTTGTTCAACAATTCGCGTCATTGCGAAGTTGGAAAAGACGAAAAAAAACGGTTCGCACCAGTTTGGTTGACACTTTTGGCTTGTGAAAGGTGAGTGCCAAAATGGTGCCAAGGCTGTTGACTGAGGAGCAGAAAGCTCAACGATTAAATGTTGCCCAGTTGACATGCATTTTTCCAAGTTTGACACAAAATTTAATGTTAATTCATTGCTCAATCGTCATTCTGCAAT